ATCAAACCATGGTAGACAAATCCACCAAGGGGCGAACACTCATCATAGCCCAGACCGGGGGTGAAAAAGCTAATAATCTCGTAGGCATACGAATGGAAGCCCCTTATAGTCACAGTGATTGCAGCTGCCAGGGGTTAACACCCCACAGCGCCTTCCCGACCCCCTTTGAACTACATCTGCAGTCACTTTCGCGAAAACATATCGTTCACCAACAGTTGTGATGTCACCTCCACTGTACCACTGCATAAAAGAAGTGATGCTTGTCCGCGCATATATTCTGACGGCACGAAATATGAAAAAGTTTGACACTTATGGGCTCCAGGATGCGACACCACTGGACTCAGTGATTCCTATCTCAAGCTCAGAATCGGCAAGCATGTTGCCGTTTCTGACAAAGGTTGAACGTGTGAACGCGCTTCAGCAAGTTTCGGCATATCATTATCGACTGAGCCAGAGTTATTTATAACTTGTTATGTTAGGTCTGGCGCATTCCCTTTTGATTGGATTGTCACGCCCTTGCCTTGGCCATTTTTGACCGGAATGGTGATGCATATTCAGTACATGTGTTGCAGTCATATTCCCACTGAGAGCTTGTCTCCAAGGTGCGGATTAGTCTATTTTGAAGCGACCAAAAAGAATTCCGCGGCACTTGATCTATTGAACCCTACCCGGTTTCACGCAGTACACGCTGGATGCTTGATAGACTATTTACTAAACATTCTCTGGAGGGCCTTCAGCCCTCATTTCTACAAGCACTTTGTTTTCCGGGCGTCGATATATAAGGCTGAGGCTCGGAAGATCACTTCACTTCCTGCCACTGTCGCCGCTGACCTAGAAACAAGGTCCAGGGCGTTGGAACTCTGTTGCAGAGTCGCCGTGAGAGCCTTATTGGAGGACCGTTTAGTCTCATATTTTAGATCTTGAGACTAATAAGCATCCCATTTCAGTGTGGGCCGAAAGAGTCTAAAATTCCAATGATGGCTGCATTAATTGCTGCAGGTAGCGAACCCTCAAAGCTTCTCTGTCTAGTCAACGCCAAAGAGTGCAGTATCTTGCTCAGCAGACAAAACCTTAGTCGGAAAAGTCGTCGGGTTTGTCTTTTAGCATTCCGTAGACCATTCTCTGGTCAGAACATGACTTCGTAAAGCACGATTCACTGCGACAATTCGTTACTTGGGTGCTGCTTTCCGCGAATAGCATACACGCTCTTTTGTTTGGCTTCACTCCCCATTTTTCTGCTTCTGTAATACAGCCCATTGTTGAGTTCAGAAAAGGATGTCTAAAGTCCACCTGTCTAGTGTTTGCCGATTAAGAATTAGCCTTGAAAGAAGGGAGAAGAAAGGGAGAAAGAATCAGTATCTCCTAGAGGACCACGCCGGCCTTTGTTGACGTGGTGAATGAAGGCAGAGAAACGGGTCCAACACATAGAATGTTTCTCTTTTTTTGTGAACTTAGCCGAAATGTCCAGCACATCCACGGTAGTCAGTTTCCTGAACGCTCTCAGCTGATGGCTTCAAATAATGGGTCATCGTTTCGTTTGCAATAGGACGATTGTGACTACCAAAAATGTATGCTACAGCTTGGTATGTGGACTGGAGCGGACGCAGGAGGACCCTTGTAAATAGTTTCCATTCACAATTACGTAAATCAGGGAGAATTTGAATCGAGAATCATTCGGTTTGTGAAGAGCAACAATCGGTTCAAAAGCTCATCTCCCATATTCATAATTTATACCGTGATTAACGCTTTTGCAGTACTTTTTCCAGTGGGATCCATGTAAATGCTTGCAACCCCAAGGGGGATAAATGGCTACTCAAGACCAACACCGAAAGAGTATACTGCATGTTTTTGTCATGTACGCTTGCGTGAGAAACCATACTGTACATCGTGTCCTTTGGATACATACTGGCTGCAGGGAAGCCCAAGGATCAAAGGATTTGCATTCAGATGATCATTACAAATTTTGAGCTGGTGACCTCCCATGAGTGCTTCTATACTAATGCGCACTTTTTAAAAATATCTGATGCCACACATTTTGACGCACTCTCAAGCGCATGCAGTTGCCGCTATCGCTCTGAGCTAAAAGGTCGCCAAGCCCACTCTTTTCATGCGGCAAGGACCCGAATCCGAAGATTGATAGGCAGAGAGGAGGGCATCATTGCCAGTCACTTCCTTAGCCCTCTATGCTATGTACTAATGTTTGATTTAGTTTTGGGCGCCAAGACGAGTCGCTGCACATAGGTAGGTGCTACCGCAGAGTTGTCCCCTAAACTACTATTTAAAAATAGGTGTATCCAGTATTGTGCTGTTTGAAATGAACACATCAAGCTTAAGTATACTAATAAGGGAATAGCCTGGTCCATTACATACGTTTTACTCTTCAATTCGCTCTGATGGATATATCAATGCCATTGAACAGGGGTAGGAAGCCCTGCGTCCATCTGACTTCGCTCTTGACGCGGTGAGGCATTATTGCCCAGACAAAGGTGCTGCAACCACAGTTGATACTGCTGTCAGGTTTGTTATCATGTTGAGCGCCAGCATTTGAGCCTCAATGGACAAAACACAAACCACAGAGCGTCCTTTGTCAGAGTGACCCTATTAAGTATATGGTGCCATGTTTCAGCACCTGCACAAACTTGCATACAGAGTACTGTATGGCACCAAAATGTGGGTGATTAAAGCTATTCGAAAGCCCTCTTGCTTGCTTCAGGGTGGAGCACTGGTGTCAGGCGGTTTGATGCGTGCCGAATGAAGCAGTAAGATGCCTTCCAGCAGCTAGGAGATGCTGCAACAACCAAAAACTGCGAATCAACCTCCTTGGGAAGTCAGATGACTATTGCGCCACCTGGTGTTGTTTGCGCTACTGCTGCTTAGGAGAAAGGGCTCAAGTGGCACCAAAAGGAAGGCAAGTTGCAAGCAAAAGTCACAACTCGCCACGGAATTCATGTTGAGTCAACGTGGTGCTTGCTTTGCATTTGTCACTACACATTTGCAGATCAAGCTCTCTTGGCGACGAAACACCGCTCTACACCTTCTATGAACGCATGAAGGCCTCAATTATATGTGTCGTTGTGTCACACATAGCCGTACATTATTATTAGCAGGGAGACGTAGAATTCTTTGTACACATCCAGGCATTGCATTAAATGTGCTACGTGTACTCTGGATTCAACCCACCGAAGAAGCGATAGCCAACCTCGTCGCTGAATGAGGTACAGCTTGAGAAATTACACTCACCACACAATACGTTTCCGAGACTTTCCAAGAGGAGCTTTGTTCTTTTTTTAGACATATTCTATGGACTCTTGTAGGGACCTTAGAACTACTCGCAAAAACAAAACACTCCCCCTCCTGTGTGCTTCTTTTCTTTCTATTGGTATTGCTGGCTGGGTGCAAACCCCGCACCCAAACAGATGCGTAGTCATTGGTTACATAGACACACGTAGACCAGTGCCCAGTCGGTGCCGGCCGAGCTGCTCCTGAACCCTTGGCGGAACCCATGGATATACGCCTTGAAACCTTAATTATTTCCTTGAAATTCAAAGCCTTTGACTTCCGAGCTTTCTTGTCTGTGGTAGTGCGTAGTCTGCGACCTCGTATCTAGTCATGAAGAATGCCCATGGACTGGGATGCGACTTTGCATAGCGTCCTCCGACATTTGTGCATTTCTTGCACGCTGTTAGGGTGCGCCGTCAGCAGAACATCTTCTGTGTTATTGGATGTCATATTGAGGATCCTGAGGGTCATATGACCTTGGTGTAGCGCAGCATACCTGCGCCTCTTTCGGTGTGATTTTCCTGCATGAGGAAGCTTGCATGGGTTGTCGCACTTGCAAGATATAGACTATCATCCACGCAAAACACTTTACGAGAAAGAATAGAGGAACTCATTTGCTGCGGCAGCGCATAGGCTCTGAGGTATGATACGTAGAGATATACGCGGCTTTTCTTGCAGATGACCGCCATGGGATGCTGTTCGCTCAAAACGGTACCGCTTCTTGCCGCGGTGGCAGCTATCGTCGTTTTTGCATTTGGAGTAAAAAAAACACGCACCACGTTGTTGGTGCTCGTTTCGCTACACTCATACAGAAAACTACATTCGGGTTTGGCTGAGAGCGATTCAGCATCACAGCCCATTGAATGACACCAGAGCCCCTGGTTTGGTTAACTCTATTTATCCAGTGTTTGAATCCTACGATAATCTACATACGAGTACACGCTCATTCACCTCTGCGTTCAGCCCTTCTGAGTATTTCGAGAGCTGGCTCGTGAGGTACTTCCCACTGTAGCTTGGTACTTGATGCGAAGGACCTGGTTGAGAGTGAAGGCGTCTCCATTATCTAGTGTGTGAAGCAATCAAAACTGCCAAATCGAGTTACTGCTGTTCGTCTTCCAACTATACTTAGTCCGCTAGGTAGAGAATAAAGCGAATATGTTTTTAGTTGCCAAGTTGTACTGATGCCTTGGGAAGCGCATCCCGCATCAGACAAAAGGTCAGGTGTATGCTCTGCCGAGTGTCTGCCATTGCCATGACACTCCACTGCCCAATCGTCGGGATTGCTCGCGAAAGAAAAGGCATTAAACTTCAGACTACACCACGAAACGCCAGCCCGAGTTAGTAACTTGCGGCATGCAAGTATAGCTACCTACCGTCATGGAACCAAGGCATCTAAGTCTGTGGAGGGAGCCATGAGGCCTAGCTAAAGTGACTAGCTACCATAATTGTATGGTAAAACCAAACTGCTAGCTGGCTTCCTTGGTTGCAACCAGTTCATTCCAGGCAGATGAGGGAAGAGGAACTGTCCGTCAGTTGAAGTAGCGTATTGTACCGAAGCCCATTTGTGGAAGCTGCAAATAGAAGGGCGCCTCAGCGTAGCTTCTCGTCTCCAGTCCTGTAAGCGGCCGTTAACCTTTCCTTTCATTCTTGTGAACTCGACTTGTCCTTTCTAATATCAATATTTGTCCTCTTACTGCCCATCAGCTGCGATTGTGCCTAGGTTAAATCACCATTTCCAGCTCTGGCCGAGCAAAGGAGTGTTTCTCATAGTCAGGGAGTTTCGGAAAGAAAGCAACCATTGCATCCTGGTGTCCAATGTAAACGTTGTTGTACACCCGCCAGTAGACCTCGCGTACCTGACACAGCAATAGTAAAGAAACATTACAATAGTCATGCGCTATTGCGTTCCCTGCTTCTTGGTTCCCTTATTTTCGCTTTTCGTTCAATATCTCCTTCATCCGTGTATTTCTCTATTAATGAAAACCGTGTGATGGAAAGAAACCTTAGCAACTTTTCGGCTACCCGCTGTTTAGAACCTCCACCTACCCATGTTCATTTTGCAAGTAACACGTGCAAACCAAGTACTAATTCGTACTCGCAAGCATCTGATCCAGTCATTATTTAAAGAGCTCGTTCGAAGGGCGCCACTCACCTTGCGCGCTGGGTGGAACAACCCCAGAATGACGTATCTGAATACCACGCCCGGCCCGATGGCGACGCGCATGCCATCCACCGCATCGAAAAACGCCTGAGTCGGCAAGCAATAACAAACAATGCGCTGGAATATACAGCAACACAAGAATAAGCAGAGGGCTCTGACAGTGTGCAAGCGCCCAAGTCATTCCACACCGACAAAGCTACTCCAAAGCCAGCTGCATGTAAGATATTCAAAAATTGGAACCAACTAGAGTAGCACGCACCGCTTTCCAATTATATATAGTCAAGGTCGCGTAGCCTATCTAGAAAAACGACTTCCCAGCACAGCAGATTTTCTACCCCTATTATCTAGCCAACAGAACCCCTGCATAGAAGTAGGTAGCATTTCATAGACGAACTTGAACCATATGCGCAGACACCTCGAAGATGTTGGGCCACACGTAGTTGAACAAATGCGTCAGGGCGTCCTCGCAGCTCAACCCATGCACTCCTGCAGTCAAACCACAAACAATTTTTACGTTACAACCGTACTTGAATAGAGGGCCTAAATTCGATGAGCATCCCACTGCAACAACAATAAGCGAGATGCAACGCAACTGTCGATTCTTAAGTGCACATCCCAAGGCTTCAGACCACACTACACAGAGTTCCATCATTCCCGCTAGGCAACAAGCAAATAAGTAAATACACGGATATAAGTGAGCTACCAAGTGCTAGATGCTTGCAGGCCCAAGCGGCCGTTTGCCTGTGAACAAGGTCCCTGTCCATAAGTGCATCTTCCAGAAGAGGTGTGACGGTGTAGATGTAATCTTTCGCCATTTCGCCGATGTACTCAAACATAAAACTAAGCGTTTTAAGGACACCATTCTGGATGTTAAGCTCCGGCACGCGATACTCGTTGATCAGGGCAGGCAACACAGAGTACGGCAAGCAGGTTTCTGCCACAATGGCAATCGCGATTGTAGTGCAGAGACGCAGCTGCCTTTCCTGCATTTTTAGATTATTCAACAGAGTGGCCAAAACGTCCTGGGGACCAATAGTCCGCGCGATATAACCAAAGGTGTTTACTGTGGCCCTCCGAATGCTCTTCTTCTGCGCCCTGAGCAAGTCAAGAAGGTCGAAACAGATCCTATCCCACTCCTTAGGGGAAACCAAGTCGCCCCCTCTGTCTGCAATGCGGCCAATCAAGTCAATGAGATTTTCTTGCACTTTCTCGTGCCTGTTTTTCAAAATGGGCGCCAGCCGCGGCAGCAAGTCCTTTATAGGCGGCGTCATTTTGTTCATGCCGATAACGTTTACAATGGCCTTTAGGGCGCAAAGGATGCTCCCCAAGACATCGGGGTACTCCTCTCCCAGATACTCGTAGAGAAACAGACCCAGATGCCCCAGCATCTGCTCTTCTCCGCTCTTAAACATGACGGTCGCAATCCTTGCCACCAGGTCTGCAGCTTGTTGCCTGAGTTTGGCCGACGGGGTGTTGAGCCTCCAGCGAATTACACCACAAATCTGGGGAAGATAAGGCTTTACGCGCACGGAGAGCGCGTTCACAATTGTGGAAAAGCCGTTTAAAAGCACAGCAGTGTCTTCAGTAGTTTGCTCCTGGAACGCATACAAGAGCCCATCAATCAACTGCTCCTCCAGCCGCCCGTCAACATCCGTGACGCCCCCATTGACTATGATCTGTTCAATGGTCTCCAACGTCACCTTCCTAAACGGTTCGCTAGGATCCTTCAGATCGTCCACAATAAATTTGATCACATGTGCCCCCCCAGCCTTCGAGGCGAGCTCCGTGGCTGTTTCCGTTAGGAGCTTCGCTGTGCGCCTGTCGAGGGCATTTCGCACGAGCCACATCTTCGAAAAGAAGGGTGGAATAATGTCAGTACGAATGTATTCACCCTCCACACCCTCAGTCGCCACACACTGCTTCACCACCCGCAACACAATCTTCTTCATTTCCTCGTCGTTCGTCTCGAACTCCCGCACCAACATCACCATAACTTCTCGTGTATAGTAGCTCGCGTGGTAGGCGTCCATAAGCGGAATAATGGACCCAATAGCTTTCAAATATGCTGCCAAACTTTTCCCCTTTATTTCACCAATGCCCTTCCACAACGGACGCAGGACGCAATCGAACGCCTCAATGCCGTAAGGGGCTGCCGCCTCGGCAAGCGCAGCGAGTGCCAGCGCCGTCACCGTCTTGATCTTCAGAACCGGGTCGTCCAAGCCGTGCTGAATAATTTCAACAAACTGCCGTAAGTGCGGGAGCACCCCACACCCCAAGAGGATCGCGATCTGCTGGATGATCTTGATGCCCGTGTGGCGTGCCTGCCAAGACTTCTTGCTCTGGCATACGGCCTTCAGAAACAACAACAGGGAGGGAACACCCAAGGCAGAAGCCACGACGGCGAACGCCCTGCGAAGCAGAAACAGCACGTCCACAAAATGAGAGACTCTGCTTCCTCCCGAAATGCGGCGGCTAAATGCCATGAGCCCTCAAATTCACGTCCTGTTCAGTTTGCGGCCATCCAGGATCGCGACAGGGCGGCGCACAGGCTGGCTTAATGCCAAGAAGCCGCCGTGGTGTATGTGCAGGCGGAAAGGAATAAAATCGGTCATCAAAATGCAGCACAATACGCAGCAACGGGCCCTTTCCTCCCAAAAATGCGCTTGGGGGGCGCCCCCTTTTTCGCCTGCGTCTGATTCAAGTGGTGCGGCATGGAACCTTCCACCATCAGACCCGTAGCGCGTTTTCTTACAAGACGCGGGCTGGCAGTACAAGAAAGCATGAAGAAAACAAAAGTTTTCGTTTCATGACGTGGAGCAGCACATACCTGGCGGTTGTGTTTCGGACGTATTCATCCGGGTGGTCGATATCCGGTCTCATGGTGGCGATCATGGTGGCGAGCCCTGCAGCTTTCGCGAGGTTGCTGATGATCTCGCGCCCCTCAATGCGTGCGTAATAATCCTCGTCAATTAGCAGAGGCTCTATGACGACCAAAATCTTGTGCGCATAAGGGCGCACCAAATCGTCCAGCTTGTACAAGACACGGTCAATGACCTTTACCAGCAAGTGGCGCTCCTGAGATGCAAGAGCAGCGACCATGGGCAGGAGACATTATACACATCATCAAAGCACAAGCGAATCTCCAGATTCTGCGGTGTATAGATGAGCCTATATACATGCCTATTCCCATGGCTCTGCACGTGTACATTCGCGCGCATGTACGCAGCTGTGTTTGGACCCTCGACGAACCTGGTCCTCCAGCGTTGTTTGCATCATTAACGGCAGAATCTGGTTGAAGAGCGCCGCAGCGCCAAACTCCTTGGCCTTCTCCGTCAAGACGCGCAAAGCAGATCGACGGAGAGGCGGCGTTCCGTTCTTGATCTTGAGAAGCAGCAGTTGAATCTTCTTTTCTTTCACCTCCTAAGACGATGTCAGACGCAGCACGCACTCGTCCGAACACGGCGATAAGATGGCGAGGCAGAGAAGGCGGGCTATTTTTTTGCAACCAATCCGACACACAGGCATGGGAAGCGAGAGGGCTTCCCCCACGCATGCGCGTGCAAACCCTGCTGATGTGCATGCACACACCGCGTCAAAAATATGCGAAAGGCATAGAACTGCACACTGCAGCAGCGAATCCTTCCGCGACTCCGGCCGCCAGCTGCCTCCGCTGTCATGGCTCAAACGGCCACCGTGCAAGACTCACCTCCTGAGTCATTTGGTCTTCCGGCTTCTCCTCAAAAAGCTTCGAAAAGAAGTGAAAGTCTTCCGCCTTCATCTGGACCCCCCCTGATGCCTCCCCCAGACCCTGGGGATCGAGCAGCGATCCCGTCGGATCTAACGCCTTGACGGAGATGCCCCCCTCCTCAGGCATGACGTACATGGGCGTTACACCCAGCGGCGTTGCCGCGGAGGAAATACCCGGCGTTGCGGGCGCCATGCCTGAGGCAGCAAGGGCCTGCTGTCGAGCGCGCGCTGCCGCCACTGCTGCCGAGGTGGGTGGGGGGTTGTAGTCGCTGGGGGGCTGCACGATCTCGTAACCCTCGCTCGGCATGATCCTGTCCAGCTCCTCGTCAGTCAGATATCGGTTGCGCTCATCGAACTCCTGCTGCAAGCGCAAAGCCAGCAGCTGCTCGGGAGTCTGCAGGGGGGTCCCTGGCGTCATGGGCGTCGTCCCCAAACCTGAAGGCACAGAACCACGGGAGCGCGAGAGCGAGGCAAAGGCGCAGTCAGCAGCTGGATTCTATGCGAAGCCGCCGGACAAACGTGCTGCCGAAGTCACCCGCGAAGGGAAGAAGGGGAGAGGGGGGAGAGAGCAGGAGCAGCAGGCACAAAAAGGCAGCAGCAGGCAGGCACAATGAAGCAGCAGCAGGCAGGCGTAATAAGGCAGCAGCAGGCAGGCACAAAAAGGCAGCAGCAGGCAGGCGTAATAAGGCAGGAGCAGGCAGGCGTAATAAAGCAGCAGCAGGCACAAAAAGGCAGCAGCAGGCAGGCACAATGAAGCAGCAGCAGGCAGGCATAAGAAGGCAGGAGTAGGCAGGCGTAATAAAGCAGCAGCGGGCATAAAAAGGCAGCAGCAGGCAGGCGTAATAAAGCAGCAGCAGGCAGGCGTAATAAAGCAGCAGCAGGCACAAAAAGGCAGCAGCAGGCACAAAAAGGCAGCAGCAGGCACAAAAAGGCAGCAGCAGGCAGGCACAATAAAGCAGCAGCAGGCAGGCACAATAAAGCAGCAGCAGGCAGGCGTAATAAAGCAGCAGCAGGCAGGCGTAATAAAGCAGCAGGCAGGCATAAAAAGGCAGCAGCAGGCAGGCGTAATAAAGGCAGCAGCAGGCAGGCATAAGAAGGCAGGAGTAGGCAGGCGTAATAAGGCAGGAGCAGGCATAAAAGGCAGCAGCAGGCAGGCGTAATAAAGCAGCAGGCAGGCGTAATAAAGCAGCAGCAGGCAGGCGTAATAAAGCAGCAGCAGGCAGGCGTAAGAAGGCAGGAGCACCCACCTGTCATGGCGAGTGGCGTGGCACCAGGCGTAAGCCCCGATGTCATGGGTGTCGCGCCAGGAGTCTGCGCAAGGCCTGGCGTGGCGAGCCCAGTGTCGGATCCGTCGGCAAGCCTCGCTCCCGTCAAGGGGGTAGCCATCGCGGATCCGACTCCGGAAGCCTCCTCTCCCTGGTTCCCTCCTGGAAGGGGTGTTGCATCCCACCGACTCCTTTTCTTCATCTGCAAAGGCGTTTGCCCGCCGACACCCGCAACCAGCGGAGTTGCACCCCACTGGCCTGGTGTGGGTGTTTCCTGCGAAACGCAACGCACACGTGGCGGTGGCAACAATAGCGGAATCGCCTCAGGCATTGCGCTGGTCGGCCGTCTCGAGCTCCACTTCCCAGAAGCGCGAAGGAGGCTGTACACACAGGTGCCTCCCGCCCCTCCTCGACAGAGCCTTGGGAGCAAAGGCACAAGAGGGGGAAGAATAAAGAAGAAGGGAAAGGGAGAAGAATAAAGAAGAAGGGAAAGGGAGAAGAATAAAGAAGAAGGGAAAGGGAGAAGAATACAGAAGAAGGGAAAGGGAGAAGAATACAGAAGAAGGGAAAGGGAGAAGAATAAAGAAGAAGGGAAAGGGAGAAGAATACGGAAGATGGGAAAGGGAGAAGAATACGGAAGATGGGAAAGGGAGAAGAATACGGAAGAAGGGAAAGGGAGAAGAATACGGAAGAAGGGAAAGGGAGAAGAATAAAGAAGAAGGGAAAGGGAGAAGAATACAGAAGAAGGGAAAGGGAGAAGAATACAGAAGAAGGGAAAGGGGGAAGGATAAAGAAGAAGGGAAAGGGAGAAGGATACGGAAGATGGGAAAGGGAGAAGAATAAAGAAGAAGGGAAAGGGAGAAGAATACGGAAGAAGGGAAAGGGAGAAGAATACGGAAGAAGGGAAAGGGAGAAGAATAAAGAAGAAGGGATAGGGAGAAGAATACGGAAGACGAGAAAGGGAGAAGAATACGGAAGAAGGGAAAGGGGGAAGAATACGGAAGAAGGGAAAGGGAGAAGAATACGGAAGAAGGGAAAGGGAGAAGAATACAGAAGAAGGGAAAGGGAGAAGAATACGGAAGAAGGGAAAGGGAGAAGAATACGGAAGAAGGGAAAGGGGGAAGAATACGGAAGAAGGGAAAGGGAGAGGTTCTGACTAGAGATGCTTCTCGTCAGGCTTCCCGATAGAAGTATGTAGGTGTGCAGATATGGAGAGAAAGAGAGGACTGCAAAGCTGTCGACCTAAGAGTCGGCTCTCTGCTCAAAAGGCTGGCTTGCCGAAAGCGTCGCCTTACCTGTCCAGTGCCTCCCTGCGCAGGAGTTGCATCCCATCTGCTTCTCTTCTTTGGCTTTTGCTCCCCCGCCTCAGCGGCTGGCTCCCCCGCGGAAGCCATAGGCGTATCACCCCAGCCTGGCGCTTGCCCTCCAGCCTGCAGAGGAGTATCCCATCGACTCGCGAGTGTGGCTGCAGCGGCTGCTGCTGCTGCAGCGCCTTCGCTGCCTTGCTGCTGCTGCTGCTGCAGCGCCCATCGCTCGGCTTCCGTGAGCTGCCGATCCCCGCCATCCCACCGGCCCCTCTTTCCTGCAGCGGCTGCCGCTGCCGCTGCCACCCCCGCTGCAGCCGCCTCCTCCTGCCTCTGCTGCAGCAGCTGTTGCGCGAAGGCTGCATCCTCCTGGAGCTTTCGGATCTGTTTCACTGCAGCCTGTTTCTCCCTATCCAGCTGCTGCTCCACCATGACGTCTGCGTAGCTCCTCGCGCTCACGTCCTCCCTTCGTCCACCCTCCGCGGCAAAGGGGTCTTGACGCTCAGGAGACAGGGCGCGCTGGAACCGCTGGCGCCGATACGTGTCTTCTCTTGCAGCAATAGCCTTCTTCTCCATGAGCGCTGCCGCCTCGCTTTCCCCCCCGGAGGTCGCCAGCATGGCTCGACGCTCGCTTTCCACCAGCCGTGAGACTGAGCCGACGCCTCCGCGCTGCTGCTGCGGATCCTCCCCGAAAACGGCGCCCAACGGCGTGGGCTGCTCATCCTCCGCTGGAATCTCCGCCAAATACTGGTGCACGGGCGTCTCGCCATACAGGTGAGAATCGAAGGCTCCCTTCGACGTTAAAGGAGCTTGACTACTGCTACTGCTGCTGCTGCTGGTGTTGTTGCCACGCCCACTCCCACTTCCGCTGCCAGCGGCTCGGCCGCTGCCATCTCCGTTCTCCATTGGCGAGGGTGAAGGAGCACCACCACCACCACTGGGGGAGGGAAGAAGCGCACTATGAGATGCGGCTAAAACAGACACGTGGAGATTTTTTTACCCTTAAGAATACTAGAGGCACTGGAGGCACCGCAGTGGATGTTTGAACCACAGGGAACTGCGCGTTCTGCAGGGTTCCCGAAGGAAACTTAAACCCGCCCCTTTGGTGCCTATCCCACGCGCTGCTTTCTTAGATCCCCAGTTTGCTGCACGTCTTCTAGCTGAGGCCCTTCTGCAGAGGCACAGACTGGCCGCAGCTGCTGCTGCTGCTGCTGCTCTGCGGCACGGGGAGCGCCAAGCCCATAAGCCGTCGTTTGCTTGGAAGCAGATATACACCCTCTGGCCGCAAACAAGTCCAGAGGTTGCGACTTAAGGAGAAAGGCGGAGGAAACTGCGCAACCACCGAATAACAGCCCGCATTCTGCCAGACGCTGACGCATGCAGGAGGACTGCAGAAGCGGCCGCTCTTAGCGGGATCCCCAGACTGAGAAGCCATTGGCCATTCGGCTCTTCTCTCATCACGGGAAAAAGCTTTCGCACAGTAACTTCACTTTTAAGGTAACTCAAGGGAGGAAGAGACAGTGTTTATCTGTACGCCCCACAGGGTGCAAAGTGGACGGGATCTGACCGGCAGGTTGTAAATTCGCATTGCGGATCGCTAGAACGCAACAGCGCTTCAGTATTCGCATATTATGGCAACACCCCGCTTAATCTCTTAGCCTTCCTCCTTGGAAGGTGTCGCTTACTCTGGGTATGGGCATGCCGAGGCAAACAGACGCAACAGAACGTCTTTGCTCCAGGCACAGCGCCAGCACCTTCTTGCTTTTCCTGGTCACACAGCTGCACCACACACACTTGCTTCTTGCTTGGCTAGTTTTGCACTTCCGACTGGGCATGCTGTATACTGAAATTTTGTGGCTCTGAGGCGTTCTGGCCATGATTTAGCGCTCCACCAGGATCTCGATAGGTTCTGTAAAGTTGCATATTGGGGTCTCATGGGGGAGGCAGACGCTTCACTCGAAACGCAACACAGATTCAACGAGAGTATTGACTGTATTATCAGGAAAACTCGCACTTTCCGCTGCCCACGCCCCTCATAATTCCCAATATAAAAGAGAAGGGACAGCTAGGGTACGCGTGAAGGCAGACTCTAAGCACTCCCGGCATTCACAACTAGTTGTACGTAGCATGTAGCACACATGCACACAATGTTGTGTCTTCCTCTTTCGAGCTAGCAGTACTCTGCAGTGTGTGGGACGTACGGACCGACGGACAATGTAGTCCAGTCGTTGCGCAGTGTTTAAATATGCCGGATGGAGTACAAAGTGTTTATGTATATTTTGGTCCGCCACATCTTCCCCCCCATTTCAAGGCACACGCCGATTTGTTCTGTACCTGTACGCTGAGTGTGAATACATACACGACAACTGAAGAGTTTCCACACTCGCCCTACCCCAGAGGCACGCGGAGCGCGATAACAATGCGAGTCGGAAAAGCAAATGTTTGTACAAACAGCTTGGATAAATTGGAATGGAGAAAAGACAGTCACTGGCCAACAACGAACGAGAAACCAAATCAAGACCGCAGCGGCGGCACGATGCCTCGCTGTCGTCTGGGCTACGCAATGTGTGAGCCTTCTGCCACTACAAAACAGAAGAGTAAGACCAATTACAGCTGCACCTCAGAAAGCCTATGCAGTCAGTCGGACCAAACATCCATGTTCAAATAATCGTCCAATCACCCCTTCTCATAATTGCGTGGTTGTTGCTAACGAAATTTTTGCATGCTTTCACGTGGACTAGGTTTACACCGATATCAGGTCAACGACACGCTTTGAGAGAAGTGAGCAAGCTAAAGTAGAGCGATTTTTTCGATAGATCAGCATTTCGAAGAATATAACATTTTGGTTCACAAAAGGCACAGCAAGGGCGAACAGCTGCTTCACAAGTGCTTAATCTCAGTTCTGACGGATGGGGCTTACACGAATTCTGGACAACTTGAGGCTTCAAGAGCAAATGAGCTCAACGCCTGCGCCTTTGGCTAAGACGAAAGTGCCTAGTGGGGACTTAGGGCATGTGGATGTCGTGGCTGTGTCATCGAGCTCTGACCTCCAGTCTACGGTAAATGAGAAAAACCCGCTAGACAGGAGCCGCGTTCCAGGCCCCAATCAACACAGTTGCCTCTACTGTGGGAGATTGCGTTACATAATCAGAGCCTGCGAGTGCACGGAAGCTAGGCAGCTTGAACTACGGCACTGAGCCAAGCGGAAGCAAGCTACTTGGTCAGCAAAAAAGCGCATCTGAGGAACGCGAAAGACCCGTATGGGCGTGGTGCAGTGGAGGGGGCTACAGGGGAAAGCCCGCAGGTGGACGCCCATAAAGCTTCTATTCTGCCTTAATTCCAGTAGATATTAGTCGTCGAGAATTTCTGGCGTCGCTTGACAATAGGCGTGAATTGTATTTGTTTCTCGAAAGCAGCTCCAAGCTACGTTCCGCGTTATGGAATACCCCCATATCATGATAAGGGTATCGAACGCCAGGGCAGATAATCTGCTAGGAAACGCAGAGATCAACCAGATATTTTGGGAAAATCCTAGCGCTGATGCCGGAAAAGCGTTGAGAAAGGCGCATTTGCCTTGCCTTCTAACCCTCGAACAAGCTTACTATGGAACAAAAGTTTCCTTTGTCTGTTGCTGCAGAATTACTTGATAATTTGCACAGCGCAGCACTCTACTCGGCAGACACTTCAATCAACTGACAAATCTCTAATCACCCTGATGACCGGCAGAAAGTGGCGTTCTGCATTTGCATGCGAAACAAGACTACTAGCAAATGCCGTTTGGACTTGTTGACAGCCCAGCTGAGTTTTACAGGCATGTTAATCAGGAATTTCATGAGGTTATCAAAAAGGGACGGATTGATGGGGACAGCCGTACATCCGCTAATGGTGCCAAAGTCCACAAAGGCGAAGAGGTCAAGCAACAAATAGCTAAGGGCTTGCTATTACACGAAACAAAGCGGGGGCACTGTCGCCTTTACTGTCCACCTTTACTCCTCATCGCCATGGCTTGGCAAAAAGAACGATCACTCTCATTCGGGCCAAGACGAAATTCCCACTACAGTGAAAAGGCTCTCACGGTCTTTCTGGTTGCCTGGGGTGAGTCCAGCAGCAAAGGAGTATGCACTGCCATGCCCAGATTGTCAGCAAGTCAGGCAACGCATTTCTCCTGAAACTGGCGTCTCGAAACGCTCTCAGGGACAAAAAGGGATTTGAGTTGGTCTGGCCATGAACCTTATTGTTACCGAAAGTCAAGCGTCGGGGTAGCATCTACGTTATTGTCAAAAAAAGTAGCAAACATACTTTCATTCCTTGCTTCCACCTTTGTCAAGCCTCAAGAAGTAGCTATAAAAATTTGTGCATTCGTCTACCACCTAGTCGCTTTTAATCTTGATCTTGCCGATTGTGCAGGATGTAGCCAACTAACACTGCAATCGCACCTCCAGCTGTGTTCTGCGCAGTTTCAGACACACTCTAAGCTTCAGCATCTGATAAACTAGGAGCATGCACACCCATTGTCTATCAGGGCCCACAGCACTCAAGAAATTTAGTGCAGCTGCGCAATATTCCACACCATAAGGCAACGATTAGTTTGCAACTCTAGAATAATCGAGGGTGAGGATGGTATTCCAGACTGTAGAATTTAGGCCATACCTGAGCGTACCGAAGAAATTAAGCTGAACTATCGGCAGGATGTAAGAATGAGCACATTACAAAAATTTGCGTCTCAGCTATCTGCGTTTTGCCAGAGCGACACTGGAGCCTATCGGGAGAACGGGGGCTCTTAAACTAAAGCCTTAAATCGGGTTGCATGTGATTGCGCAAGCGAATCCAATCTCCAAAGCCAGAACTGTATCTAAGAGCTGATTTTGCATTGAGATTACTTTCCCTCTAAAGCATTCAATCGCTCTTATAAAGCAAGATATTGATAGACGTGCATGATTTGCAGGCGTACGCCAGCTGGCATAGTTAGCGTCAAAGGGTTGGACGCGGGCTTACGCCAAGGGCATCTTTCGCAGTATATTTTTACTGGTTCACAACTCCTGGAGAAACGACTGATTCTGTGCTGTCTTGAGATAGACTTTGCATGGGGGTTTAGGAAGGCTATGCAGAGGGGCTAGCAGGTGTGGGATTGTAAAGCGCGCGTACACCGCGTGCAAAGGAGCCTTTGTTCCCATTCTGTTCAGGCCTGGAACAGAGGCAAAACTTATCAGTGAGCATTATTTGAAGAACGCATTGCCGCTATGCCCCTGGGCTTCTGGATGTTAGCAGTATGAGAGTAGAGGAGACACAGGAATAGGAGGTGCGGCGCTTGCTGGTAGTGCAGTTGGTCCTCGTGAGCCTGTAGATCACCTCTTGGACCCTATATCATGTATCATGATGGTTAGTAAGGCATTTTTTCTGGATCTGGTGAGGCGGATCGTTAGTCACCCTTAGTAGCATATGAATTCAGAGACTAGCCTGTCAGTGCATGCTCTTTTATGCGCAAGGCTCGCGAGGAGGAAAGAACATCACGTAATTGTGATACATGGCTGTGTGCTGAGTGCTTTGAGCCTGGAGCCTTGGTCTTGATGAATTGTCAGGCTTTATGAGTCCCTCCAGGTAACCAAACGAAGAAATTTGTGGCCAGGCTCTTACCACAAGTTGCTATCTTCTCAGTCAATATTCTTTCTTATTCTATTGGTTTTCATTGAAGTGGGAGGCGCCACAAAGCTATCCACATTAACTATCATAAAACTTTACAAATACCTCGGAAATTCTGCGGAACTTGCCATGCAGACAAGTGAAATGTGTAGAAGCAGCCGACGCAGGCAGCTGTAGAGTTGCTAAACGCTAGGAAGTTTATGTAAGGGCCGATGACAATCTAGACGGGAGTGCGTATAGTGAAATAGAATGGACTATGTTTACCGCAGTGAGTGGAGGAGGCGTGGATGAGCGTTTTGATGCATTTGGGAGAGTTCGCAGCTCTGTTTGGTCCACAACGCTAATCGCCATGGAGGATACTACTTGAGTTTCCCGATACATACCCTTCGGTTGCGCATATTCTTGGCTGAATACAGCCAGCTTTGTCTTGTGCAATTCTTAAAACATTCTTGTTCATTGTGCTAAACGTTTTCTTTAGACTCAGTTTTGTGTGCAGGCGTTCTCAGTTTTCTTGCATCCACTTTCGTGCGTGTGCTTGTCTTGGTGCTGGAATTTCGACTAGGCTGCACTCACTGGCTGTAGATTAATGAACCAGCTTGGACAGGCTCTACTAAAGTAGGTCTTCTAGTGGCAAATATGTGACCAATAAATTCACTAATTTCTCTGTTCGACACCCTTTCATTGCAGGGCACTACCAGGTCAATACAAGAAAACGTATTGTTGTATACACGCGCGTTAGATGCTAAGCGCAGCTGGCTGTGAATGCTCGAAATGTGTAGCCGGTGGAGTGGATTCCCCCTAGCTGTCTCTCCCTTCTAATTGTGGAGGCCTAAGGGCCAGGGCAGGTAAAAACGGGAGCTCTTTTCGCAGATCACTTAATAGCGTTTTGTTATCTGGCTTTGCAATGACTAGAAAATTTACGTTTGTCCCCTTTAATGCGAGGTTACAGGAACTCTGTGAGACCTGCCTCTGTGGCCTTTGAAGAGATACCCACCAACAGCTCGAGGCCACTTGCTTTTTCCTACTGGGAAGCAAGACTAGACACCAGAAGCTAAAGAGAGAATGGCAAAAGAAGATGCAACAAATTTGTCCAAATCAGTGATAGTACACCGTTGTTCTGCGCACCTAGAAGGGTTCTAGAAGCGGTTTCTGCAATAACACTGGAGTAATGAGTGACGTAGGCGGCGCCTGGCTCACAGGAATCATGGCTAAGTAACGAGAACTCGCAACAAAAGTTTTTCTTGCTGTTGTCAAAAACAAGGATTGATTCGCGACAGCTGAGGCCTTTACAATTGATTGTGAGACTACCAGCATAGCTATACGTACATTGTACCACTCTTTTCGCTTTCACTTTCTGTATGTACGAGAGTAATCGATGGGGGGTCCTCAGGGGCTTCAGTGGCCCGGCAGGTTACAGAACCGCGCAGCGACGCCAGATTTCTGGCATATCGTAGCCTGCAGCCTCCAATATATAGACACACAACATAAAATCTGAGGAGCGTTGATACACTTTAAGGGTAGAAAGAGGGCTGACGCTCTATCGGCGCCAGTCGCGCTGCAGGGTCTGATACAGAGTTCTAGGTGCTATGCAGCCAATTGGAATACCCTTTTCTCTGCTCCTCTCTGCCCGCCAGATTTCTTGAGTAGCCTTTTGAAATCAGACAGAAGGCACACTGCGTGCACTCTGGGTGGCTGGCGGTTGAAGTGATTAAATGCATGCAAAGTAAACATCAAGGGTGTCAATGTGTGCAGGCAGATTCAGACAGGCGAAACTGGAGGAATCTAGGGCCTCAGTTTCGCAGCTTTCAGGTAATCTTGGTGCTGCGTGGCGCTTGCCGCTTGTTAATTTGAAAGCATCTGCGGCGTGTATCCGTAGCTCTGTTTTCCTTTGTTCAATAGGTCGAGCTTCCCGGCTTTGAACTTGCACGCTTCTGCCTCCTGAGCTCCGGGGTTCATTAAAATTGCCCCTACCCTTTTTGCTGGGGTTCTTCCATGGGTCAGCATGCGTCTGCTTGGGTCATCGTTCGGCCTTGGGGCTGGTGTCGGGGGTGTTGCTGGCTATGGCAACGCCTCGAGGCGCTATGCAGCTCCCCAATAGTATTTCACACCGGAAGAGACTTAGAATGCGCAGCTCCAGCGAGGAGTTGGCCTGGACGGCCCCTGTCGACTATCGGTGCTCCCAAAGCCGATCTGGGGCTTTTCAATGGCCTTCTACGACTCGCGCCAGAATCCATGGTGTTTCTCTCCCCCTTATGGTTTATCCTCTTTTGTAGTTTAAAAGCAGCACTAGATGGTGTCAGATTCCAGCGGGGAAGTGCATGCCGAAGAGGATTCCCCGCAGCAATGGCTTCAGCGCCTGACCGTAAAGGTTGAGCCCGGCCAGGATGAACCAGCCAAGAAGGGCAGCACGGCTGCCTCTATCGTTTTCTCTGAACGGCAGGAGGCACAGACTTGGGATCGCGGGAGAAAGCGTGGCAAGAGCAGACGCAGCGACGGTGAAAAACGGAGGAAGAGCCACGGTGCTGTCGAGAAGCCTCCGAAAGAAGAGAGCATTCTGTTTCCGAGGGAAGCCCCGGTGTATGTACCTGCGCTCGCCACGTCGCAGCTGCCCTTCGGCTCGTCCCAGCTAGTGCGTTCAGGAGAAGAGACATTTTCAGCTGACCAGCTGCAGCTCCTCGACTTGGCGGCACCCGGGGCAACAGGTCTCTGGCGCATGCATACGAAGAGCGGCGTAAATTACCGGAAAGGGCCGTTTACCACGGAAGAGAGGCTGATAGTTGAGGAAGCCCTGGAGCAGTACGCTCAGAGGGAGGGGTTAGAGTCCTTAGAAGAGGCTGTACGGAGCCTTTCTGGGAATATAGGACGGAAAACTAGCGGCCGTTTCCACTCCATTGCGCGGTGTTTGCCGGAGAGGCCCTTTATATCGGTGTACGGATACATTCGCCGCCGCATCACGGGCAACGCGAAGAGGGGTCCATGGACGGCAGAGGAGACGCAGCAGCTCGTTCAGCTCGCGAAGCGCATCCCTCCGTCCAGAGGCAGGTGGGTTAAGATTGGGGCTGTTCTGAATCGCAGGCCTGTGGACGTTTGCGACAAGTGGCGCTTGGTGCAGCCGCGACTCAGTCAGCACGCAGCAGAAGCACCGCTCGAGGCTCTAGAAGACAAGAGCAGCGCGACCACAGAAGCGGATGCAGAGGCCCCTGTGAATTCTCAGAATAGAGACGCTGTCGCCACGGCGAGTTGTGCTGCTGGGCCAGGTTCAGGGCAGCTTGGAGAGGCTGCACGGGAGCAGCTGCTGCGGGAGGTGCAGCGGAAAACGGGAGAGGACCTGCCGTCTTTTGGAGTTCCATGGCGCCGAATTCAGGAGGAGTCTTTTCCTCTGTGCGCGCACTCGTTTTTGCGGCGAATTTACGCCCTCTCTGTGGTCCCTGACGAGCTGGAGCGACGCATGGGAGTGGACCCCCGTCCCATTATTTTGCGGCACATCCTGCGCTGCTTTCGCAGATTAGAGGAGCAGCTTCCCGCGCGGCTTCGAGGGGTTGAGTGGCTCGACATTCTGCCGTTCGTGCCTGCGGGTCTGCAGTACAATGTTGTGCGCACTGCTTCTGCCCACCTGATTCGGGTGGAGGGGACTTCCGTGGACGCTGTAGTGCCTCAGCTGATCGAGGAACATCAGAAGAGTATGGATGCAATGCGGAAGAAGGATGCTCGGCGGCTTCTGCGCGCGGCGCTGCCAGTCAGTGTGCAGGAAAGCCTGGAGGCGAAGGTCCGCGCTAAGGCGGCGCTGAAGGGCTGGCCCGAGAAGACTGTCAAAAAGAAGGTGCGGAAGAAAATAAGAAAGGCAGCTGTGGAGGAGCTGGAGAGGCTTAAAGACCGACTTAAGGAAGTCAGAGCCTTCCCGCTAAATGCACCACCCCGCGGGAAAGGTCAGCGCGCACTGGAGAGCACTAGTGGCACCGATTTTGGCTTAGGCGGAGACTCCGCTATGGAGGCGCCCGCTGCCCTTCTTGATGGGGGGGTTGACGCGGAGACTGCGGGGCTGCTGGCCACGCCGTTTTCACAGGCTCCGCAGCTGCTTCTGCATGAAGCACGCAGGCAGAATGGCGGACCAAGAGCGTTGGGACGGGAAGAGTGCAGTGGGCGGCACGAGGAGGAGGAAGAGGAAGCAGACACAACGGGGGGAGCTACACAGAACAAATCACGAGCCTGCAAGTCGAAAGGAAATGAGCTGCGGGAAGAGGCAGAGGGCTTAATTGTGTCGTCTTCTACGGAAGACCGTGAGCAGCAGAGGGCTAGAGCGCTGAAGAGGCAGCGAGCAGGTGCATCTGCGCTTGTGGCAGCGGGACCCTTAACAAGAGTGTCGGCGAGGGACGAGAGCAGGGCGCAGAAAGTATGCTTCGATGAGGCTGCAGACGTCAGTTCTAAGCGAAAGAAGAAACGGAGGGTAACTACAGAGGGCGACTCAGCGGCAGAGGGCACGGAAAAGCGAAAAGAGGCGCAAAGGGGACAAATGGGAGAAGGGAGAGGCCGTTAGAGAACACATTGGGGCAAGTAAGCAAGTAACTGGTCGAGTATTAGGGGCACATACAGCTGCCCTATGTGTGCAAAAAGTCCTTTTTTAGTGCAACTTTTTTCGCGATACAAGTTTTAGAGACACTACTGAACGGCACTGCTAGAAGGCGCGCGACGCTGCGACGAGGCAGCAGCCATTTTTTGGGGGCGCTATTCTCCGCGAAGCGCCGAAAATATTTGTGCATCCATTTTTGGGCCCATTTAGCGTAGACTATCGCAGCAACGCGGCGAGAGGCCGCTGTGTGCTTAGGCTGACCCTACCATTTCCCTACGGGGATTTCCTTCGAAGCTGGCAAAGTTTATTGCAACACATGTTGCATGCTGCGTTTGTACTAGCCTTTTTACGTGAATTTCGGCTTTATTGCGCCTTCTCGTGGGCGCTGCCCGCAGCACTGGCCGCCTCAGCAGTACCATGCAGTTTTGTAGCCCCGAGTGTTCGGCGTAGCTGGTGACTCTCTAATGGGATGTGCATGCAGCTTAACTGCGGCGTTCAGAGCCCATAGAATGATAATGCGTGCCGCAAAAAGGGGTTTTGTCGGGGCCCTCACGTAGGGCTCCCTGGAAGTTGCTACGCACTTCCCATGTTGCCGACGGCGGACGCTAGTTCTTCTTCAGATGGCAGCCTGGTTTGGGGATATACGACCTTTGGTGGGGGTTCAGTTTTAACGACGACAGTGGGGGCTGCATTGGCATGGGGCGGTCCCCCGTTGCCTGGTTGAGCGGGATGCAACTGCGGAGCAAGAGCCTCGGGGGCCACTAGGCTGTTGGGAATGCCCAAGTCGGCGACGCTCGGCTGTTGGATGTAGAAGACTTCGGTGTACTCCATAAGCTGATATAAATAAATCATTTTTGAGGTGCTTTTGACACAAGGAAAGGCTGCGGGCGTACTGCTCTAAGAATTTGCTCCGCCATATCTTCGGTCCCTGCGTCGAGACGCAGTTGGCAGTAGAAGGACGCATGTCATGTTCACCCCGACGTACCGACGGTCTCTGCATCTGCTTTAGTACATTTTCGTTTGCATTGCTATGCGGAGGATCCCAATAGAAAGGTCATTGCTTCTGCTATTCAGCCACAGACATTGCTCAAGTGGAGCTTACGAGCTGGGTCCTGTCTTGCCCAGGATTCTCTGGAATCGACGTGCAGGCAAACATGCTAGTCTTATCATTTAAAGATAGCCTTACGAATTTTTGCAACTGTCAGGGCGCAACATATCTCGCAGAAGTTTTTTCCACACTGCAGTGCACTCATTCAAAAAATAAGGGAATACGCCTCCGCTGCATTCACGAACGAACCTCTGCTGCTTCTGCCGCACTAGCGATCGTGAGCTCTGCACACCGTTCTTCATGAGCTTCTGTAATTGAATTCTGTAATCAGGTGCGGCTGAAAATTCATGTTCGTCAATCAAACGCACTCAGACGGTGGAAGCTGCATTCGCACTCTGCTGGAGGGGGCGCTTCGCTGCTCAGCGACTCGTCAATGCTGCAAACAGTTCCTTCATAAAACAGCAACGTAAATGAAGAGCGACTACTAAGGGGAAGGAGAAACGCAAGTTGTTACCATTGTGAACGTCAGTCACGACGGCAAACGGGCCGTCGGAGAGTGCGGCTGTGCTTACGCTGTGCAGGCTCCACCCATAGGCGACCGCCGGGGAGAAGAGAACTGCTGTAATTAGAGCAAAATGCATTCTCATGTGTGCCTCCCTAAAACGGGTAATTCATGCCTCCTGATGAGTCATTCCTACCACAAAGGTAGATTGCCCTCCGGTGTCTGTCCATCGCATGGCATTGATTGAACGCATTACGCACCGCTTGCGCAGAGCGCCGTTGATGAAGAAACAGACACCTTTGTCATTTTCACTACAAATAGCGTTGTTGAACCGAGTTTGATAGCGCTTTAAATGCCTCTGGAATTGCAGGGACGTCATCTGTGCAGCAGTGTACTTGTGTTATCCCCGTTAGTTCATGAGACGTGTTTTACGCATTCGATTTCCCTCTTAGTCTGCTCGTGGTTAAACATCATTTAGCCTTTAATATGATGTGCAGAATGGGATACTAATCGCAACTAATCATGTGTTCCCATAAAAGTTCGCCAAAACCTCATGCGTTTATTTTCAAAATCACATTGTTCTGCTGCCACGCGCAGCATTTCGCACCATTGCCTTCGCCAAACTCAAGTGTCAGGTAATGGAACAACGCGGAAGCAGATGGCAGCACGTCCCACTCAAAAGAAAACCCTGTAACCCAACATCGCTAAAAGGATCAGCACACGACTCAGCGCCAGATACCCTCCACTGCCCTCTGCAGGACCAGTGAGAAACGGTGTGGGGTTCGCCTGTCTTGCAAGCGTCCATAATACATTGAACAAACGCAGCAAAAAGAAAAGGAAAGAATACTATTCCACTTATTTCAGTCCGCAGATAACGGACAGTCACAGTTGCTTCTGGCCTCGGCAGCCGGCGGGTGCGAGCAGAATGCAATGCAGAATGCAAGAATTGAATCAGACTGGGAAGGCTTGTCACTAAAGCCCCTACATACAGAAACAAGCGCTTTCGGCAGCCATACAGTCGAAGAAGGGAAGAGGATGAAAGGTGACCAGCAAGAATTACATTTGAAGAAAATGATGAATCAGAGACTGATGACAAGGAGACAGAGCATGGTCGATATATACGGGTTAAATGAATTCACCCCATTCCACTGTAAAGGCCAAGCGTTGTGCTTCCTACGGAAGGCGTGCTGCTACGTTTGCCTTCACGGTGTGCTGCTACGTTCTTTTCTCGTGTTTCAAGCAATCGGATTGTACGGTGGCACGAAATCGCCATACTGCTTTATGTAGGCCTTGCAAGCCTTCTTCAAGCTGTCTACCCACCCCACTGGTGCTCGTGCCGCAGTTGTATTGACAACCCACTGCGCAGACACAGGCAGCAAAAACAGGAACGAAGGACACACGTGAAACGTGATAGAGAATCTCTGCATTGACTGGCAGGCACCACCGATCGAAGGCACCCTTTAGAGTCAAAAGACGGGCCCAGACAAACCGCAGAGGGGATGTGCACGAAATAAGGCTACTTTGATTTGTATGCAGTGCAACAGACAAAGTGACATGTGACATTTAACTTCTGTTAAGCTCACTCGTATGTGTGGTGGCAAACAAGACCTCACAGCTAGGCAGCATGCAGCTTCTCGTGAGTTTGGGCATAAGGGAATGGGAGTATACGTAAGGCTCCCTACCTTGGGAATTAAACCCTTTACATCAGTTTGCGCCAAAATGAAAAGAGTCGACGAAGAAGCGTCGTTAGGCTGTGCCGCCATTATATATCCTGAGCACAAACATGCAGGCGAAACTTTACCTGCCCGGTGGAATATACTCTGTAGACTTTAGCGGTTCCATCCAATTCTTTCACCACACATTTTGAAACTTCTTGACGCCCCTTAGGCCGCTAATCCCGTTGACGGAGAGAGATCTGGGCTTGTTACGCATGTGTTGCTGCCCACCCGAGATAAGCGTCTCAGCCCTGACAACTCCGCTCTTCTCTGGAACCGAAGGGTGATCAGCAGATCTGAACGGGTAAAAATAACCAAAACACCAATGGATAGAAATAAGTGTGGAAGCAAGCCTTAGGCAAGCCGCTGGCGGCGAACCTAGACCACGCAAGAGACGAAGCAGGCTAGGACACAACGCTCTGATTATTCAACACAAACCAATTCATGCGCTCTATGATAGAGAATGGCACGACGCAAAGCACTAGGACAGACCCATTTAGTATACCGAAGTTCGGCGTGAAACACAAGCTGGGCCAAGAAGAGCATTGCGATATGTACCAAGCGTTCCCTGCTGCTGTAACCCCCATCATGAAGATCCAGGTCTAAGGCCAACTGTAAAACCATAGCTCGTGATAAGCGGACTATGCGACATATGCACGTAAATAATGCGGAACTTCGAATAACGTGCTCCAATGTTTGTACCGCATTAGCATTTTGGTAACCTTCGCTTCCGGATCTTCTTCGGTCCTTCTCCACTGCCAACAGACAAAGAACAGCACGAAAGCAGAAAATAGGGAAATCATCAATACTCATCATTTTAATGCGGTTGGGTGACAAAAAATTACATGCACACAAACACACCGTGGAACAAGGAAATCCAAACAGAGCAGGCAGAGATACATGCCATACCATCGGTAGCAGTCCAGCACAGCTTGGAAGGGACCAGTGAGACGGTTAGTGTACAACAGCTTGAATACCAAAGCACAGCGGCGCCTGCAATGGTGGGGCGGCGGATAATGAGAGGAGCGGCTTGGGCAGCAAAAAGTTCATATGTTTTCGAAGATGACTTCAGTGCAAGAACATCCATCCGTTTACCTGAAGAAAGTCCCTGTTGGACACTGGGAACGGCGCCTTCATGAGGCAGTAAATCATCTCGCATCCATCGACATCCTGCTCGACCACCCGATAGTCGCCAAATGTCGTGTCCCTGAGAGACAAAAAAAGATGCAGCGCGGCCGATTGGTGAGACTGACCCAAGGACCACGTGTGAAACACATGCACCAAACAGTTCACTCCACGCGAGAACTCTAATCCATGAGGGCGGCAGAAAACCGAGATGAGAAAGACTACAGCTAACAGCTCGGTAACCTTGGCAAAAGCATTTCCTTTACCATCCAACATCAAGAGGGTAAATCGCAAGACGCAGTGCCCTCCACCCGACTCTATATACTGTTGGAATCACGTGTATGTAAGTATGGGTGAGCTCTACCTGCGGGAGTCAACCACATGGGTGTGCTATGAAGGAAAAAGACACTCTGTAAAAAATAGCCCTTGTATTCATGAACAGCAAGGCGCATACAGATATTCAGATGCCAGGCTAAAGACCGCGCTACATAGCTCATGGTCTGCATACCATTTTAGTCTAGTAGGAATATGCCTGATGTGATGACAGAGAACCTTGACAGGAATGCCTTCTAATGTTGCGTAGGCCTTGACCATGACCACAGGGGAGTCTGGCGAGTTGTATTTGTAGACTTTGATGGTTGCCTGATCCACCGTCAGCTCCCACATGGGATCTGACGAGTCATGAGGCTCCTTCTCTTCCAAGAACTGCATTTCATAAGATCCTCTGAACAGGTTGAGGCAGCGCACGCACGTGCATGGACTGGGTTTCATGAACTGTGTAGAAATACAGATTCCGTGTTATTTACACTGATATCCCCCTTTTAATCGCACATGGGCGTTTGGTGCTTCAGTCTCGTGTCGAAGTTGACCAAGTCCTCGTATGACTTGAACAGACGGGCAGGTCCTAGCAATACAGAAGAGGGAATCAAACAGGTGCAGAAAAAATCATGAGTGAAAAGGTCATGGCCTTTCGATTGTCACCGATGAGGACACCCCAACTAAAAGAAACAGCAGCGCATATTAGGAGCCCTGTTAATCCTGGGGCTCAACGAACTCCTAAAAAGCACAGCTGAGCCGAAAAGGGTACATGGCATGTCACGAAGGGAAAAAACGCGATTGCTTCATCTCTTATTTTCTGTGCATGAAAAGATTCAGTTGTTTCTTGACGCGAAAAGCGGGCAAGTGCATGCTAATCTCTCTCCAATTTCGGCTGATCGGCTCAACTCGTCTCGACACATCCCCCGGTGATGAGGTATCCCACGCACCCTTTTGAGGCCCCAATCCCCAATAGGAACCCCCCCCGCCAGTCTCGGATCCCTTGCCCACCCTCTGTTGGCTTTTTTTCGAGGCGAGTCGATCGTTTAGAGCGCACCAAGTCCTTCTCTGGTGCGACGCACGACAGACAGACAGCGGCAGTGTGCACCCTTCCAGATGAGCGAAAAGGCCTCTTGCAAGCTAGCCGAGGCCCCTTTCTAGCCAGCAATGGGAGTTTCACGCACCCTACCCCCATGCTATGTGGCCCCGATTATCGGAAGCTGCTGTACAGTCCCCTGCATGCACACGTGTAGAGCCTAGGCTACGTCTCGCTTACCAGGGGGAGGCACAGAAGCCCCAATAGCTTTGGGAGCTTCCGGCAGTGCTGCACTGCGCACGCTTTTGCTAGGAGGTGCAGGTGTCTGACGAAGCGTAGCTGAACGGTAACCTTCTAGGGAGGTATCCGGGGGTAGAGCGACATTGAATTCGCTGTTGGGCTTCAGGTCGCCGGAGTTAATCTGCAGACACATACACGAAGGGAAGGCGTGAAGGCTAGACGAAGGCGCTCAAAAGGCCGATTGGCGGATGTAAGAGATCGGAGCCGGCCATATCCTTGAACAAGGCCAAGCGCCTTAGAGGGCCCACTATACACACAATCAACCGAAAGCAGAGCGAACGGGGGAACGGCCTCTTCGAAGAAAAAGCGGCAGGTACTGCGGTGTGGAGCTACACGCACACCGACGCTTTCGCGCAACCCTGCAAAGATTGTACTGTCTACCTCAGGAGGCAGCCATCCCGCCTCTTCTTTTCGGAAAGATGGCCTGTCTTTCACAGCCCCCCAAGGACGAAAATCACTCCCTCGCGGAAGAACGACTCTTCGCTTCCTCCCTCTCCTCTCGCTGCTGCCCTCCCACCCAACTCCCAAGTACCTTCGTCAGCTCCAACAGTTCACTGTCGAAAGAGGAATACTCGCCCTCCTCCCCACTGAGCTCGTCTTCGGAAGTCTGATTCTTGCTCTGCGACTCCTGAGACGTTTCACTGCCCATTCCTCCCATTGGAGCGTCACCCCGCCAGGCTGCAGCCGAATATGCAGGCAAGAGGCAGCGTACGCGCCAGATCTAGACCCTATCTAGGCCTTAGGCCAGAGCTTTGAAGGAGCCACCCTGGGAAATCCGCCTCATTTAGCATGGACGGCCTGCTGCCTGCCAGCTCCCTTCTGGCCTGACAGCCGAGTGGTGTGTGAGCAGCGATCACCTTGTACCAGGTCTCCCCCCTTCATGACGTGCCGCTGCACTTGCTTGCTCGCGTCCGCGCAGAGAATCGCGTTCTGCTCCTTCTCTGCCTCCTGAGGAGAGAGAGAGGAAAGAGAGAGACAGGCGCGAGCAGCAGCAGCAGCAGCGCAGAGACGCAGCCTTGACTAGGCACCCTTCCGTCCGGCGGAACCACGAGAGAAGACAAAACAGAAACGAAAACAGAAACGCTTGCACGGCTGCCACGAGCCGAGAAGCGAGGTGTGTGGACGCCGACAGAGGCTCAGGGAGCAGAGGAACAAGAGCGAATGGCGTGTGCAGCGCTTTACGGGCTTTTGTCGCCAAGCAGAAGTAGCCCTCGCGGATTTGAAGATGGCCATGACTGCATCATCATCCAGCAACGTCTGCATGCGATCGACGACTGGAGGGAATCTCTTCCTAAGCGCACAAACGGCATCAAAGCCAGACGCCCTACCTGCTGCCTTGCTGCTCGACGGCGCCAGCTTCGAAGCCGAGTGGCATGCCACTTGGAGGCACAGGCTGAAGCGCGGGGAGATTAGGCCGAAAGCAGAGGGCTGCAGCGCAGGCACTCGAAGAGGTGCATCAGCGGGCTGCATGCCCTATTGCCTACCTGAGAGAAACAACACACTGCGTGCACACTTGGCAGACCAAGAAGCACATCGAGATCTCGCTTCGCGTCATTTTTCGAAAGTTGAGCAGGAAGTAATCCAGATAGTGCCACAAGCACTGGCCCACGTCATCCCTTCGCCTGCGCAGCAGCAGACAGGCGCAAGAGCACGCAACCGCGATTGTGCGCGATGCTGCTCGCCAGAGCCCCCCCTGCCGCTTCTGGGTTGCCAGCCTATAAGTGAGGCGGACGGCCGCGTGGGGGGGGGGAAGGTTACGCTAGAGTCGAAATGCATGCGGCCTTTGGGGCTGCACACAGTCAGTGCAGCTGTAGGGGGTGTTTGCAGCGATTGTCGCCGAGGGGTGTTTGCTGACAAGAAATGATACAGAAGCTTCAACTGCGATCGGGCCGTTTTCGACGACCCGCCAAGTCGCGTGAGGACCTGCACGCAAAAGCGCACACGCGGGCAGCCCCCTCACTTCCGCCGCTCTTCCATGCATGAAGCCTTACTGGAGCCTCACAAGCCAGCATGGTGCCATGGACAGAGAGGCTTGACTTCTCTCACCTGGTATTCCATAACGACTTTGAAGATGAGCTGCAGTTGCGACTGGCTCGTTGCGAAGTGGTAGTTCGCCCATCGCATGAGATTGTCTATCCGGCGCTGCGCGCCCCCAAAACCACAGAAACGAAAGGGACAGGAAAGTGCTGCACACACAGGCCGCTCAGAGGCGTTGGCTGGAGGCTGCTGCTTCTCGCTAGGCGTTCAGAGGGCGGCCTGTGTGGGTGGTGGGGGAAGGAGGCGAAGGCGGGGGGAGGAAGCGAAGGGGGGAGGGGGGGGAGGCGCGTGCGTGGGCCCTCCTACAAATGGCGAGCGGCTGCACTCTCGACAGGGTTGCATGCGGTCCTAGCAGCGCCTGTTTGCGCGAACACAACACCTAGAGGCTTATTTACACTCGAGGGCTAGGGGTAAGAATCAGACCCGCTGGTTCTTCGCCGCCGACTGCCTCCGTCGGATGCGGCCCATGTCGTTTGCAAGAGACAAGGCGAATCCAGCGAGGCCCCCAAACACGAAGCCCAGGGCCATGACGATCGGCCCCCACGCCATGAGGAGTACGCAGGAGCCTGCAGAGAGAGAGAGATATATATATATATGCAGAGAGAGAAAGACATAAAGTGATACAGAATATATATATATTTACACGCAGACAAACAGATACAGAATATATCTATATATACAGGCAAACAGATACAGAATATATCTATATATACAAAGAAACAGATACAGAATATATCTATATATACAGACAAACAGATACAGAATATATCTATATATACAGACAAACAAATACAGAATATATGTATATACACACAGACAAACAGATACAGAATATATCTATATATACAGACAAACAGATACAGAATATATATATATGCAGACAAACAGATACAGAATATATCTATATATACAGACAAACAGATACAGAATATATATATATATATATACAGACAAACAGATACAGAATATATATACACAGAAGAACAGATACAGAATATATATTTACACGCAGACAAACAGATACAGAATATATATATATATATATACACAGACGAACAGATACAGAATATATATATACACAGACATACAGATACAGAATATATCTATATATACAGACATACAGATACAGAATATATCTATATATACAGACAAACAGATACAGAATATATATATATATATATATATATATATATACAGACAAACAGATACAGAATACATATATATATATACAGACAAACAGATACAGAATATATAAATATACACACAGACAAATAGATACAGAATATATATTTACACGCAGACAAACAGATACAGAATATATATATATATATACAGACAAACAGATACAGAATATATATATATATACAGACAAACAGATACAGAATATATAAATATACACACAGACAAACAGATACAGAATATATATATACATATACACGCAGACAAACAGATATATATATACACAGACATACATATGTAGGGCCGTACGGATACAGATATATACAAAGACATACATACACATGGAAGCACACGCACATATACACAATGCAGACACACACAGCCATACAGATACCAAAAGAGCCGGACAAAAAGCTCTCCCCGAACGCCTGATGAAGGGAAGCCCAACGGGGACGGGAAGCAGGGGCATCCAGTAGTGACGGCGAAGAAGAGTCACTTGCCTAGCGCGCCGTTGATAGTCCACTCAGTGGAAGACGTGCGAAAAGGAAAGAGACGTTGCTCTTGCTTTTTGTAGGCCAAATCGAATTCCTCGCTATCCTCGATGTCAGCCACTGCCTCATCAAGCCTGTCGCTCCAGTAGTCCAAGTACCTGAGCGCAGCGGGCGAACACAGAAGACGGCGAACGGAGAAGGGATTCTGCGCGGATCCGCAACGCTTTGATCATTTAGCTGCGAACGCTCGTATAGACGAAGCAAGGCGCGGTGCAAGCACCCGTGATGCAGGCCAGCAGAACACCCGCCGAATGCCTTAGAAAGGACTGCCTCAAGGGGGCATGCATCCAGATGAGAGAAAGCTCCAACTGTGGCAGCCCTCATGCGTGGCTTCGCATCGAACAAGCAGAGAACGGAGATATCCCCCCGTTCTTCCCCCCGATCGTGCGCGGTAGACCTTCTCCTTGAAACGACATGACTGACGGGACTGGACGAGGCTGTCAATCGAGGCATACCCGTTCTGTACCCTGTTTCTCATCTACCTCTCCTTCCTGCCCTGTTTGCTCGTGCTCCTTCTGCACTCTCTCTCTCTCTCTGCTTCCTGCATTCTACGAGAACACCCCTGGGAAGTCTACAGGGAGGGCGTCGCGTGTATCTCTAGCGCGTCCCAGCGGCCACTCCGGAGTTGCGTTCTTTCGGATGCAGTGCAATTTCTCTCACCCGCGAGGAATTGCAGTGGTGGTGAGAAGGTCTTCTTTAGCCTTGGAGGAAACGCTCTTGCTCATCGCCTTGTTCATGAGGGGGGACCTGCCGCGGCACCCATTCGAGGCAGACGCCTTCTGACCAGTCGATTGCATCTGACCCCCTTCAGATTCTGCAGATTCCCCATTAGGGCGTTTCTTGGCGCTGTGCGTTGAAGGAGGAGAGTTTGCCTCTTGCCGTGTTGTCTTGGCGGAGGTGCCCTGCCCGCAGGCGTGCTGATCCTCCGAAGATTTTATGCCCTTCATGACGCCCGTGGCGGAGCTACAAGACGCCTGCCCTGCCGACTCTGGAACCTGGGCCATTTCTGACTGGTGCGGAACGGGTGTCAAAGCGCAGGGTGTATCGGCGAGACGTTGGAAAGCCGTTTTGCAGCGGCAGCAGTTGCTGCCGCTGCCGCTACGGGTGCTGCTGCACCGTATGGTGGGGCAGGCAAAAGAGGAGGCGAAGCAATACGGTGGTTTCCGACTCACTGGAACCCGAATCAAAGCGATGAACGGTAGCTGCTCGCGCCGTCGGGCGTTTCTCGAAGTCAGGGGGGAGTGCCAGGAGAAATTGAAACTAGCTCAGGCTGACTCAAAGAAATTAGTGTCTACATGCCCACATAAAATCCAGAAAAGAGGCTCACTTAATGGCCAAAGATTCTCTGGCGCCGCTGCCCACGTCTGCGGCTGGGAGAACATACCAGTGAGGCGCTGCAGCAGCCAGAGTGGTAAGCAGGATCACAGCACATCGACAGCATATATAGCTCTCTTCCTTCTCATTGTGTGTATGTCAAATTGCAATAAATCCACTAAGAGTATTTGCTGACGAGGTGAACTTTCGAAGAACCTTCTGCATGAGCCATCTTCCTTCCCGTATTCGCTGCTGCAGCCGCCACTGTGCCGCAGTTGTCGCGTGGCCTTATGTATATGTGGGTACTTCAAAAGACTGGTAAACGGAAACGCAAAGGCGCAGACTCGGATACTTTAGTGAATTAGCATAGGGGAAGCCCCCCGTCCCAAAGTCCACTGACCAAGCATGGTCTGTTTTCTGCCTGTCTCCCTCTCTGCCTCCAAAAGTGTGTGATTCACTGATGAAATGAGGAGCTGATTCCGGTGCGAATAAGCGTGAAGAGATTTCAGCGAACAGCCGCATTCCACGCCAGTTGCTATGTACATCAGGGATCCGCTGCACATCGAGAGCATGTGCAACTAAGAGGAACAATCATGGCACTGCCTCTCCCCCTCTATGCTAGTAGCGATAACCCCTTTCTCCGGTACTCTTTGAGGCGCTGCTGAGTCGCAAGACAAAAATTCAGGTAGAACTGATATGCTTGGGTCATGGCTGTTGTACGTGGTGCTCTGCCAGTGCTTTTCCTGTGGCTGTGCGGTGCCCCACTCTCCCCAAGCCCTTTGAGCAGTCTAAGGGGGAAAGGCCTTTCCAGCCTTGTCTTTCAAGGCGGCTCTTTCACGTGCAAGAGTGTATCAAGCAAAGCTACACTTAGACCCGTTTTTGGTACACCCGTTGTTAAGCGCCATCTAAGGTGTCTGTAGGAAGACACTGGACGTCGGACTCAGTAAAAACTTTATAAAAAGTTGTTGGCAGCTTCCAGAAAGGCTCACGCCTTTCTTATACGCAAAGCTCACACTACTTGACATGAGGAAGGGGGAGAGCTAGTGTGGGTGTAGCTGCCCCTTTCAAGCACTCCGAACATTCATAGCTAGTTGCACATAGTACCTAAGCACATATATATATACACGAACCACATTTCGTCTTTAACTGTCGAGCTATCAGTAGTCTGCAATGCTAGGCCGTACGAAGAGACAAAACCAATCGATTCTTTCTTAGATTCGTACAGCGATACAACCACTGTAGCAGAGAGTACCCAAGTGTAGCTTGGCCCTCCTCATTAGTTATATGTAGCTCAGAAGTACTTAAGAGCTGACTAACTAGCATGGCTTGTCGCTCTTAAGTACTGTCGAGTTGCGCTAGCTCGGCATGCCAATTTGTGTGTGCGTGTGCGTGCAATTTGTGTGTGTGTGTTATGCGTGTGTGTGCGTTAGATGCTATGTGAAGCCTGTTTGGGGGACTATGGTGCCTACATTGTGCAGTAACGCGCACCCTGGCGGCCATTCTCCCCTTATGTTGGAATTGTGGGCGGCGTAGGCTGTGGATGGAAGGAGCTCGTTTGCGAAGCACTTGGAAACTTTCTACTGAGTCTTAACTAGGCCTGGTGTGAAACGTCTCGATACGTGAAACCTTAGATGGAGTTACAAAAAATCCTTTGTAAAGGCTTCATAGAGGGCACACCTCGCACGCCGTCACCTTTCCCACGCGGCACACAGGAATGCCCGGGCTCTTCCGAGCGTTGCACCGGTCTGCAGGTGGTGGCTCCTCCGCAATGTAATATTCTCTTTGCAGCATAGCATAAGCCGATAAAGCAATGACAAGTAGGCTAGTGAACCTAACGCCAGGTGCAGTGGGCTAAGCTATACCCCAGAGTTTCCTTCTACAACATATGTATTTAATGGGGCATTTGAAGATAATCGACTGCTTGGTTTGCTTCTTTGTACCTGTTGTTTGATGCAGAGTGCTGTTATCTCGACACAAGAAGGCGCAGTGTTGCACGCATGCGCATTAGATGCTATGTGCAGCTAGCTGCAGAACACACACAGAGCCTAGAGGCTTAAACTACGCGTGCCCTAGCTGTCCCTCCTCCCTCATCTCGGCGATTGGGTCAAAAGAGGAACAGCTCATGCATCAGGCTCTATTTAAGGCCTTTGTAGGTAGAAATATAATTTCACTCACTCTGGAAACCTGAAGGAGTATGGCAGAGATAAGGAGACGCCACGTTCTCCTTAAGTAAGAAAAGCACCTACTTCCGGACTTGATACAAACCATTAGACAAAATTATTGAGCGTCCTTCCAAAAAGTGCTGCGTATATTTCCTGCTCGCCCCCCTCACGGTTCAGATTTAAGAAGAGAGAAACAGCCAAGGAGCGTGTAGCTACACTCTGTAAGCACTTCGAGCAGTCACAGGTGGTTGGACCCGGCATCCAGCGCACACGCGCAGAAAACTGATTCTAGGCGCATTGAATGAACTCTACATTTCGAGAAATAGCGTAAACAGGCACCTAAAGCCGAAAGGTCAGTGTACAACTAATTTAAACTCGATTAAAGTGGTATGATAGACAGTGCCTTAGTGTAGCTTGGCGCTTTGCGCTCACGCGCACACAGAAGGACTTGCCAGAAGGGTTTTCTCTCAATGCGTTACCTGAGCCGCGCGAGCTGGCGGTGCAACTGAGAGGGTCCTTCAAAATAAGATGAAGCTAGTTCTGTTTCCTGCTCGGCGGCTAGCAGTGAGAAGGAAACCGCTGCATGCAGCGGTTCGAGGCAAAGAAACACCCACCAGGGGGGGCACTGTGTGCGCAGTGCATAGTGCTGCATTGTAACGTTACATACACAACAGGAATATCATACAACACATAAGAAGTGCCATGAAACTGTTTTCCGAAGTTTGGGAAGATTGGGTGCACCCACAGACACACACACAACGCACCCTCGACTGCGACAGCGGCCGACTGACTGCTCCGCGTGTAGGAAGGGAGGACACAACAACACGCCCCATGGAAGACCACTGTCGGCTTTCTCGGCAAAATAAGACTCAATCAAGCGTGACTATTTGGCTAAAGGATTAGTCATCAGGAAGGAAAGGGGGAAAGTAGCACATCCTTCGTTTGCAGCTCTCACCGAACGCGCCCTCATGCTTTCGCCATCTGGATCTTAGGACTGCATACTCTCTCCGGTCTCTGGTTCTCTCACTAGAGAACAAATTCCTGCATGGCAGATGAGTTCCCATGCATCATGTAGCAGGGACAGGGGCACTAATGAAGAATTTGCCAACACACGCATTCCTGAGTGCTATTTACCGCGGAAATTACACCGCGTCGATGGCGGCTGGCGAACTGTTCGCCTCCAGTGGCGCATTCTCGCGGTTATCCAAGCGTCTTCTTTTGTATTTTTCGCTCGCCTTGCCGCCCTAATAGTCTTTCTTCTCCTGATCACTGAAACCTTTGGCCTCTCGCCTCCCATAGGGCTCTCGCTCACCCCAGAGAGTTGCACTTCGACGCTTGAACCTCAGAGATTCCTCTGCACTCCCTCTCCTGCTCCCACTCCACGTGCTCCTTCTGCCTCCGGAGGGATGCCGTTTTGACCTTCATTCTTTCACAGCTGCGGTGACGCGCATCGCCTCTCGACTTTGAAAGAGTTTCCTCCTGAAGGAGGTGCCACGCAGGAGGAGGCATTGCCTGCGCATTTCTCCGGACGCCTCCCCTCCGTCCCGCCCTTTTCCAGTCTTCTCTCTCTCTATCTCGCAGTTTCGCATCGACAGAGGAGTCTCCCTGCGGGGGTGTTTTTGCACTCGGGGGTGACCAGCGTCTTCGCCCTTCCCTCTGTCTTGACCTCCGCAATGGCTCCGCAGCCTCTCGAGCCTGACAAAGCCTCCCCGGGGGGAAACCCCTCAGAGTCGTCTCCACGGATGCCGCCTCGAGGAGGCACAGATGCTCCTTTTCCGGGGAGGGGAAGCCTCGCTGCCGGTGTAGAGACCTCGCCCTTCTCTGTGTCGATTCCGCGAGCCGACGTCGTGTGCGAAGGACTGTTTCTCTCTCACGCCCAGTACCGCATACAGTGGAGCGACTTGGGGAGGCTCCACACGATCGAGCGCCGCTTCAGGGAATTCGTGAAACTCCACAGCGAGCTGCAGAAGGCTCTCTCGGAGGCGCAGCACTGCGCGACGACCGCCCCCAAGACGCCTAGAACGGAGGCAGCGGGGACTGCTTTCCTCGCAGGAACGGCCGACAGCGGCGTGCTCCAGCCAGGAGCGCCTGCGCGCATGCGCAGCAGCGATCGCAGGGCTGATGCTGCCTCAGCCGCAGGAGCGGAAGAGACCAACGGGCAAGCGGCGCAGCCGCAGGGGGCGGGCAGCCGCAACGCCTTGTCTTGGCTCTTCTCCGTGCTGGTCGGAAAATGCGGAGGGGAAGAGCCAGCAGAGGGTTCTTACGCGGCGCTCCCTCCAAAGAGCGTTTTGAGCTTTCAAGGTCCTGCCTTCATCGAGCAGAGGCGGCGGCAGTTGGAGCGCTATTTGCGACTGTTGCTGCAGCAGGAGCAAGTGCTGCAGGCGAAGCCTTTGTGGGATTTCTTGGGAAGCAAGGGGAGGGAGGCACAGGCAGTAGCCCTCTTCTTCTGCTGCAGCACAAGACACATGCTGTCCAAAGGGGATGCGGAGCAGCAGCAGCGCCGCCTCGATCGTGCTCTGCAGGCTCTCCAAGCGATGCTCAGCGAGAGTCTCGCCCCTCGCGAGAAGGGCGGCAATAGCGGCGTAGTTCCTTGGCGTCTCGCTCACCCCGATCTCGTCAAGCGCTTGCTGGACCTCGTTGCGGAACCGTGTCGCTTGCACTTCCAGGTGCAGCTGCGGGTTGTCTGTCTGTTGCTGCTGCTGCTGAAGAAGAAGCGACTGCAGCAGGAGCAGCAAGGGCAGCAGCAAGTGCAGCACGCTCCCTCGCCTGATACGGTCGCCGGGCAGGCGCTGTGCGTGCTGTCTGAGGGGGAGGCTTTTTCGAGGATCTTGGCGCTCTTGGAAGAGGCGCTCTCAGCTCTTTCCCGCCTCTGCCAACCGTTCGTAAGCGCCCTCTCCTTGCAGTCCAAGAACTTGTCTGTTGCCGCGAAAGCGACGCATGCAAGCCTTTCGAGAGGCGACTCAGCAGTGCCTGCCAGACTCCCCATTCGCGAGGCTGTGCATCCAGCTACAGCGAAGTGCAGCCGAGAAGAGAGCGGCTCAGAAGCCCCCCTTCGCTCGATCGGCAGTCCGAAGGCGCCGGAAGCCGAAGAGGCGGAGCGAGAGAGCTCCAGAGACGCCTTTCCGCTCGCGGATGCCTCGCTGCTGCTGTGTCTGATGGACTGCAGCAGCAGCTTCCTCTGCAGATTTGCCAGTGCGAGACCAGAGGAACTGCTGGCTTTCATCCGCCGCTCCGACGGTCTCTTTCGACTCCACAGCCTCCTCCAGCGCTCTGCAGGGAAGTGCAGCACTCCCGCCTCCTGGGAAGCCTCCCTTGCCCCTCAGCAGCAGCCGAATCGCGATTCTGCCGCTGCAATTCGGTTGGGAAGTTCGCCTAGCAGCAGAGAGTTCTCCGGAGAGGCGCTGGACTGCAGCAAAGGATCCTTCGCCGCATACTTGGGCAGTGAGCTGAGTTGCAGCAGCGGCAGCAGCAGCGACGAGGGGGGGAGGGGGGAGAAAGCGACGGCAGCAGCCTGCGCGTCCTCCGCCTCTGCTGCTGCGGCTGCTACTCCTGCTGCTGCAGCGAGACAACGGAGGCATCGCAAGCTCGAGGGTATGGCACGTCGCTTGCTGCTGCTGGCTTCCCCGGCTGTCTGCTCCGCCTTCCCGTCCTCGAGCTTCCACAGAGCTGTCTGCGCTGCTCGAGCAGCAGCGGCTCAGACTTTTCCCTCGCAACGGCTTGTGGGAGAGACTTCGACCGACGATGCAGTCGGCGCTGGCGAGCGTTCCCCAGAGGCGGATAGCGTGTGCTTAGAGCAGCACTGGCTTACGCATCCACTGGAACGTTGTCACGGGCAGCAGCAGAGCCTTCGGGAGGCTGCTGTGCGCAGCTTTGCCTCCACTCTCTCTCCCTCGACTCTGGGGTGGGGTTGTCTGGACGCGGCGTGCGGTCGGCTGCATGAAACTGTGGCGTTGATCCTGTGGCGAGCGATGCCTCTTGTCGGGGTTCAGACGGTAATTTCTTTGCAGCCTGCTGCCTGCGCGTAGAACTGAAAGGGGGGAGTAAAGGGGGGGGAAAGGGGGGAGAGCGGTTTTGCGGGATGCCTTAAGTTTCTGCGAATGCTTGAGGGTACTTCCGTGTTGAGATACACATATAGACAGATCTGTATGCGCCTACAGGGGTATGTATGCTGGCTTTACTGCGGCCGAAAGGGGGGGGCTTCCCGCATCTGCATTTTTTGCTGCTGTTTCTGCTGCTACACCTGTCGCCGCCGCTACTGCGGCTCTCCTGCTCTGCTGTTTGCGCTTTATTTGTGCGTGCCTAGGCTTTAACCATGCCACGCTCCACTGGACTGGATGTGCTGTCGCTGCTCTACTGCTGCGCCTCCTCCACGACAGCCCGTCTCTTGGCTGGCCTTTCTCTCTCCTGGCTGCTGCAACAACGCCGCTTTTGTTGCGAGCTACAGCAGCAGCCGCTGCACTCGGAAGTGCAGCAGCAGCTCCTAACGCTGCTCCACGGAAGCGGACGCCTCCACAGGCCTGCCTCTGCCCTTCTGAGAGACCTCCTGCGTTGGCAGCAACAGCAGCAACAGCGCCAGAGCGGCTTGCCTGCGGAGGGGGAGCTGCCTGAAGCGCAGAGGACTGTGGAGGCTTCCCAGCAGCAACTTGCGAGGGAGGGAGGGAGGAGTTCTGAAGCAGCGGCTGCCGTTAGCGCACTTCCTCTTTTGGTCATTCTCAACGCGCTTAGAGCTCCCAAGTGGAAGCAAGGAGTAATACGCTAAGCTTAAAGCCATGAGCCTTGTGTTCCCTTGTGCCATGCGTGACGCAATAGCGGCGGTTTGGCAGTGCGCAAGTGCCGGTTACCGATATGCGAAGCCTTGCATAGAGGCTGCTCGCTTTTTAGATGCCTTAGCTACTCAGAGTGCCGATACGGCACATGCAGAGAAAGCCTCATCGAGGAAGGGGAGAAGGGGGAGGCGTGGAAGCGAGCTGCTTTCGCGGTGAGCTGTGTGTGTTGCTGCCTCTGACTGCTTGCTCTCAGCTCGTCTCGACCGCCATCGACGCGTTGTTCCTCCGCTATCTGCTTCAGCCGCAAATGGTAGCGCCCCTAGCAGATCTCCTAGGTCGGAGTAGCGGCGGCAGCGCATTGCCAGCGCCTTTGGATGGGGAGAAAGCCGCGAAGAGTGGCTCTCCGGAATACCGGGTGGCTCTTTCGAAGCGGCTACCCAAAGCGCCAGCTCACACGGAGGCTGCTGCCTCCTGCGCGGTCAGCCTTGGGCAGGAGAGCGACTCGTTTGGAGAGGCTGCAGAAGAGGAAGTGCCTCTTGCTCACCCCGGGAGCGAAGAGGCCTCTCCGAGCACGATCTCAGTCCGCCTCCCCTCGTCCTCCTCTTCCTCGCAGCACTTATGGGAGACGGAAATCGCCTTCTTCGTGTGCTGGCTGCTCGCGGTGGCTGCAACGCGCTGCAACAGCGAGTTCTCGCGGCAGCAGGAGCAGCAGCAGCACCAGCGGCGACAGTCTGCTGTGTTGCAGCGGCTGCAGCAGGCCGCTCAAGAGGGAAGCAGGAGTCTGCCAGATCGCTTGCAGGGATGCGCCGATGCAGAAGCTCCGTGTCGCGGCAGTGGAGAAGAAGTACAGCGCCTCTCGAAAATCTGCGAACTTCAGCGCCCGCAAAAGGTCGTTGAAGAGAGCTTTCTCGGAAGCCATAAGGGAGGCTTGACTGCGGATGTGAGCTTGAGCACCTGCGCCGACGAGGAGCTGTACGGAGCAGAAAGTTTCTCGCTTTTTGAGATTCCGGAGGGGGGGGAAACAGGGGGCCCCCCCCCCTTGGGCCCCCGGAAAGAAGACGGTGTGGAGGGGCCCCTGTTGGGGGCCCTTGCCCAGCAGCTGCAGCACAGCAGCAGTATCACCGTCCAGCGCCTCGCGGCGCTTTGTCTTCTGTGGAGCCCGTCGTGGTGGACGCGCGTTGGTGCTCTCGCCGCCTCCTCGCGTCTTCACCAGCACGCGGAAGGGAGCCTTCGTAGTGCGTCGCATTGTGACGGTACGGCTGCTGAAGGGGAAGCGGCCGAAGGCGAAGCTTGGCTTGCCCAGGCACTGTCGTTCTCTGGCGAAGCGCAGGATGCAGACGCGCCACGAACTGCGCCGTCCGAAGCTGCGAAGGAAGGAGGAGGGCGACAGCCAGCCTCAAGACTCAGGAATTCCCTGCAGCCAAGACTTTCTGCACCAGCCGCCTTGAAGTTGCTGCAGGTGGGGATGGACGGCGAGGGGGCTTCGTGGGCCCCTCGCGCGCACTTCTTGCGGCTGCATGTGGAGCTGGTGCTGCTGCACCAGCTGCTGGAGGAGGAAGCGCACTTTGGGCTGCAGCTGCAACAGCACCAGCGGCTGTTGCAGCATCGACTGCGGCTGGCAGCAAGTCGAGGCGCTGCGCTGCCCGATGCCTTCCAGCAACAGCTCTCCACGCACACGCGAGGGCGTCATCCGCCGCAGCCTCAGCGCACCGCGATGGAGGGGGAATTCTCGGGGAGGCTTCAGAGCGCTTCCTGGAGCTTGAATCAGGCTGCAGAGCCAGACTGTCTTGCGTACGCGGTGGGCAGCAACCAAGAAGGCGGAGCAGATCCAGAGGCAGAGGACGGCCTCTCAGGGAGCCTTGAGGGCTGCAAGCTCCGCCTGCTGGACGCCTCTCAAGCTTGCGCATCCCTGGGAGCAGTCCGCCATCGCATGCAGCGACAGCTCATCCTGCAGTGCTCCTTCATCGAGCTAAACCGAACGCAGTGGGAAACTATGGTGAAGCTCCTGTGCCGCAGCTGCACTCCTTTTGCGCGGCTTTTCGTGCTGTTGCAGCCCTGTGGGTGTCTGCCTGCTTCGTTTTGTGTGTGTGAGCTTCTCTTTCCCTCTCAGAACGCCTTGTCTTTCGCTCGACGTAAGGCTAATTCTTGGGTTCCTCTCCGTGCGCGCCTGGGGATGCGTGCGGGGATGCTGCCTTGTCTGCGCAGAAACTCCAAACACTCAGCACAGAGCAGCTCATAGCTCCGGAGGTGCTGCCCCTCTTCGTTTCCGCCGCTTCTCTGGAAGAAGAGGAAAGAAAGGCTTCTGACGCTCTCGCTGCCGCCGAGGCAGCAGCGGCTCAAAGCGCAAAAGCCCTCCAGCAGCAGCAGCAGCAGCAGCTCGAGACGCAACAAATGCTGCAAGGCAGCTTGATCGAGCAGCTGAACCTTCAGAGGAAAGTGCAGTGCCACCGAACCCAGTTCGCAGATATTCAGCAGGTTCGCGGCAAGCATGCCAACTAAAGGGCCCTCGCAGAGTCTCTGTCTTCTCTTCTGCTACGCCTTGTGCATTCCCCGCCAATGCCTCTGCCGCTCGGTTGGCCACTTCGCTTCTTCAGATTGGCGCAGCCGTCGCAACTGCATGCGTGCATGCTGAGGAGATATTTTCCGCGGCAGAGGCACTTACCCCTCAACACGCCGCATGCATTTCCGAGCACCCGCCCCTCCCGGCTGGCTGTTACTGATGCTAAAAATCTTGAGGCTTCTTCTTGCTGCTCGTGCGGCTAGCTAAGGCAGCATGCAGTGTGTGTGTGTGTTTGTGTGTGTGTGTGTATGTGTGTGTGTGTGTGTGTATGTGTGTGTGTATGTGTGTGTGTATTTGATGCCCTGCGGCGTGTAGTGGTCGTATTGCGTCTGTGACAGCGCCTTGCAGTGAATCCTGCAGCCTTCTTGTGAGGCTCCAGCCGTGGGGTTTGCTGTTGCCTGTTGGTGCCGCAGGTGATGGCTGCAGCACCCGAACGCAGGCGCCAGCTGCTAGAGCAGCTGAAGCACAGGCAGCAGCTGCTGCATCATCTGCGCTGTTTGCTGGAGAGGGAAAATGCTAGAGTGGCAGAGGCACACGAGCTGCTGCAGCGAGCAGCAGCGGACGAGCGACTCGCACGCGACTGCCGCCTCTCCTTGGCAGCTGTCCAGGTGAGAGAGGAGCGCATTCTTTTGCGTGTGGCTGCATGCCTTTTCGCGGGGAGGGGGGAAGGGGGGAGGCTGGCGGGGCACACTTTAATTTGTGTGCGATTCATCGACTGAGAAGACGTTAAAGCTTACGCGAAACTCCGCGCGCAAGAGAGAGGGAGAAACAGAGGGAAAGAGAGAGAAAGAGAGAGGGAGAAACAGAGGGAAAGCGAGAAAAAGAGAGAGAGAAGGAAATAGAGAGAGAAAAAGAGAGAGAGAAAGAGAGAGAGCACGCATGACATTTCTTGGACTCTCTTGGGGTTTTATAGAGAGCCTTCCTTCGCAACGCACTTGGCATTGCATTCCCAGTGAATGCCGTAGCAGCCGCGGCAATGAAAGCAGCAGTAAACGCAGCAGTGATGCGTGCCTCGTTCTGATGCATGGGGTGTTGTGCGTGTCTGATGGGGGAATTTCTTTCTTATGCTTTGCTGTCATGTGCGCGGCTTCTCAGGCGGTGGAGTCTGCACTGCAACAGAAGGATCTTAGCGGTTGCTCGTGGACTAGCGGTGCCTCCCTGCATGCTGCGATAACTGGCCTCTTGGAGGCACCACTAACGGAAGAGTTGCATGGCCAGATTTCTGCACTTCTTGCTTCTGCAAGTGGCGGAAAGCACGAGGATATGCGCGAACAAGTAGCGGCTCTAAAGGCGCTGTTGTCTGACATCTGTTGGAAGGTGCAGGGGCTTCTGCGGAATATGCAGCAGCAGCAGCAGGGAGAAGGAGCAGCTCCTGCTCCCATAGACGCTGCAGATCCATCCACTGCTGCTGCTGCAACGGCTGCAACGGCTGCAACGGCAGCTGCGACTGCGGAACGCACCGCAACAGCTGCCTTTGCGCGGCTGAAGGACGCCTTGACAACTCGCGAGGAGGCAGCGAGACAGGCGGAGCTGAATGCCCAGCGGCAGCAGCACCAAATACAGCGGGCTGAAAAGGCGATTGAAAGCCAAACAAGTCCCTCGGTGCTGCATCAGAAGGCTGAGTTGATGTCGGAAGAGCTTAAACAGTGAGATGGCATGGCTCTGTCTACTGAGGCAGCATGCGGGTGCCCTCTACGGCAGCCCAGTTGTAGCATGCTGCCCGTTATTTTTCCGAAATCTCGCACGGTTCAGACTTTGAAAGTCGGTCTGGAGAGGGGACTGGCCTTCCCTCCTGTGTTTGCTCGACTAGCACACACACACACACACACACACACACTGTGTGTGCTCCCGCGGCTGTCGTGGCTGGGTGTTGCGTTTTCAGGGCAGAGGAGGCGTTGTGCGTTGCTGACCAGCGGCTGCAGCGATTGCAGCAGCAGCAGGAAGCGACTCGTCTGGCGCTAGAGGAAGCCTTCCAGCAGCAGCAAGCGCTGCAGCAGGCAGCATCTGCTCGTGCTGAGGCGCTGGCTGCGTGTAAGGCCAAAAAACACGAGGCCCTTCAAAAACTGGATGCTCTGCTGCTGCAGGCTGAAGCTGCCCTCAGAGAGCAGTGGATAGGCGCTATTCTGATGGAGAAGTCTCACCACTCAATGCGCTCGTTGCGACGGCGAGGAGACATCCTGCTTCTACAGGAGCAGCAAACAAGGCAGCAGCTGCAGCTGCACCTCAACAGAGCTGCTGCTGCAGTGAATACGTGCTCAGCCAGTCTGCAGTGTATTGATGACGCAGACATTTGCTGGCTCAGAGAGAGGCTGGGAGGCACTGCGGGAAGCTCCGCTGGGGCGGCGGCTTTTCACAAACTCGCAGCGGAGAGTCTTTAAACCCCAGCAGTGAAAGAGGGCCTTTGCGCAGAAGACTCGTGGAAAGGCAATTTTTTTGACCGACTTTACGAAACGGAAGCCGAGTAGAATCCCTGTGCTGCGCTGCCCAGGGAAGCGGAATGTGCGCACCAGGTGCTTCCCCACTATAGAGCGCCTTGGCTGTAGAAGGTGTAAAGGGTAGCACTCCTAGGGAGAAGGAGCATCGATGAAGTGCCGTTAGCGGGCTGCCTCTAGTGTATACTGGAGGGTGCAGGAGACGGGAAAACGTATTACATATGCCGTTTATTCCTGCAGTCTTTCTCTCCTTTGACTGCCCTGCCTGTACACTCCTGTAGTGTCGCATCATCTTTTCTCCAGTCTCCCATCTCCGCCACGTGCCTCTACCCACCTCAATGGCTCGGGTGCCCCGTGCGGCCTTTCTATCCTATTGAGGCAACTGCTATCTCACCCTTTCCGCTTTTGTTAAATTCCCCGCGTCTATGCGGCGCGTCGTGGCTTCCTGTCTAAAAAGAAGCCGTGTGTGCCTGTAGGAGCTCGGTCTTAGCCTCAGCCAACTACCTGCCTCGTCCTCATTTCTGGCGCATAGCAGACTCTAGAAGGAAAGTATACTCCACAAGGTACCAGTCAGAGAAATTTAGGCCGACACTGAAACCCTTGGTCGAACGTTTCCGTCTGACCTGACGGGATTCCCCAACATGAAGATGCCCCCAGCGTTTCGCAGTGTGCGTGCACATAGCTTCGCCTGAGTGCTCCATGAGAAGGCACTTTACTCCAACACAGTGCAAAACTTTAGAGGAAGGTATTGAGTATTCCCTCAGAAGATATCTACAATGGGGCTGGCTACACTTGAACGCTTTCTACTCTACCAGCAATATTTGACAAAGAATTACCAATGATTTTACTGATTGGTTGTCTGCTGGTATAGTCAGTGCACAGTGCCGTTAGCTCGACATAAGGCAACGCCTCGCCGCTTGCGCGTTCGTATTGTGCTACGCACGACTAGCTATGTGCGCTCGGAACGTTTAGAGGGCGCAGCTACGCTCGGCCTGGCTATCCCTCCATGTGGGGAATTGGGAGACGCGAGCAGGGGAAGGCGGTAGGCATATTGCGGAACACTCAATATGTTTCTAGTGAGTTTGTATTCAGTCTGAAGCAAAGTGCCTCCCTACTTAGAGCTTATATAAAGCCCAACCGTTGGTAGCCCAGCGTGGTTCGACGCAGCTGTTCCCTGCTCATCCACTGGATGTGAATGCAATTGGATAGCAGGCTTCTACGTTGCTGTCTTGATTTGATTGAGCTATTTGGTTATTCAGTACCTTGATTTTCTTTGATAGCATTCCGGAAGAAATAAACCTCAGGTGACGGCAGCTGAAGTGGCGCAACGCCTGTCAGGGCAGAAGAGAACGGCCTGCAAGCTGATGCGAGCGCAGCTGCCCCACAGCTGGTGAATAAGCATGTGAAGCAGCCGACATAATGATTATGGATGCGGCAAAGAGGCTATGCCAACCAAACAAACGCATGACCGCCTTTAGGGTGGCACAATACTAAATGAGTTGTTAGCTGGTTGAAGGTGTTCCTCGCTGTTTAACTCGAAATCAAGAGCAGTGCGGTGTCCACGCAGCCTATTTATTGAAGGGAAAAACGATGCAATACAATATCTACTCATGTAGAGGGACTCGCATGCCTGCATGAATTACTAGACTTCAAGCCTTTATACAAGCCGTAATGCATCTGTTTATGCGGAGTTCAGCTCAGACGCAAACTTTGGAAGGCGCACAAACACTGATCAGGAGAACCTATCAACGTACTTGTGGATCAAAGAATAGAAGACTTTAGCCTAGTAAAGCCTCGACGTAGACCAACAGTTGCTTCAGCAATGATTTTTTCCACGTCTACTCGCAGTGTCACGCGTGGTGCTCGCAGGATGTGGGCAGTGACTCAAGTGCAGACAACCGACCGGTGGAGCCCTTGAAAATCACGACTAGTAGAGATCTACTAGGCAAATAAGCACAACTCCTGGGACTGAACAGGGAGAGCAGATTGACGTTACAGCTGTTTCAACCAGCCTCGCCTACAGTTACAGGAGGACCAGAAGGAAAATCGGAATAAACCTGCTCTCCAAAACAGCCCCGCATAGTTCCACAACAAACCATCTGTTTTTATTGTGCGAATTTCGCTCACATAGTCCGTAGTTGCAAAGTCATAGAAGAAGCATAGAATCTGAACAACGTTGGTGGACCTAGTATAAGGAGGGCACTTGGCGTGTGAAGGAGATGCATCGGAAAATCAAAAGGCCCCCATCCAGGCCGTGACGCAGTGCAGTGGAAAACGTGAAACAAAACCGTGATTGGAGACCCACCATAGGTCAATTATGAGGTAATGCAAGCTCACATTATTGGTCAGTAATTGCTAGTGCTACCTGCCAACAAATATGGAGACGCGTTTTTCAGGGAGATAGGACAGCGATATCGTGTGCCTGTTCGCTCGATAGCACGGCCCCCAAGACTCAAATCTGCTGAAGGGTAGCAAAAGCACACTTTTGCAACACTACGGCACCCAAAGCTCACTTCAGATCAAAAAACGATCCATCCAGTTTAGTTCGTGACTTCTAGGTTGGACCTCGAGTACACTGACCTCATCCTAGGTGTGCGATTCGTGGCCCCGTAAAAGGCATGTATGCGGCCACAGGTGCGCGCCGTAAAAGTTAGCCTCTCACGACTCGCTAGGAAAATCGACTCCTTGTCTCACCATCAATGCTCATTTCCTGTATCGTAATAGGGGAAGAGTGGTACTGTGACAAAGGTGAGGCAGAGTCTTCATGTGCGCAGATCAACATTGCACTACGAGATGATAGTTCTGCGCATGTGTCTTCCCTATATAGCTCTGCACAGGGTTTGTTTTTGTGGAATTTCATTGAGCACTTAGCCATGAAACAGCGGAAGCTTACGGACGTACTAAATAATGACGAGCAGCCAGCAAGCTGGCCGACTGCCGATAGTCCAGCGTGCGGTATTGAGCTAATCTCCAGCTCAGTTGAAAGCTATATTCTGCACTATCAAAGGCTCTCATAGCGTGGAGGAGATGTCGAGGAACAGGCGGGTAATTTGTTGTGAAAAAAAGGTACAGTAAGGGAATCGGCCAGTGCCTTCATGCACACCTTGGTGCTGGTGCCCCATGAGAACGGAATGTGGTGAGTCTGCCTGAACTTTAAGCCACTGAAAAAACTGTTGAGCAAAACGTTATGATGCCTTGCATTGAGCAGCTGCTTAAGAAGCTACGCGGATCAACAGTCTCTTCCTTACAAATCGTAATTTCTCTAGATGAGACACACAAAAACGGCGTCTCTCACTTCCACTCGCTAACTCGAGTATATCTGTGTGTAAGAATTGTAATGAGTATATAAAGGATATTTGGAAGATTTTCTACATGGACGGTGCCTTGAGAGTATCCTGGAACGTTGACGAAGGCATACAGCACCTACGTCGTACGCTCCAGAGACACCAGGACAAACAATGTATGTAAAGGCATGCAAATGTCTGCTTTACATGTGAGCAATTGCATCTCTGGAATTCGTGTTTCGGCTTCATGAGATGAACCTGATCTAGCAAAATTGAAGCAATCAAAACGTGGCCCTTAAATCTAAGTACCTACAAGGGAGTTGCAAAGTTCTAAGGATTTGCGTTCTTTCAGCGAAATTTCATTTCTCTATCTACTCGGATCCCTGATCCTTTGCCTTTTCTACTAAGTAAGACACAATCTGCGGCCTGGATAAGCTGATGCTGCAGCAAGTATACTTGTAAGGATTTTACAGCCCCTTCGGCACTTGCATTGCCTCATTACGAGCATAAGTCTCCTAGCCAAGAAGCGCCCAGTGTCGCAGCTGTAAGTGTCATCCTCTCCTAGCATGCAACGGGCTTTCCAAGGTACCAAATTATTGCCTGCCATTTGAACGGCTTTACCGAGCAACGATCTCCACTGCGGGGAAACCCTTAATTCTGTTTGGTCGGGGGTGGGGAAATGTCGGCACTACTTATATGGGCATCAATTTTGCCGTCCAGACCGACCATCAGTCTGTACTGAACATCACGAAGATTTTTCAGGATCATGATAGCCCTAGATTTGTTCGATAGCCTTGCATCTTCCGCAGGTTGGCTTCCAGTCAAGTAGATTAAAGCTTTTCGAAGTGGTCATCGACGTGCTCGCATGATGCCACAGTAGCCCACTATCGTGTAGTAAGGCTGCACTTGTTCACGATTTCTCTTTGCAAGAATTTCCTGCTTGTGACAGCTCTGCATGGGCTGCTATTGTCAAATCCAGGATGGCAAAACGGTAATGCACTACCGCATTGAGAATGACCTGCCGTAATTTAAACAAAGCAGGTATTCCGTCGCCCGCACAATCCGACGTCAGCCTGCACGGCTGATTGGTGTGAAGCGCATGATTAATCTTTTCTGGTTATGGTGGGATCTACACTACACTAAGCAAGCTCTGGTTCTTCTGGCGGCCTGGGGTGCGTCTCGCGCTAGGGAAGTATGCACTAGCATGCCCAGAATATCAGCAGCCAAAAGCCGCACATTTCTGCTAGACAAGATCCCTTGGAAAGCACTCCGGCTTATGAAACCATTTGGACTGATATGAATGTAAAATTTGTGGTCGGACTACCGGAACTTGAGGATCAGCATAGCATTTACGTCTTTAGCAAAAGCCTTAGCAAAAAAGCTCGTTTCATCTTCTGCTTCAGCACTTTCAACGAAGATCAAGTCGTTTATTTATTCTTACCTAACGTCTAGAAGCAGCATGGATATATTGAAAGTATTATTATAACGGAAAGAGAGAAGAAAGTCGTAGTGTGTCATATCGCGTCTTCATGACCCGCCTACACGTTGACCGTGATGAGACCAGTTGCAAACCACCACGAAATGCATGGACAAACAGAACGCCCCAACAAGAGTCTTCTGCAGTGTATAAATCTGGTGGCGCACGGAATTTCAATAACTGTGCTTGAGTCTATTCCTTTTGCTGAGTGAGCTTCAACACAACGCTAAACTGGTCGGCTTGTTGCACTCCCACAATCGCTGGCTTACGCAAAGGAGTCACTCTCCAATTCTGGCCTCGATCTAGCGCTTCAGAGAGAGCAGCCACCTTTACCAATGGGGAAATTTAGAATACAGCTTCCCCCATTGCAGGCACGAAACCCAAATACGACCAGAGCGAAGTCACGATTCTTATGGTCGGCTGTGTGTTAAAAGTTTGGGGATTTAGTCGTGGTGGATTGGCAAGATTTTCAAGGTGTACAAGGTTACAAGACCAAAACATTTTTCTCCAGACGGCTCGGATTACTTGCTATCCTCTCATGAATCAATGCTTTTCCTTACCCATATCGAGTATCCCAAAAGTTGGAGGCGCCACAAAAGCATCAATATTGCTTTCGGTGACAGGAACACCTGACTAAGTTGCGGGCTTTGCCGCGTACGCCCATGCACAGTGTGGGGGCGGAGGATTCACAGGGAGCCGTTGAAGCATTGGGTTCAAGGAGTAATGAGTACTGATACCACACTGGGCAAAAGTTTCCAGCGGTTTGGGATGGGAAATGCCAGCCTTAAATTTTCACGAAGCGGCAGCTTTGGGCTTCATTGCCCTTGGGAGAACGTGCTGCTTGGTTTGGCTAACAACAGTCGTTTCTGTGAGGTATTCTTCGCGTTCCTTGGCAATTCTCCCTCCCCAGTATATGCTCTGCCTACAATAGCTACCTTCAAGAAAGGGCACTGCTTAAAATAGTACCGGTTGTTATCGCGAAATTGTCTTCTACATTCACATTCATGCGCAGCGACTCGCAGGTAAGCTGCCCCTGCATTCTCCCTTACGCCCTTTCAAGGGCATTGGAGTCGATAATGCTGCATGCACCGGCTGCCTTTGCATTCATCTGCTGCTCTATGAAGCATCAAGACACTGCTATGCTAGCGTATCTTTTATTTTCCTTTACCCATTTTACTTCTTTTTTGTTTTATCGTAGCACGAGGCTCACACACAGCATCGTATTGACAACGGCGATGCACCGCGTCACCGTGGTTGGGTTAATTTGGGCAGTTTGGCCACTTTTTCTTTGTTGGCTAGTGTGTCATTGTTTCCGCTTAGCTCGTTTGGATGGTTGATGGACGAATATGTTCTTCTCATCACTATTTTCGCGCTTCTGGATGCTTGGGGAGTGGCGATAGGGCAGGGAATCTTCGAATGTCCTGCACGCAGTTGGATTAGCCTCACAGGTGCAGAAAAGCTACAACGGGCTATGCTTCACTTGAACATATCTTACTGAATCAGGTGTATCTAACTGATTACATGGCTAAGAGTTGTTTATATGGTTTGTGTGTTGGCACACCTTCTTTACTGCAGATTACTGATAAGTCGATGCAATAAAGCACAATATTGTGTTGGTGTGCGGGCGATGGTATCTGTAGCCAATTGTTATAGCTCTGAGTTTTTCTAAGGGTGTAGTTAGGCGCACCCTGGCTGGCCCGCTCCTTTCTACCAGGAAACTGTGAGAGGCGTGTGCAGGACAAATTAAGAGTTCTTTTGAGAAACACTATGACAGCTTCTCATAGAGTTGTATTGACGCTGAAGTTAAATGTTTTCTTACGGACACGCACATCCAGTGCACGCCCACAATATTGGTTCTTTTCGTAATGAGTTGGGGCTGCTCTTGCATAAGTAAGGTATACTAGCAGCCAGCTTAAACGATCTATATTACAGTGACACTGGAATAAGTATTGCTGGTTTGGCAGAAAATGCCGACGCGTAGCTAAGCCCGCAAGCTACATCAACAGTGAGCGAAGCGCTGGAACACAAACAGCCTAGTTTAAACAGCACTATGTCCAGCAGAAGCCAATCACTACTGCACTGTCTAGACGCATATAAAACGCGTCCGTTAGGCATACCAACAGGGTAATGCCATGCATACCGCGAAAGTACTCTTCGCACGCTCTGCAAAGACCCCTGTCCACTAACCCATGAGGGTGCACCAGGTGCTGATGGCCCCCAAATCAGTAATAGTAATGATTTGCTGCAATCTACCTGGAAGCTGCACTGCGGGGAGAGGCCATTTTAAGGGTTGTTTCCGGACTCGTTTAGGAAACATTGGGGTTCAGAGTCCGTTGCTCAAGATGGCAAGAAGAGTGGCTGTTGGGCGGCGTTGTTAGCCGCTATTCAAAGGGGACGCGCAAAATATGACGAAGACTAAACATTGATTCATCATATTCATACGAAAGGCAGAAAGAAGATGCAGAGAGCAGCAAACGGTCCTAGTGGGGGCACGCAAAGTACCCGTGGCAGTGTGCGCAGGAAAGTGTTCACATTAAATTCGATTTGGAGAATACACGCCCTGCGAATAGACTGGAGAATCTAAGTCGGTAACACCCTTGCAAAATCATAAGATTAGTCCATCGGAAAATCCACGAGCCGCCATTGGCCATAGAGCATATACGAACATCCGCGCGGCAGCACACGACAGGCGGGGCGGCGGCTGCATCAGGCTGTCTTCTGTCAATCTTGGTTCTCGGCTCTTTCGTCGAGTATAAGTCCAATTTTAGATTCTTTTTTGTGTCTTCTTCTTCCTCAACTCTACGGTGGAGTATGTACCTCTGAAAAGCCCCGCAGGCACCTAACCTCGGGGCTCTCCACTAAGCATATACGTCAAGCAAGGGACCCTAGCTAGGGTTCTGGAATGTTTGTTTGTTTTCTTTGTCTGCAATTGCCCCGCGTCGAAGCCTCGAGGACTTATTCTGTTCCTTAATATACCCTGTATCCGCTCGAAGACAATGGCTGCAGCCAAGTACCTTTCCTTCAATCCCTCGGTCCCGGATGCGGTGAACCTGGATGAGTGCATTACGGAGGTCAGAAGCGATTGCACTCTTTTCCCTAGACAAGGGGGTTCCCCCGCTGGCAGCCGCCGGTTCCTACTGCCTTCTAGTACTTGCGACCTCTTACTACGAGCCTTCACGGGCATAGAGTCTTGGGGCTTGCTGCTGATGGCCACACAACTGCCGCACTTGCTACAATTCGCCTTGCAGCTGCGCGTATACCTGATGCCCAACGCCCGGGCTTTCAGGGGCAGAGCAACAGAGAGGGACTCCGGGGGATTTTCTCATGGCAGTTTCACTACCGGAAATGACTGCATGCTGAACTCTGGTCCACAGGAAATCCATGCGCCTCTCTGTGCTCTGGCTTTATAGTAATTGTGGTCGCTGGTTATGGCTTTGGCGTAGCCTGATGTTGTACCGGCTCTGAGGGGCTTCCTGTTGCCGGTTGTAGTGGCAGGATTCCAGATGACACCTGTTCACATCGCCGCAGCGCTTCTTGTGGTTTGTGTATGGGAGAAGTAGTGCAGGGGGATTGTTGGAGGAACTCTTTTTGGCCAGCAAGCTGAAACAAGGTCGTTGAGCTCTTGCCCGGTGGCGCATTATGGTGTACGTTTCATGCTTTGATGTGACTGCAGGAGCGGCCAGCTGACCAGCCTCTCCCCCTGCAGCACACTTGGCATGTGTGGGAGCAGATACAGAGGGATACCTCTCACCCGGACAGGGCGATGGACTACTCTGAAAACACGCGGGATCTTGCTGCTTTCAACACTGTACAGGTATGGCTGCGTGTATCAGGGGAATGGTACATTCGAGCACCCATTTATGTGCAATTCGGTTATATATAGTACTGAGGGTCATGCGTATGCGACGAACAACTTTGGATGCAAGCGCGGGGACTGCTGCGCCGGCTAGAATATATGTTCTGAACAGTTAGGGCAAGGCCGTAATACCTTGTAAGACGTTTTTTATGTTCCGTCATATTTGCTGTCGAGGGAGCTTGGTTGTGTGCTGCAGACGTTCTGGCAGCTCTGGGCACATATTCCTCAGCCCAGTGAACTCCTCGGGCACAAGAGGTGCGTGTCGCGCCTCATGGCGTTTCACTTCGTTTCATGAGCCACCTTCTATTCAGTCTTTCTACTCGTTTCTCCTGCAGTGTGTCCATGTGCCTTCTAACCACGTCTTTTAGCGGTGTTGGGCCTTTCCAACTGCTTCTCCTCTCTTCACCAGTTTTCTGGAGCTTAGGAAAGGTTTATGCATTGAATAATTTCCCTCGCCAAGAGGCGTGCTTGCACTGCAACTCGCAGGATGATTCGCCAGGACAACAACGGCAGGAGCCACGTGGTGGACGCCCTGATGATCTTCAAGTGCGTCGCTTAGTTCTTACATATCGAATCGTACTATTTCTTTGCTAAGCCAAACTCAGTTGTCATTGTCTAGTGGATGGTGCAATATCTTTCTTTTGTGCCGAACAATGGTCTCGCTCGCTTGCACAGTACGACGGATGGAGGCCGGTGGAATACGCCAGCCGTAGTTGTATGGCGTGTCTTTATTTAGGGAGGGCATTCAGCCGATGTGGGAGGACCCCCACAATGCCACGGGCGGACACATGGAATATCGTATCACACCTTTTCAGACGCGTGCTGGGCAACTCGATGAGTACTGGAACAACCTCGTTCTTGGCCTCGTAGGCGGCACAATTGAGACCTGCGAATATATCACCGGAATTCGCCTGGTAGGAATACAAGAGCTTTGTTGTCGATGATGTAATTTATAGTAGAGCTTTGCAGTGCGCAGTATCTCGCTTTCTCTGCTGCTGATCCGGTTATTGGTGCTCATCCTGCTGATGGCGTTGTATTGCAGGTCGACAAGCTTGGTCAAGGTAGACATCCGTGTATTCGCATGGAGGTCTGGGCCAAAAAGTGCGATAGAGGTGGGTAATGTTGTTGAACGCTGCAACGACGCCTGCAGGATTTCATGCAGAGCTGTATACCATCATGATCTTGAATTTTGAACGGTGGTGGCTGGGCTTGATTGCTTCGTCGGTGTGCCTGCTGGGGTATGCTACAGCCACTCAAGAGAAGCTTGCGAAAGATCTGGATAAATGCTTTTCGACAAAACTTGTACGTGGGGTGTCGGGCAGAGTCGTCGAGTTTGTCGGCATCCAATTAGCTGGCGCCCAGTCTTGTAGCTATTTCACCATGTTTATGTACGCAGGGGTGGCACTGCATCTTTTTATAGACTGTGCGCATTCAGCCTTAATTTCAGGTCGTCGGCGGTCTCCCTAGTATGTAAGGCCGTTTCTATCGAATGCGTGCTTTTTGTTAATGCAGGACGGATCCATTGGTACTGCTCCCCGTGGAGACTGGAAGAGCCACGTTTCTCGCTAAGGAACTTTCGTCAATAGAAGTTCAGCTGGTGTCGACATATCACAATGGTAAAACTAGGAAATTTCATAACCGGTTTTGTGGTTCACTTCGCGTCAGCGGCTGAGCCAGCCCGCAGCTTCAGTGTTGTGGGCGCCTTGACCTCTGAACATCATTCAAACTTCGGAGTCATCGGCGTTTCCAGCGGGAGAAGACGGGGGGCAGAAGCGGTGCATGAAGAGCAAAGCAGCTTGCGTGGAAATGAACAGACGTGCACTGGCGGTTCACGGTAGCACGGTGTTGCGAGGTGGCCAAAATACACCTGAGTGCGCCGCCATGTTAGATATGCGGGAGGTGCCTCTTTGTGAACCCAAACACACGGCAGAAAGCGACTTTCTTTTACAAATGTATAAGATATGCTACCTGTACTCATGGAGACGATGCCCATGTATGAATTCCAGTGTCATTACACTCCACAATCCTGCGTTGGGACTTGATTGTCGGCATGCTTTCTGCTCAAGTCAATCGGATTGCTGGTAATAGATGATGCACGAGCAGATAGCATCTTAGTACTCGAGTTTTGTCCATCAGTTCTTTCACTGTGCACGTTTCTGCATGTGCTGTTTGTACTCGGCACTTAAAATGAAGCAGTAACGAACCTTTAGTACTCAGTGGATGCTACTTTTCGTATATAGAGTTGGTTTTGGTGAAGAATATTCTTTTTCTTAATGGTTCGTTCATCCCCCCTGCTTCGGCCAACCGCGACCTTCCACGTAACTTTCCGAATCCTGTGGTGGTTGTTCGCACTGCTTCTTGCGGACGCGGTTTGCCATGCAAAGCCAGCTCAAAAAAAGGCTAAAAAATCCAAACAGACTCCCCAAGGAAGCCTAAATGGTTCTTTCCAAGGTCCCGTCTTGGAGCCTGCCACCGACGATACGAGGCCATGGTCGTTCAACGATGGCGGTAAGTGTCATGTTGAACTTAGCCTAACAAAAATGAAAGTTTACTTCCGTGCCTGACTCCCGCATCGATGCATCAGGATATATGTACGAGGAGTTATGGAAGAGGTAAGAAAGCAAGCGAGATGATTGCTAATTTTTGCAACGGAGGCATGTACCCCTATTGCCACCCCAGAAAAAGCCCTTCGCCAGCAGGCATTTACGTGCCTTCTATGAATGCAAAAGGTCCTAAAGTGGATGAAGACTATAGAAAGCTCGTAAAGGGTGGGGCCTAATCCTGTGCTACACTAAAGTGTACGATGTTGAACCAAATCCTGTCAGCCTACTACCGAGTGACAGAGGAGGAACCCGAAGACTAACCAAAAGAGCAATGACAAAAACTGACGGAGAGCGCCGCTGCGACTTTTACGTTCCACAACCAACGACAACACTGACCTCTGGGCATGCACAGCCCGGCTTCGACTCCCCTTAGAGTCCTTACTGGCGCAACCTCAATATGAAGGCCTCTACGGAAGCCGCGAAAGAAGTGCCCGCGGAGGGGCTCAGAAAGGAGTGCGCGTGAAAGATAAAACATAATCCTGAGTTTAGCGGCCTGCGTGTCACTTGGATTCGTTCACCAGGGCCTGTTCGAGCTCGGCAGCCTCGGCGAGCAAATCCTTCTTTCTGTGGATTTTCTGAGGTTACAGAGACCGCAGATTACAGTGAATATTGCGAAAATATGCGGTGGAGCACATAGCTAACGGAGATTATTAGTGTGCAGGTGGTGTCAGTCCTGGAACGCTGCAGCCGAAGACGTACACTGAGTTGTGGGAATACGTGTATGTGCGGTCTGTATATGGGTTTAGGTGGCCATGGGTGCAGACACGACACAAAGCAATCTTCATTTACTATGTAGACAAATTCTAAATAATAGGTTCAAGAATCAGGAGACATAGGCAGCTTACTTGCATTTGTTCCGGGGTTGGCGTTTGGCCCTCTGCGCATTTCTTTTCCAGCTCGATTATTTCATTAATTTTTTTCCTCACGTTTCGCAACCTACAGACATTGAGGGAAATCCTAGGAAAGAACCCATAAGAACTGCCAGTGTCGACATCAGGGCGGCTGTACAACGGCATGCAACTATGCAGCAGCTTCTGCTCTTTGTAGGATCTAGGTTACCTGCTCCAGCACTTATGTCCGATAACGGACTGCAATGGTACAGATACGGAAAGATGCGTAGACTCGGCTATTTCCTGTGTATGCAGCTTGGTGCATAGATCCAGCATGCATCCTGTTTCGCGTGGGAGGAGAAAAAGCATCCAGCTCACCGTTTTACGGGGTCGGCGGTTTTGTTCGCTTCGTTGCTTTCGTGGAGAGACATAGCTTCGATCTGGCTGCAAAGCTTGTCCTGGGTTTCCAAAGCCTTCGAGCAGTTTGGAGCAGTGCTATCCTTCTTTTTGCGTCTGCTGGTGGTAGTTTTGTTGTTGGTAGTGGTGGAGTCTGCTTCTGGTGTCAGCCCGGGAATCCCGCCTCCTACATGCACGCGGTGCTCGTCTCGCGAGATTTGTTGCCGGGTTCTGAAGGCTCTTCGTTCTTCCTGAGAAACAGGCACCACATGCATGCAGGGTTTGGTCTAACAGGCTGTGAGGGGGCGCATCTGAATCCTACAGTGTTTGCGAATTCGGAATCCACACTCTATTCCCCGTATGACACGAAGCGTCAACATTCCGTAGATCCATATAAGCCCGGATTTTTCTTTGTTTCCCTCCTCTTCATGCGCTTGCACGCGGGTTGAGCTGCTACGCTTACCGCAGGAGTATAACCCGCGCGGACTTTGATTGGCTTCCTGAGACTCCCGTCTGGTCGGCGGGAGCCTGGAATGATCTTCTCTCCCGTTGCCATGTTCACCACGTATGTCTCTCCGCTGATCGTTGTCTCTCGCACGCAGACGCCTGTTGGAGCCAGCGAATCTACCAGTTCGCTAAAGCCGCCAGCCGACGAAGGACCCCGTGAGGCGTCGGGGTGCGACATTGCAAAGGCGTGAGGGGGCAAAGAAGGGGAGATCAGAGGCGGTGTGGAGGGGAGGTGTTCGCCCGCCTGATACTGGTCTCAAGTGTGGCGCGTCGCTGCTCGCAAAGGCTGCGATGAAAGCTGCTACTGCTTCTCCCGAGGCTGTCGCCTTTGCCAAAAAAATGCTCCTCCTGCTGCGGCTGGGCTGCCCCTCGCTGCGTGGAGGGGCTGCTGCAGCAGGCGCTTGGGAGGTACTGTGGAAAAGGGGCCTCTTGTGGCACAGCTGCCCCCCGAGAAAGCGCGCAAACAAATGGAAGAAGAGTAGGAAGAGCGTGAAGCTCGGCAAGAAGAGCAGTGTTTTGTGACTGCAGGTGTTCAGGCAAGAGTTCCTCCGAGTTTATTGGAGAGGGAGATGTACTGCGGTGGGGAGGGAGCCGGGAAGAAAGGCCAGTGGTAGAAAGCAGGCGCAGGCGCTGCGAATATTCTCGCCGTCTTCTCGTGATGTTACTTCGTGGTTAATCGGATGGTGAACTGCGTTCTCCCGCGTTCGTCCACCACCAAAGGGGTGTTAGGCAGTCTTCCTACGCCTTGACACAGCTACCTGATGGGCCTGAAGCAGCCTGCAAATGCGGCCCTCTCCCCATCTCGCCCAACAAAAATTTGCAGGACAGAACAAAACGCATTTGTACGGCGCCACAGAGACAGCCCCTGCGGCTCGCTCCAGCCCTAAAAGCCCCAAGCTACAGTGTGGCATGCAGCGCGTTCTAGTACTGTACTTTTAGCGCAGTGCATTAAATATGAGGATCTAGAGAACCCACTGCGAATGCAAGAAATGGCGATGAAGAGAAAGGAGAGAGAGCGGCTTGCCACCACTACTTGGGCGTCTAATGTGTGTGGTCTATGCGCTCTGCTCACTTCGAAGATTCCCCTGGTATTCGGAGCGAATTCTGAGGCCGCCTCCTGCACACAAATTGCTGAAAGGTTTAGTACCGTGGCGGTCAGCCGGTCGATCGCCTTATCACTGCCCTAGACACTGCCTGCCCTACAGCAGCCTGGGTGCTCGCAGTGCAGCTGCAACTGCGGTTCCTGCTGGCGCTGAATCTGCAGTCCATTTTACCGGCAGTGAAAAGTGTTTCTTTTTAGCTTCGAGGAGGCCTCGCAGCAGCGACTACTCGCGCCTCTGGCTACCCCAACGCGGCCACCTACCAGGGTGGTTTTCTGGCTACTCTTGCTCACCGGCAAAGAGGGCTGAAACGCTAAGGGCGCTTCGGCGCACTGGCGAGAGAAAAGCGTCTCAAAAAGAGATCCATGTAGAGGCCGCAGCGCAGTCTTTAAGTCATAGTCGTCCTTCCGTTCCAGGAAGCACAGCAACCCCCCCTAATCCCCCCCAATCCCCCCCTCAAAGCCTCGAATGAGGGCTTAAGGCTTTAGAGCGACCAAGGTGTGCAGCATACAGAGCCTGGGAGCTTGGCGAATCGAAGGCGCGCAGTTCGGCAGCTGTGCATGCAGAGACTCCAGGCTCTGAAGCTTGACGGTTGCCAGCAGATTTGAAAAGATGGTCCGACTCCGCTGGAAGAATCGACTCTGCACGTCTGAGGGTGCCGCTCTGATTACGGCGGCTGCAGCTCAGACTGAAGCCATGTACGTTCTGAGCTTTTGCGCTGCTAGCGAAAAGCTTTGGAGGGAAGGAGCTGCTATAAATAGTATTCGAGATGGGGAGGACGTTTTTGTGGCTGAGGAAACGTGCTGTCACTCAATGAAGGCATAGGGAATGTGTTGTATTCTGCAGTTTACAGCAGCGCGTAACCTCGGAAGCTGAAGCCAGACAGATTCTTCGAAACTTTGGTTGGTTTGAAAGCCCTGAAACCCCTAGATGTACCTGTTCTCGCTTTAACTCTAGCGCACACCCGCCTCTTTTTTCAGGGGGAGAAAGTAAACAAAAAAGTGCTCATCTGCCATCCGTGCTCATGCAGGATGTGCGTGTCGCATGGCAGCATTGTTTCTGTGGCGATTTTCATTTTCCGGCTCCTGTACAAATTTTCTCATCTGATCTTCCCACTCTGCTGTGTGCTGGTCAACCTCAGACGCACCCCATGTTCCTTCCATGCTGAACGACCTCCTCTACTGCCACTGCGCCGCGGTTGCCGTGTCTTCCAACTCAGGTAGAATACTCGACAGCGGACCACACTACGAAGGGCAAGCCTCGGATATGCAGCTAAACGCAGCGCTAAGAGCTGAATCGAAGATGCATGCTGTGCCGTTCTTATTTTTTCGATTATTGCTTCTTTGCAGAGGAGGGCTCTTGCTTTCGAGGCATGGAGGTAGCTCAGGTGGAAGTGGCAGGCCAGGTAAAAGGAGCACCAGGGCAGCTGCTGCGTTCACGAGCTCCACAGAGCGCCGCTAGTGTGCAGAGGGGTGCCTCGCTGCACGTTGCAAAAGCGTGTAGATGCCTCAGTGCTTGTGGCAGAGAGTTGCGGTCGCTTCAGGTGTACAACGTGGCGCTCATTTTGAAGCCCTCAGAAGGGAAGCAAGGGCTCCCGAATGAATCCGCTGCCAAGCAGCCGCTGCAGCAGCAGCAACCACAACGGCAACAGCCTTCACACCAGCAGCCGCAACAGTCGAAGCCGCTTCCACGTGCGACCCTCCCCAGGCAGCTGCCGCAGCAACAGCTCCTAATGCAGCAGCAAAGGGACAGTCCAGTTGCGCCTCAAGCGCACGCTGGGCTGCCGCATGCGCATCTGCTGCAGCAGCAATCGCTGCTCCAGCAGCAATCTCTGCTACAGCCGCAACCGCTGCTACAGCCGCAACCGCAGCGGGGGGGCATGCAGGAGCAACAACTTCTGCAGCAACAGCAGCAAATGCTGCAGCAACACCGCCAACAGCACACCCCTCCCCAGTGGCTGCCGCAGCGCCCACTGCATCTCCAACAGCCCCCACTACAGCAGCAAGCACTGCAACAGCCGCAACTTCCGCAAAGACACCCCCAGTCATCACCAGCACAACAGCAGCAGCAGCTTGGAGCGGCCGTGCGGCAAGCACCGAGTCAGGATAAGGAAGATGAACCCTTATACGTTCTGATGGAGGAGTAGCAAAGTTTTATTGCTGTTTCGCTTCGCCTTCTTGGCTTTTTTGCCGCGCTTGCTCATGCCACTCGGCGGGAAGGGGCCGCCGCCACTAGCGGCAAGCCCGAGAATGAAGGCGAACCGAGCGAAGCCACGATCCCTGGGCAGCGTATACATACAGTGTATATTTAGTCTATATATACATTTGCACACTTTGAGAATAATAGTTGTACGGTTACGGAGGGGGTTTGGGGTGTGGCAGAAAGGGGCGGGCATAGGGCGAGGGAATTTTCGAGGCGGGCGCCTGCGCAGCAAGGTGTACTTGAGCCACCCATTGATCTTCTCTGAAATGTAACTCACCAAAACAACGGGAGCTCGCCGGTTTGCACAGAAATGCCGTGCCAGCAATCCCCTGGGCAAGCACCGTACCCCCAACTATGCGCTGCCAGAGGCGTGTACTACTTCCGCCTTCCGAACAGAGGCGTGCTGCACCACGGGGGCATCCCAGGCGGCGGAATCGAACCTTCCACCCGAACCAAAGCATTCGCTTTGGCGGTACACATTTCTGGCCCTTGAATTCAGAGGGAAACGCGTATTTTTACAGGTGTTCAGGCGCCCAGTCGTGTGTTTTTCGCCCTAGCGGCAGCGGCGGCATGGGGGGGCCAGTCCCGGCTACTCGGCCGCTGCCGCCGCTTTCTGCGTGCGACGCTTTCCCCACCATGACCAAGTGACTCCTTCGTAGAATAAGAGGCGACTGCGCGCGTCTTTGGTTAGTGCATTTCAAGCTGCCCGTTGAATAGAGGGCAGTGCTGAGAACGCGCCGGAGTGTCTTGCGTCACAACTCGGAGGGCGACACACATTCGACGCGCTGGCGACAGCCCAGCAGTCTCCCGGAGAAAAGCGGAGGAGAGAGCGAGCTTGTCTGCCTCAGAGGCCTCGCGAAAAGCGAGCAAGCCTCGGAAGACGGCAAGGATCTTAACTCTGTCGTGTGCGCGTGCATGCGCGCTCACAGAAGCTCCCAGCTCCCGCCACAAAATGCCGTGAGGCGTGCAGTAGAGACCGCACAGACGCGAGGCGTCCTTTTGCCAGCTCCTGCAGCCCTCTGAGGCTACATAGGCTCTCTTTCTCCTCCTCGATTTCCCGCTTTTCCGCCCACGGGTGCCCCTTCTTCGCGTCTTCCACCCGCCTGCCCTTCTGTGCCACGCTGCCGATTGCTTTCTGCATTCCGAAGCCGCCGGAGTTTGCTTCGTGCGCTGCAGCGGCTTGTTTCTTTGGCGGCTGCACGAAGCTCGACGAGATTTTTACACGACGGTAGCGCCAGCCAGCCAGAGCAGCCTTCTTTCCCCCCTCCCCGCTTCCCCCCTTCAGCAGAACCCTGCTGGAGGCGGAGTGAGCCATGGGATCGACGCCTTCCTCTCCGGGGAACTCCCCCGCTTCCTTGCATCCAGCGCATCCTCTGTTGGCGGTTGTTTCGCCGATTACTTCCAGAGCGGCAGCCGGAGAGGCTTTGGAGACAAGATGCCCGTTGTGGCGAAGGCTGCTGCAGCTGAATCCAGCCTACTTGCCTGAAGGGGCAGCCACGTGCGTGTGGCAGTATCTCTTGCTGCCGCTGCTGCAGACGAATGAGCGCACCGGCAATGTAAAGGCCCTGCTGCTCTTTTTCGCGCATCATTTCAGGGAATATGCTGCTGCCTGCTGCTCGGTTTACGCCGCCGCAGACCCCTCTTACACTCCCCCGCTGCTTCTTTCGCGCCAGCAGTCTCCAGAATGCCCCCTTACGTGCAGAGCCACTGAAGAAAGCCGCTCATCCGTAGACGCCAAGGGTGTCGCAGCGCTAGCAACCCTCTGTCACCTCGTCATAGAGGCGCTCTCTGCGCGCTTTACCGTGACGCAGCTTCTCCTGGCAGCCGAGTATGCCCCCGCTGCTGCGGAGGCAGATGCAGCGAGACAAACGACGAAGACTCACGAGGCCAAAAAGACTCACGAGGCCGAATTCGCAGGCTCAACACCCCCTGCATCACCATCCCGTGCGCCTTCACGCGCTGCTGTGTGTGTTGAAGATGAGCGTGCCGGCGCGCTGATGGAGAGCCCCTCTTCCAGCGCATTTCCAGCTGCTATTCTTGCCAAGGAAGGCTGCCCTCCCTCCTCGACGCCTCATAACCCCCCGAAACACAGCAGTCTTCTGCAAGTCGACGTTGTCTACAGGAGCCACGTGTTTCGCGTGCCTGTGAAAGGTTGCGGCGTGGAACTGTACGAAGCCTTGCTAGGGGCCCTGCGCAGACTCTACCCGAAAGATGCAGCAGCAGCAGCGGCTCGAGGCTTGCTGTTTGCGGTGCCGCCGCAGACTCCGCTAGAAGAGAAGCTGCTGTCTTGCGACGAGCTCGCAGCTCCAGAGAACGTGCAGAAGCTCCTGCAGCAACAACGGCAAGGCCAGTACGCATACTCCCTCGAGCAGCAAACGGAGGGGGGCACAACACGTGGCAGTACACCCGAGGCATCCCCTTCTGCCCCTTCAGCGACAGAGGCTCCGAGGCGGCTTTCAACAGAAGGCAGCAGCAGAGACGACGGTGAGATCAATGTGCTTCGCGTGTATCTGCTGCCCCTCTGGACTCCCCTGGATGTGGGAGGAGCTGAAGCAGGCACCCTGATCTCCAACAGCAGCAGCAGCGACAGCAGCAGCAGCGAAAACAACAGCAGCGAAAACAACAACAGCAGCGAAAACAACAGCAGCAGCAGCAGCGGCAGCAGCAGAAATAACAGCTATGAGGGTGGCGTCAAAAACCCCTCGCAGAGAGGCCTTCAGAGCACTCATAGCTCGTGCCTTTTGACGCTTATGGATTCGATCATTTCTCTGCTGATCTTCACGCAGCCGCCATCCTTCTTCCAGAGTGTGGCTTTTGAGATGCAGCAGCAGCTGTTGGTGGCTTTACTGCAGCTGCTGGCTTTCGTCTGCCCCCACCAAATTCTGGCTAAGGCATGTCCTTTACCGCCTGCCGCGAAGCTTCCTGACGCTCGCGCCTCGGAAGAAGACACTCGAGGACGGGGCGGATCGAGGCAGCTGGAGCAGAAGGAACGAGAAGCTGCAGAAGCCGCGTCGCCGTGTACTACAGCGCCCTCCTCAGAAAGACACGCGAAGGATATTGGACAGGAAGCAAGTGCCGCTGTGACTGCGAAGGCCAGTCGCTGTAAGATGTGCGAAGGTAGCAAGGGCTGGCTGCCGCCTGTAGCGGATTCGAGTTTGAGCAGCTTGCTGCCTCCGCTTTCTGACAGGTCTGCGCATTGCGCGCCTTTCTACTTCCTGTACCAGCAACAGCGGCAGCAGCAGCAGCTCCTTATTCCCATGCTGAGCTGCCCAGCAGCAGACAGCCCCTGTCTGTTGCTGCTGGAAGCTCTCATGGCGGTGTGGGATGCCTCCGTGGAGAACGCCGAGCAAGCCAAGGGTAAGTGGGAGAGCTTTAGGCAGCAGCAGCAGCATCCTTGCCCCTTCCCCTAGTAGCAGCCGAGCCACCATCGCGACGACCAGCAGCAGCAGCAGCAGCCTGTAGTTAGTCTCGCCGCTGCTGCTGCTTGGTGTGCCTGGGATCCCGTCCTTCTTTTTCCGTCTGCTCAGACCCTCAGATCGCTGAATTCAGGAGTAGGCTTGCTTCTCGCGACTCCGGCGGCTCCAGGCAGTCGCTGGCACAGGCATGCGCAGCGTGTGCTCTAAGTCTGCCCTTTTGCGCTGCAGAGCTGGCAGCCTATCTGCTGCGAACGTGGTCAATTTGCGCTGCTGGCGAGGCGTGGGGAGTGACTCCGGATGTAGAACTATGCCGAGTGACGCCTTCTGAAGTCTTGGGAACGTACTGCCTCTTTCTGCTGCTTGCCCTCGCCTTCCATGTTCCCCCCGCCACTCGCTTGGAAGCCATCATGCAATCTCAAGAGCAACTGTATGCACTTCAACAGCGTCACGAAGGCGCATCAAGGGGTTGCCAAGCCCCTCTTAGCAGACTCGAGCCGTTCACAACAGCAAGCCAGCAAACGCATATCCTGCTGCACGTACTTTTGGCTAGAGGCGTTTCTCTGCCTCCCCCCCGTGTCGCGAAGCCTGCTCTTTCTCCTGCTGTCGCTGCTTCTGCTGCTCCTGCTGGTGTTGGTGCTCCTCCGCCTCGCCCCCGCGCGAAGAAAGCCTCTCCAGAGAGCTCCGCAGTGACTGAACAGTGGAAGGCTGCACATCGCTCTCCCATAGCCGTAAGCTGCGGCTGGTCTCGAGCACGGCTGCCTTTTTCCGGCTGCTGCTGCACACATTCCGCCCTTACAGCATCAGTGTGTAGGCAGCATCCATGGATTCAGCAGAAGCCGTCATACAGAGATAGAGCACGTAGACACACCATGCAACAGCAAATTCCCTCGCCCCCTCCTTCCCCTCTCACCCGTAGAGTTGCGCACTCCCTGACTGCCCCATTGAGCCACCCCTGCCTCTAGCCACCCCTGCATCCAGCCACCACTGCCTGCATATACAGAGCGTCTGTATGTGTGTGCCTTCTGTCTTGGTGCTGCTGCTGCTGCACATCCCCAACGTTTCGTGCGCTGCCGCTTCGAACCCCTTTGCCACCTTCCCTCCCACTCGCCTTTTGCTGCTCCCTTCGGCTTTGCTCATTCACCCTAACAGTTCGGAGAGGGCTCCGCCTTTGTGTTCAGACAAACGTGTTCCTTGGCTCCCTCGGCGCGTTGTACGACCCTGCCTACTTTAGATGCCAGTCAAACGGCGAGTGCCTCGAGAACATGCAGCCTCCTGAGCTGAGGTTCCCGCCTTTCAAGGAAATCTGCTTTCGGCAGCTTCTCGTAGGGCTCTCTGGCCCTCTTCTAGCGCGAAGCCTCCACCCCCTGCTGCTCTACGTGCTCCTGTACCGCAACAGATGCTTCCGGTAAGCCGCTGAACGGGTTGCCCACTCCTCCCTCCTCGCGCTTAGACTCACTCGCAGTCCTTCCAGATTCACTCGAAAGCTCGACAAAAGCTCTGAGACAGCCACCGCATGACTGCGATCCGCAAGAAGAGAGATGAGCGGCAGCACGAGTGAGTTGGAGGGGCGTGGGCGTTGCTGCGTGTTGCTGCTCAGGCTGTACTGTCTGTCCACCGAAGAGAGTGAAGCGGTTCTGCTCTCACTTCTAGAGGCTGCACAGGCCCTCCCGACGCAGTGTACCTTCAAGACGCTTCTGCTCGGTGAGAGTTCAGCCAGGGGTAGCTCTCTCGGCTTCCTGAGCGACGCGCGAATTCGCAAGAAGCAGCCTCCGCACGCTGTGTAAGCCTCAACAGCAGCAGATCTGTACGGCGCATGCGCTTTTCCATTTTGTGCGATCTTTCTGCAGCAAAAGGCCTAAGACGCGATATATCTTACCCCGTGCCTCCTGCCGGTCTGCTGCTTTCTCTCTGCTTGCTGATGCTTACAAGGGACCAGTCCGCTTGCCGCCACTTCCATTCGAAGGTAGGCAGGAGATAATACACACACCCGCAGGAGCAGCTCTCCGTGCTCGGCATTAAGGACTAGCGCCTTCTGAGCGTACTTAATCGGGGGGTGCAAGCCCTTAAAGCCTCGAGGGACGTAAAGGCAGAAAGTCGCTTCCGCGCTGGGAAGACGGCGGGAGTCTTCGTGTTTTGATGGAGTTTATGGAGCCTGGAGATTTGCCTCCTGCGTGGGCTGCATGGTGGCCGCTGCAGAAGGCGAAGCGCGGTAACAGAAATCGCGCACTGTGGATATTTGTGCCAAAGCTCCCGTCACAACTCGAGCATCTGCGACGTAGGCTGTGAGGCTTGGACGTGTCTCTGCGCCCAGGTTCTGCGAGACGTATACTGGGAAGGAGGAACGAAGCTGCGAGAGGCCACCCTAGGCTCCTTGCTTATCCTCGCGCTTCTCCGATTGATCGCATGGCAAGTCCGCTTTGCTCGCCTATGCCTGGCTGCTCTTTTAGCGCATACAGTCGACTGCCGGCTCTTCGGGATGCTGTCACCTGTCAGGGGAGAGACAGCGTCTGTCCAGCGCTACCTCTGTCTGCGGCTTTCCCTCGAAGTTAAAGCCCACCCCACAGCTGAGGGAACGAGCCGCTTGTGGCTTGGTATGAAGGCGGGATCTCCGCATTACAGATTGCAGTTGCTACGCTGTTGCGTGCGCGCGGTTGGGCTGTAGGAATGCATCGACGTTTCGAAATCTCTTCTTCTTCGAAATCTGCGCCTCCAACCTCATCAACATCGCACACTCCGCCGAGATGATCCACTGGTGCGCTGCTGATTCTTTTACTTGTTTGGCCTCTGCTGCGTTTTGGTGCCATGTTGTTTTTCTCCTCCGGCTGCTGCTGCTGCTGCTGCTTCTGGGTTGAAAGCAGATGTAGATGCATCCATTCCCCATGCGCCCCCAGAACGTACCTGGCCCCTTTTAATGCCCCTAAAATTGAGAGAATCGTGCTCTTCTGCAGCCCTTTGCACGGTGTAATCTCTCTCCCTTTCTCTCTTTTTTTCTCAAAGTACTGCATTTTAACAAGCTTTCAAAGGCAGTTTAGGCGCACAGACGCAGATCCTCTTTGCCTTCCTTGCAGGCTCGCTGCGGATCGGCTGTTGGACCTCTTGGCCTCTCTCACGCGCCGCTTGCTAACACGGCTGCCTCTTCCTGCGGCTTTGACAGGGCCTGCAACTGCAACTGGAGGTGCTGCTGCTGCAAGTGCAACTGTAGGTGCTGCTGCTTTTGGTGAGGACGCCGTCGAGAGGGTTGAGGCGGAGCCGATTCTTACAGCACAATCAGCGACTGTGGCGGGCAGTGGCGCTGATGCCACGGCATCCTCGAACTTGAGGGAGCCTGGAAGTGATCTTGAAGGTTGGCTGCTCGTTTTTCGCTCGGTTTTGATTTTCCTGTGTGCCGCTTTGAGGCCCCCCCGCCTTGCAAACAACAAAGAGCTCCTCTTTGCGCTGATCCGGCTCCTTCCGACACCTGGAGTGATCCAGCTGGTGCAGCGAATGGACTGTGCCCACGCATACCTGCTACTGCGTCAGCAGCAGGGGAAGGAGAAGCACCAAGAGGCAGAGCAGCAGCCTCCAGAGAAGATAGGCCAGAGCGTTCCTGGATCTCTGGGAAGCAGCAAGAGCGAATCCCCGGAGGGGTGTGCTTGCCCTTCTCTGCAAGCTGTGCCGCCAGAGGAGCCGATTGCAACTTCAGAAGCAGCGCCAGACTTGTCGGCGGGGGAGTTGATGCAGGTAGAGCTGCTCTCCCAGCTGCGGCCGTTGCTGGAGCCTCAACTGCGTCTGCTTCTGGCGCTGCGACGGCTGTGCGAAGTGACGCTCGAGCGAAGCGGAAGGGATGACGATGGAGAAGACGACGAGGTAATCCGAAATGTGTCTGATCCGGCTTTTCCTGTATGTATCTATATGTACACCACACCCACCAGACCCAATCGTGTAAGGCGTGCGAGTCCAGAAGAACCACGTGTGCGTAGATCCATGGTGAGTTTCCCCCAGGAGGCTAGCATGCACGTGGCTGTTTGTGGATTTCTTGTACTCAGGGTGCTGCCAATGAGCAACTCATCGAGGACCTCGCAGCACAGCTCTGCTCTTCAGATGGCGCCAAACCCGTTTGGAGTGGCAGCGAGGATTGCGTGCAGGAGCAGCTTAAGGCCTACGGGGCACTGATGCATGTGAGCCTCATTCTTCCTACCATCTCGGGATGCAAACGCTTGGCTCTGCAGTTCATTGCGCGATCCAGACCCCAAGCTTTCCTTCACACCCAAATCCTTTCCTTCACACCCAAACCCTTTCCTTCACACCCAAACCCTTTCCTTCACACCCAAATCCTTTCCTTCACACCCAAATCCTTTCCTTCACACCCAAACCCTTTCCTTCACACCCAAACCCTTTCCTTCACACCCAATAGAGACACACCACCTAGAGACCGCACGCATATTCCGTGGCAACCAAGAGGGGAGTCTGAGACCGACTCCTTGCCGAAAGAGGGTGCCCTTTCAAGGCTCGTGGAGAATAAAAGTGCTGAAGCGCGCAGGAGCCCTCCTGGGAGAATTCGGGATCTGATCGTTCGCGTGTGTCTCAGGCGATTTCGCTCGTTGGGCATGCCCCTCGCGTGGAATACAGGGAAAACGCCAAGTCCTCTTGCTATTTCCAGCCCCTCATTTGGAAGGCTATATACTTGTTGATGCCAAAGCGCAGCTGCTGGCACTAAGGCGGATCCCATCTCCACATTTATGACACCAAACAAACTCCCCTTGCGCCTCCGTCCCTGCATCCGTCTTTTCCGACCTGGCGCTTTCAGCCCCTAGCCGAGTGTTGGGGGATGCAAAAGCCGTACCGTGCTGCGGCTTCAGCTCTAGACCGGCGTTTTCCGTTCGCAGTTTTATTACGCTTTAGAGCTAGGGTTTGCTGAATAGCCTCTCTTCATAAGGAGTACATACGCGTTAATGCTTTCATACACAGCATCCGATTATTGCTTAAACCGCGGGGCTCGACGGTTTGCTGATGGTGTGAGGAGGCAAACACCATATGGCGAGCCACTCGCGCTTGAGTGCGCCCTTTGCTTCTCGAGGGATAAAAGGCCTTCTGCGTCCATCTACGTAGGAGAGCCACACCCTACCTCCCCACCGAGGCAGGGTCTCCCACAAGAGAGCAGGACCTTGTGTAGAGGCTGCTTGCTAACGCGTAAAACCGCGCTGACTATTATTCCCCGACTTCACGCTGAAGACACTAGAGCCCGTAGGAGAATGTGCAGCAGCTCGGCTGCTGCACAAATGCGATGGTTCTGTTGCAACTCTTAGGGGGCTTTCAGGAGTTAAGCCACCCCCAAAATGGACAACCCCCGAGGTGCAGGCGTACTTCAATGCCGCATATCTTACGTGCAAAGCACAGCGCCTGGTTTACGAAAGAAACTGCTCCCACAACTAAAACGGAAGTTGCTCGTACAACTCGAGGGAGTTGGTTGGAGCAGCCATTCTTGTCTAGCGTGCGCTACGAGCCTCAAGTGCCGACGTGAAAGTGACGAACGGGCATGCAGGGATGCCGCTAACTCTTTAAAGGGTTCAACAGGCAGTGGCGACCAAAAAGAGCCTTGGTGGGGCCCATCAGGCTAGTAAACGTGAGGCATGTAGAGGGGGGGCACCGTTACAAATAAATGCTTTTTTGCGCCTAGTCTTCTTCCTGGATGGCGCGTCGCCAGCTTCTTCCGCATCACGCTACTCCCGTAGGCACTTTTTTTTTGCTACCATGTTGCTCTTTCCCCCCTGGCAGGTAGCTGAAGGGTGCACTGCAGTTTCTTCGGGACGCACGTAATCATTAGGCTCAAGGCCTATATAGCCATTATTATTTCTAGAGAGTGCTTTTTTCACGGTAAGTGCAGGACTAAGCAATGCTCATAGCTCCCCTACGCAGAGGCACACAGGCCTGGAAATTCCAAGACAGCGCGTCCTGCACTGGAGAGTAGTGGCCATTTGCCTTCCCTAAGCAGAAAGAGGTAACCACATCCATGACACGATAATTTTTGGTTTTTTTGGCTTGAATACGCCAACAGCCTCTGGATCACACCCAACTGCCATCATGGACCCGTGAAAGTTAGTAAGCCTCCATCCCTACGCCCTGTGTCTAGAGAGAGCATGTGCCCTCTTGTGCATTCCCTGATACCATAGCGTCAGCTCCTGATAAGACACGGATCAAAAATCCCAAAAGGAGGTGAACGCATAGGCCACGACTAAGAAAGGGCTGTTCCGGGATTCGAACCCGGGACCTCTCGCACCCGAAGCGAGAATCATACCCCTAGACTAAACAGCCGCACACCGTGGCACGTTTTGTTAGTTGGCTTTGCGTTGCAGTAACTTTCCTTAAGGCAACGCCTTTGAACACAAAATAGGGAAACAAAAGGTAATTGCACAGCGCTCTGAGGGTGCATCAGAAAAGCGAGACTTTGGAGAGCTTTGTGGGGCCTTGCCTTGTGCCGTGCAGAGTGCGGGAGATGGCGTCCGCCGTAATAGTGCTTTTCGTTTTTAGTCGAGGGTGTGAAGTTCATAGCGAAGTATAGGGGCACTTTGCGTGCCATTTCGTGTCTATGGGCCGGATAAAAGCTAGCAAAGGGCATTTTCTCGTTATGGAAATTCAGCTTACTTTCTAGTAGCGCCACTGGTCATCGTAGTGGTTTGGAAAAGCGGACCGCCTCATCAACCATTAGGCTAAATTCATGATGTTAACAATATGCAGCGCAGTCCTTCGACCACTGCGGTGGAAACATTGGTCATGAGTACTCGCATTTGTCATCTTTACTGCTTTGTCACGCGGCGCTCTTGCGGTTGCTTTTTTAATGCAAAACAAGAAAACCTAGGATCTGATTCCTCAAGAGTCGAGGCACCCCTGTTGTGTGAATGAGGCACACAGAACAAAGCAGAACTAAACGGAACTTGAGGAACTCAATAGTCAACGACCTTCGTGTGAGGAGACCCTCATGTGTTTCTTGAACCTGTTGCTTTGCCCAGTTGTTACTCGTGCCTCTGATGCCGCCCTTCAATCTTTACCTCCTTTAGAGCAAGGGGTATCACACTGACGTACTCCTAGGCTGTGAATTCTTTGGTGGTCTGTGAAATCGGTGTGCAAAAGGAGCCATTGGAACCGGTTGGCTTGTAGTTTTAGGTAGGCTTTAGAGTCAAGCCCTCAAAAGGAAGGCATGGTCTGCATCATGCCTACTCCATCACACTTCGAGTGCCTTCATTGGCAAAGCTTCAAGGCCCTGAGGATCCTTTCTACTAACGGTAGACAAACAGCTTGAGTTTTGGTGCCTCAACAATTGGAAGCATAAAGGCCGCCATGTTCCACTAGAGATATTCATGATTTTTGTGGCACAGCGAGGAGCAAAGGCCGTTAAGCTCTGTATGCATCGTTTTGCCTATTTCTCAGTCGATTCCTCCTGCCCCTCATTTGCCGTGCTGCCAACATTTACTTGGCAAAAGCGCCTACAGTCTCAGGATAATTGGAAAGCACGTATTGCAGCGCAACGTGAAGCACAGGGAAGAGCGAATATCGGCACCAAGCAACTTTAAATCGCCGAAGAGGTCGGTGAAATGATACACACAGAGCTTCACGGCCTCTATTCTTCACCGTGCCAGAGAAGCATGAATATTCCTAGTAAAACATGCCGGCCCTTTATGCCTTAGATTGTAGGAGAACCAGCACACGTCACAGTGACTCCTATATACAGGGCATTGTACCGGCCCAGCGAACCTCCCTAGCCTTCCGCACTTCTGTTATAATGGGGTATGCGTACCTCTGTTAAAGCGGCCTGGCAGCGGCTTCAGAGGAGTCGATAAAGCATCTTCTGCTGTTGCGCTCGAGCGAAGGCATTCCAACGCGGCACACTCGCTGCGGTACACTAAAAAGGCACAGAAAGGAAACATTGCAACAGCAGCAGACCGCTATTTGCCCTCGCCAAGGACCCAAGTTGTAAATGCCTGTAATGCTTGAACGGGGGTGTCACTGTATGAAGTTTTCAAGCAAAGCGCAAAATGCGCATGTGAAACGCTTCCTCATTTAGGCTCACCATGGGGGAACACTTGTAGCACCAAATTCAATACAAGACTTAATTGGGTGTTATTATATTTTCTCCAAAAAGAACTACCGTGGCGTTCCCTCACTCTCCGTAGGGAAACGCTCAAATTCAAGCTCAATACAGACCTAATGAAGGTTATGGTGTGTCCCTCAAATATATTCCCGCCACCTACGCTCTTTTCGTACAGTGCCCTACGTGAGGGGAGAGGAACAGCTAGGGTGCGTTGACGAACCGTCTTTGCACTCGGAGCATCCACAGCTAGCTAGATATGGCTTCTAGCGGGCACGCGCATAACGTCACCTCTTCTTGTCTCAAGCTAACAATGCTTTGCTAGAAACAATTAAGGAACATATTATCGGACTTGTCAGTTCTCTACTAAGGAACTGGGCAACGAGATACAGTTTAGTATAATGAACTTTTTGTGGTGTGTTGTGGCATGCAAAAATGCCCACACTATTATATGAGTGTCATTTACTGCCCAGCAGGCCGTCAGTTTTTGAACTACCTTTCGAAGGACTTTCAGGACTTTGATATCTATGGAGTGGCTCGCTGGCTTCAGCGCCTCCTGCAGTACGACTGTTTACTGATGCCTATAAAGGCCATTACCAAGATGATCGCCAACGCGTGTGCATCTTGTGACGCTCCAGCAATTCACTAATTTGCAGCTCACCCGCCTAGTCTGCGATGATACACCATTTTAATCCAAATTGCTTAAGGCATATGCTTTTAAGTCTCATGCATCCGCTACTATTGACAACCTCTAGAACTGCAAAGGGGTGAAGCACTTGAACGCTGTGGAGGGTTTCCTGTCGTTCACAACAAAGTGGCGTGGCTGCCTTTTGTATGGCGTTCGACTTTGTTCGACAGTGTTGATATCTGCAAAGCGCATGTTCACCTTCTCTTGAGCCATAATGGCCTTAAATCTACAGAAAGAAAGCTCTCACAGCGCTTCTAGTGCCGTGGTTTGCGTCTAGAAGTAAAGGAGGTTAAACCTTCGTGCCCAGCTTGTCAGCAGTTAAAGCCGCGCAATTTTCTCCTGAACCCGGCCTCTTGCAAAGCCCTCGAGTTCATGAAAGCATTAAGACTGCTCTGATCATGAATTGTGTTGTTGTGATCCCGAAGGCCAAGGATCAGGATAGCATCAACTCTGTTGTCGACGGACAGTAAAAGACGTGTTTTATACTTTGCTTTGGCCATGCCACGGCTCGTCGCTCATCTGTTCATAACTCATGTTTGGAAGCTTCTCATATTTTTCAGGACTATTACTATTAATAGAGATCTGAAGCTTGTTAGTGCCTCTTGGCGTGCCTCTAGGGTCAGCCTACAAGCAGACCAAAGTGTGACCGCTGTGATCCTTCCTTGGGCAGCTGGACAGAGAGAACCGCCCTCAATCTTCTGCAGTAGATGCGGCTCAGCTCCCCAAAACTTATTTGCTTGGCTTGGCTTTTCCCCTTTCGCTGAGTGGATTTAGAATACAACTGTACGCTCGTCAACTTTTGGCTCTTCCGCGCCTCTGGTCTATAATGAGGAGTTCGTTTCCGATGCGAGCCTGGAGCTGGTGATTCAGAGTCAGCACCCAAAACACGAGTAATTTGGAGAATGGCTGGTCAGTGCACTCGAATGCATGCACGAAACTCAAGAGAGGTAAGCACGTTATTATGATAAACAGCAATCGGCTGTGTATTTGGACTCTTTGAAACATGTTTTTGGCGAGTTGGTAGGCTCTACGAGGCGCATAGGATCTTGATGAGATGAAGTTTATGGTCATATAGCTATGACCATCTATCATTACTTCACTTATCCATGCACTTGACTGCTTCGAATTCCCAAAGTTGGAGGTGCAATCAAATTTTCATTATTGGCTTCTTTAAAAAGTTCCATAAGTTATTTGCGGACTTGCCGCTCACCCAAACGACCTGTTAGGAGGCATAGAACCTACAGAAAGCCGTTGAAGTGATGGAATCAACGACTGTCAAACGCTGAGGACAGTACATGATAGTTCTTAGTTAAATTCGACAGGGAGCACCAATCTTAGCGGCTGACAAGAGAGCAGCTGCAGGCATCGTTGCCCTTGGGAGATTGTGCACCCATTTGATTAATAACGCTAGTTGGGACGGGATTCCTCACGTTCCTTGAATTTTTTCCTCCCCAGCGAATGCTCTGCCTGAAATTTTTTTCTGCATCAGAGAACATCGCTTGAAACGTTGCCATTTATTGTTGGTAGGGTGTTCTGTACACTCAAAGACTATGTGCAGGCACTCCCAGGTACGCTGGTTTTACACTCTTTCTTCTGCCTCCTCTGGGGTACTGGAGTCGACCATTCTGCATGCGTCATCTGTATTTTGCATGCAGATATTGATCTGCGAGGTGCGGATGCACTGCTCAAATAGTGTGTGCTTTGATTGCCTTAACACATTTTACTACTCACGCGTTTTCTCATAGCAAGAGGCACACATTTCAGCTCTGTGGAGATAGCGAGGCGTCACGCCACGCCGTTTGCGTTGCTTTGGTCCCTTGTTCGCTGCTGACCAGTGTGTATGTGAGTGCCTTTCTTTTATTTAATTTACTTTTGCGGTTGATGCACTCATTTGTTTTCTTCGTTTGCACTTTTTTCTAAATATTTCCATCTGCTTGGGGAGTGGCGATAGGGCGAAAGCCCTTTCGCGGTCAAGCACTTAGTTTGTTCGTTGGAGAGGCATGAAACGAGTGTATGTGGTAGGAAATGTAGGTTCAAGATGTGTTAGACTTAGCCACACTTGGTTGCATTTTGCTACATCAGTTTCATTGCACTTAAAATCAGTAAGGCAGAAATTAATTGGCTTGTGTGCTCGTAAAGCTTATGCATCGCAGAATGCTTCAACTCGACATAAGAAGAGGTAATTTTGTGTGCGTATGCCTCAGATGCAAGGGTCAACGAGCTGTGAATGCCCGGAGTGCTGAGAGGGTGGAGTAACGTGCATCCTAGGTGGTCCTCTTTCCTCTTGCCAGGAACTATGAGGGCCTAGAACAGAAAAAGGCAAAACTTCATTCTTATTATGTCAATATTTATTGTGTAGTTGCGGGTTCCCCCGCGGAGTTGCCCTTAAGTGGAGCTCCGCTTCAACCTTCATGCAAACCGAGTATAATGTTAAGGGGTATGGGCAAGGAAAAGAGTAGCCTCCTTCCCGTGCCCATACCCCTAACAACTCCGACATGAGCGAGAAGGAACAGCCAGGCTCACGTAGGCAGTGCGAGCATTCACAGCTAGTTGCACATAGCGTCTAGTGCATAGGCGTACTACGTAGCGTCTTGTTGAATTGAGCTGACTCTATGCTTCGCAGTAAACAAGGACTAAAAGCACACACGCCAATATGTTGATTCTTTAGTACTTCCTAGCTGACTATTACCAGTGTCGTAGAAAGCGCTAAATTGGAAGTTTCGCCCCTATATACAGCGAGTATCATCCGCCAGCTCCCTTTTTGAGGGCGCTCAGTGTAGGCGGCTATTTCTGGTGGCAAACCTTTTACATGCGTGGTGGTTAACCCCAAACTAAAAATGTTGGGTGGCGTTTTACATTCTTATGCCGCCTCTGGACTCCCCCTGCTTGAGCGCCAGAGGCCTAGCGGGGCAGCAGTGTCGGAAGGTCTCCTCTGGGCGTCAGCTCCGGTGCCTGCCGAAGCCAGAGAGAGCTCTTTGTCTTGCAGCAACAAAGCGGCGTGCGTTGAACAGGTAGGAGCCGTTATAGGTGGCGCACTTTCTAAGAAAGGTAGCCAGTAACCATGCCTCTGGGGGCCCCTCAACAGCACTGCAGCCAGCTGCCTACGGCTAATACACTCGAACGGCCCAAACGGCTCCCGCCAAAACTCCAGGAATGTGCGTGTACACGCTTATACTTTTTGGGGAATAGAGAGAGAGAGAGAGAAGTTCAGACAACACGATATTGCTTGTGCTGCGCTGCTGCCGCTGAGGCGGCAGCGCCAGTCACTGCGCTGTTGCTGCGGCTGCGGCTGCAGCCGTAGCAATTGCAGCAGCAAGCGGCTGTTTGGGGGTTCGATATTTGTGTCTTGAGCAGCATTTGAGTTGTCATAGCGTATTTAATGTAGATTTGTGGGATTCGTTCGCCTGTGAGGCAGAGGACCGGCTGCTTGGCGCTTGCTGCAGCGGTAGCAGCAGCAGCAGCAGCACCCGCAGCAAGCAGTGCCATAGCTGGAAGGCGCCTCAAACAACGTTCCTTTTCGATCATCTGGAGCAATGAGGGCTAAGAGTGAACGCGTCTATAAGCCTGGCGCCAAAGAGGTGAGGCAAGGACCCCCCTTCTCTTTTACTGCATTCGCACCTGAGCTGCAGCACTCACACAGCGCAGTGCCTCTACACCGCAGCAGCTCCCTCCTCTGCAGGAGCCCGCACAAATGCTTCCGCGTTATTTTAATCCTTTTTTACACATTAGTTGACTCATTAGGGCCCCCAAAGGCCCTCGAAATGGCCCTGGGGGCCCCCCCAGCGGCACCCCCCGGCCCAGCTGCCGGCCCCTCGGGACTGCTCTTGCCCTTGCAAAGCTTTGTATTTCCTCGTACTCGGTTCTCCGGGCGGCTTCATATGCATTTTCTACTTCTATTCGTGTCATTGAAGTGCAGAAATGACTCAACAGGGAGCGCGAGGGACTCTTCCCTTCGCCTCAAGGGGCCCGCCGTGGGGTCGCTCCATGGGGGTGTTGTGTCAATTTCTGGTGCACGAATTAAATGGAGATCTCTGCCCCCTTCAATAGGGATCATGCAGAGCCGATCTAACTGCCCATGAGCGTACTGTGGCTGTCTGTTGCATGGAGACCACTGCAGGGCAGCTTCCCTGGCATGCTGCTCTTGATGCGCTGGAACTATATCCGCCGCGCTTTTGCGCTTGTCTGTTCCCAGCAATGTACTTTACTTGAGGCTGTGCTTGTTCGCATCTCCGTGCGTGGGGTCGCCTGCGTCAGATGCACCGCCAGACGCTGCTGCCCTTTTTCAGCCCTTTCCGTCTGACCCTTTGCTCGCCGGCCCCTTATTGCTGTTTTGTGGCTGCAGGAGTGGCGCGTGGTGTATTGGATATACCCACAAGAGCGCGTCAAGAATAACAGAAAGCAGGTGTCCTTCTCTAGTTTGGTGAGCTGAGGATTTCAAGCCGCGGGGAGGTGGCGGGAGAGGGCCCCCCTTGCCATGCAGCTGCCAAGTTTCGACACGCGCGCTGTCCGTCTAGTGCCTTGCCGTGTACAATCACTCACCAATCTGCTTGCCAATAGGGCTGGAAAGACACGGAGCCTTATTCGGCTGCCTCCCGTTCTCGAGGGTGGCCGCACTTTTCACTGGAAGGCCTACTGTCTGTGTGTGTATCTGTAGTATGTATGTCTGTGTGTGAATGTATGTACGTATGTATGTCTGTCTCTTTCTCTCTCTCTGCGCGTATATGCGTCTTCTGCAGAAATACGGAGATAGCACAGCTCAGCTGAAAGCCTGGGCAGTCATTCGCTTCATAAATCACTTTGGCTGCGTCCCCGAAGACATCAAGAACCCCCCGCTTTCCCTACCCCCCTGTTGCGCTTCTTGCTATCCCCACTGCCTCAAAGAACACGTGCCGGGATGCAACAATTGCATAGATCCCCCTACAGATCGGCACTTCCTAGGGATACCTCCATCCGCGGGAGCCGCACCTGCAGGATCTGCCATTGGCACGCCGTGCAGGCTTAGGCCCTTAGCTGCCTTGGAGGGACGATCCTCTGCCGCAGATGGCGCAGGCGACGACGCTTCCGAAGAAGCCTACGGGGGGCTGCTGCATGGAGCTGCAGCAGCGGCAGCAGCAGCAGCAGCAGAGCAGCAGCAACAGCAGCATTCCCGCGACGGCGCACGCCTCCCTCTCGCCGCTGGCACCCCTCCCTCGTCGTGGCTTGAAGAGGCAGCCGCTGCTGCTGCTGCAGCCTCGGCAGCAGCGAGGCAGAGTCTGCACACCCAGCAGCGCCACCACACGCTGCAGAAAGACTTGCAGCTACGTGCCTCACCTGCAGACACGACGCTGCTCTCGGAAGCCTCTCCCGAGCTGGGGATTTTGAGTGCAACAGGTTGCAGCAGCAGCATTAGCAGTCGCTTCGAGTTTCTCGCGGCGCAGGCAAACAATGCGAAAGGGGCCTCCTCTTCTTCTGCCTCCTTTCTGAAGGGCAGCTCTCCGCATGCGACAGTCGCCTTCCAGCCGCTGCCTCCCGCCGCTGTCGGCGCTGCCCCTTCCCTCGCTTCTGAGAGCTTCTTCGCTGCTGCTCAGGAGCTCTCCTCGACTGGAGGGGTGAGGGGGGGAAGCGCTTCAGGACGCCTCATCAGTGCCGCTTACGCAGGCGTTCTCGCCGAGATGCGCGGGGATGGAATTTCCCAAAGAAACGCAGCAGGAGAGACCACTGCCAGCGCTGCAGCCTCGCTAGAGGGCATGCAAGACAACCCTCCTCCCGCGAAGCGTTCCCGAACGGAAGAAAGCCTGCTGGCAGAATTACAGCTGCAGCATCAGCTGGCAACGGCGGCTCAGCAGCGGCATCTGCAAGACGGTGCGGGAGAGACTACTGCCTTGCGCCACGCAGGCGAACGAGTTTCTTCTTCTTGTTCCTCTGGTGCTGCTGCTGTAGGCGACGGCAGCAACAACAGCAACAGCAGTGCTCCGGCGCTAGTGGTGGGAGGCACACTGCTGCCGCAGCAGGTTATAAAGGGAAGCAGCGGCGTTCACAGACCCTCGCTGCACCTTCCGTCTCTTCCTGGCGATCTCGATCTGTCCACGACTTTGCAGCTGCAGCGACAACAGCAGCAACTGCTCGATCAACAGCAACAGCAGCACCAGTTGGCACTGCAACAGCGGTTGAGTGGGCAGCAACACATGCACGCAAGACAACAGCAAAGCCTGCTGCGCGGGGTGCGACTGTCCTCACGCCAGCAGCAGCAGCAGCAGCAGCAACAGCAACATCATCAAGCGCTTTCTGGTGGATGGAAGAGACCTACATCTCTGCAGCAGCAGCACCTTGAGGGCATGGGCGGCAGCGGCAGCAGTCAGCAGCAGCAGATGTCGTGTGAGGAGGAAAGTGAGGGAGCTTTGCCCCACGTATACACCGTCTACGCGGAGTTTCTCTTGCACGAAGTGCTTGCCGAGAGCCACCCCGCTGCGCAGCAAGGCGAGCGCCTCCCACAGCAGCCCTCTTCCGGGCAGGAAGAGGATCTGCAGCAGCAGCAGCACAGCGGAGTGGAGCGACGGCAGCCTCTGGGGGTGTGCTGCGGAGAGCATGGGCTTCCTCTTGCGGAGAGTGGGAGCTTGGAAGCGGCTGCAGCGCAAGTGGCGTCTACGGCGCAAGTGGCATCCACAGCAGCAGGGAGCAGCGACGTCGATGCAGAGGGCAAGCAAGGCAGTCGGCGTCGGGGAGGCGTCCACACGCGTGCCTTGACAAGAGCGCTCACGGGGTTCTCCGTTGAGGGATGCGGCTCTCTCTACGACAGCCAGCAGCACGTGCAGCCGCAGCACGTGCAGCAGCAGCACATGCAGCAGCAGCACGTGCAGCAGCACGTGCTGCTCGGCGGGGGGAGTGCAGGGGGGGGAAGCGGCGCTGGCGAGGCGATGATCTGGTGCTGCTCGAACAGAGATCCTTTTCAGCTCCGGCACGCGACTGCGTATGGAGCTCATCGAGACGCCGCTTCCGCCGTTAAACGCCGCAACATGTTGACTCGACAGATGCGCAGGCTGACGACTGCGGCTGGAGGAGGCGCTGGCGCTCCGGGGGGGGGGGCGGGAGAGGCTTTGGCGTGTGTTTCGAGGGTAGCAGCACCTGCAGGGGGGCCAGGCGCTTCGCGAGATCACAGCCTTGTGTATATGTTCACACAAGGGTGTGGCAGCAGCGGCAAAGCTGCAGCAGCCTGCAGCGGCGTCGGCAGTCGCGGGTTCAGCCGCTGCAGGAAGCCGCCTGCGCGTCTGCTGTGGCTCGCGTACAAGCAGCGGCTGCGGGAGCTGCGCGAAGCCTCTGAAAGGGTGTCTCTGACAGCCACCGACTTCGCTGCCGCTGCGCCTTTCGGAGTCGATTCGGAGTCGCAGCAAGCCAGCGCTTCCGCCGACGGCTGCTGCAGCGTGCTCGCCCCCGGAGCCTGCGGCGGCAGCATGTGTCTGTACACCGCTGAGGAAGCCGCCGCCGATCCAGCAGGCTACAGCAGCGACGAGTGCGGCTTTTGGAGGGACTGGGCAGGCCATAGACACCGCAAGGCTCTGGCGAAGATCGCTTCGTCCTTGCGCGGCTCCTCCTACGAGGTGCTGCAGCAGCAGCTGCATCTGCAGCAGCAGCAACACCGCGTGCAGCAAATGCAGCAGCAGCAACAGAAGCGTCTGCAGCAGCAAATCATCCGCGGCACGCAGCACACCCCCGCAGCCACTCCCCACACCTCTCCGTTGCCGGGGGCAGCAGTTGCTCCGCCTTCTGCTGCAACAGCCACGCAGCCAACAACGGCCGCCCCTAAACCTCCTTTGGAGACAGACGAAACTGCAACGGCTGCAGAGACATCCACCACGCAAGCGACAACAACTCCACCGCCTTCAGTGTCAGCAAGCTCCGTAGCGACTGCTTTGCGACAGCTGCCGGCTCAAGACGCGCAGAAGCTACGGAGACAGCTGCAGCAACACCTGCAGCAGCAAGAGTTGCAACGCATCTTTGCCGTTCAGCAGCAGCAGTCCATGCAGCAGCAGCAGTCCATGCAGCAGCAGCAGTTCGCCGCTGCAGCAGTAACACAAGCGCCTGCCTCCTCTGCTGCGCATCCGGCGGCAGCGACTCCCCAGCAGCAACAGCCCACAGCTGCACCAGCGTGGCAACAACACAATCAGCTCAAGCAGCACCAAAAGAATTACACTTCGGGTCTCTTGCTGCAACAGATTTTGCAGATGGATGCACAGCAGCGGCAACAGGGAGAGGCCGGAGAGGGCCTCAGTGCTGTGCCTACACAGCAGCAGCAGCAACAGCAGCAGCAGCAACAGCAGCAGCAGCAGCAGCAGCAGCAACAGCAGCAGCAGTTCCTCCAGCGGCACCGGCAGCAGCAGTGGCTGCAGCAGAAATTGCTGCTGCAGCAAGCTGGATACAGCCCGCAGCAGCTGCTAATGATCCAGGGCAGAGTGCAGCTCCTCGCCCAAATGAAAGCCGCGATGAATGCAGCAGCAGCAAAGGCGGCAGTTGCAAAGTTGCAGCAGCAGAATCCTCCGAGCCAGCAAGCCATGCTGCAGCAGCAGCTGAGAGGGCACTTGCAGCAGCCGGCCATTGCTGCTGCAGCCTTTCATGCAGCCGTGGCAGCGCGAGCAGCACGTGGGAGCGGTGCATCGCACACCGCAGCAATTGAGCAGCAGCAGCAACAACAACAGCTTGATTCTCCGACAGCACGCGGCATAGCGGATGCAGCCCGCCCAGGAGAGCAGCAGCAGCCGCAGCAGCAGCAGCAGCAGCAGCGCGAGGATTCATTTTCCTGTCCTCTAGCCCCCTGTGTGTCGCCGGTGCTGTTTCACGCTGCCGTGGCTGCGAATGCGCCGTCAGCCGAAGGCTTGCAACCTGCTGCGAGTGGGGGAGAGGAGAGACGTGCTTCGGGCATGTCGATGCCTCCCGCTTCGATTGCTTTGCCTGCAGCAACGCACCAGAAAGCAGGCGATTTTTCGGCGAGGCCAGTGCAGTGGCGCTGCACCTCGACAGCGACGACCTGCAGCGCAGCTGAGCATCAAGAGGACGGCAGGGCAGGCGAGCTGCTGCTGCTGCAGTCATCGCCGCAGCCGCAGCAGCTGCTGCCGCAGGGAGCGGCGAACACGCAGCAGGGGCAGCAGGAGACGCTGGAGGTGTCGAAGGCGCTGTTGCTGACCAGAAGTGCTGCAGCTGTGCAGCAGGAGCGACTGCAACACAGGGAGGCGGCATCTCAGCCTATCGACGGTCTCACAGACCTCTCAGCACAGGGGCGAAGCAGCTGCAACGAGGCTTACAACTTCTCCCACGTGGTTGGCTCGACGGCATTGACCCCTTCTCCCCTCGCCTCCCCCCCTGAGGCCTTTCGGCGCTCTCCAGAACGCATGTCTCCCGCCACAACGTCGGCATGAAGTGAAGTCTAAGCAGTGTCAACCTTGCTGCTGCTGCTGCTGCTGCTGCTGCTGCTGCTCGGGCTGTAGAGGCCCGACACCGACCAATGGCGATGGTGGGAAGCCTAACTGATCCGCCTGGAATAGATATTCGATAGATCTGCGGGGGCTTGCTTTGTCTTGTTGAAAAGAACGGTAGCGAAATCTCTGGAGCAGCATTGGCCTCCTTAAGCGGCATGCAGTTGTGCAGGGATGCTGTGGGCTAGCCAGAGCATCGGCAAGCAGCAATGCCGAAAAAAATACAAGCATCACATACTCGAAGCTGACATTCCTCTGCTGGAGGCCCTTTGTTGTGCGGCTTCGATCCCTGCCAAGGCCGCTTCAGGCGCTGTACAACTGCCAGCACACACAACATGTTGCCTGTGCCCGCTGTGCACATGTGCAGCGCCTCTCACTCACTCCATGCATATATATGTGGGCATACATATACATATATATATGTGTGCGTACATACAGATACACATATATATGTTTCAGTATCAGCACTTGTCTGCACTGCAGACTGGCCGTGTAGGTGTGGCGTACTTGATTTTTATGCGTAGCTCCACAGTGCGTGCCAGACCGCCGTCGGGCTTCTCTCCAGATATCAGCAATCGGGTGCTAATCCGGTGCTGATTTGCCTTACTTTGGGAGGCTGTTTGTTGTCGGTGATTGTGCTCGGGAAGGGGGCCTGTCTGATCTCTTTGTTTGGCATATTTATCCATCGTCTCACACAGCGAAATAGACATAACCGCGTCTCCCCATGGCTTCTTCGGTGTCTCCGGGTTTCTTACATGCCTTTCTCCCGGTTGCGAGGCAGAGTCCGTGCATCTGCTCCCTTCGAAAGACACAAGGAGGGATGGCGCCAGGCAGGCAGAGGGGCTGGCTTATTTATTTAACGCCCTCTTGCCTTCATGTTCGTGAACTGGTTGTGCTAGCGCTCGCTATTCTGCCTGTCTGGGCCACTGATGATGGGGTGGCATGCTGGAGGGAGACAGAGGAAGCAGACAGTGGGCAGCCAGTCGTACAGAGGACTTACTGCCTTTTTAGGAGTTCAAGCATTCGGTGCCTTTGAACGTGTAGGGGCTATGTATAATACACCATGAGTGGCATTTCTGGAAATATAATTCGATAAAGCTTTCCCGAATCAAGTGCCTTTGTCGGTGCTCTGCGTAGACGATAGGGCGACGCACAGAAGGTATTATATACGCTTCACCACGGGGAGTTTCACTTAGGCAGCAGTAAGAAACAGCAAATGCGCTTGGAAATTGATTCTGTTCTGTCCCTGAACATGAAAAGGAGTCGTTCTTTTGCATTACAAGTTGTGTGCACACGCCAATTGCGCATGACACATACCTTGCAACTGCTCAGCGCACAGACCGGAGAATGTGCTTCAGGGCTTCCGCTTTTGCGTGGCTGCTGCTGGCAATCGTGCAATCCGATATGGAGTCGGGTAAGGGGCAGTGGTCAAGCGAGCAGACTATGGCCTGTATTTGTAGTCTCGTTGCTGTTATTCGTTGCATGCAACAATGAGAGGAGGTAGTATCCTACACACTTGCGCCCAACGGGTCTTATCGAGCCATAGTCTTTCCAGAGGGTGATAACGCCAGTTGCCGTAATCACTGTTCTTCGAAATCAAGCAGCTATTGCCATTTGCACGTTCATAGGATGCGCGGAAGTCCTCCGCAGTGCTGTGCCTGGAAGAGCAGAGCAAGGTACGATTTTGCAAGTTGACTGCGTACAAGTAGTGAGTGGCGTAGCTACTGCTTTCAAGTATCTGATTATCTTCACTGAAACAAAAGCGGACTTCGATTGCCGTAGGAAAGGAGTCTCACATATAACCTTTGGCAACCTGTATCTTGAGCGGAGCCATTTGAGATTTAGTACGTTCCGGCAGGAACAAAATCTGAGTGTAATGACCTGCGACACTTGTGAAAAGTACTCTTAATTTTTCCGTTACTTTTAGACTATGGTGTTTCAGACGTCATGGGATGTAGCACCTGATCTTAGATATCCGTGCAGAGACATAACGGGCTTTCTTGTAAATTTGTGTTGACTTTCGAGCCCAAAGTGTATCGCAAATCAACTTCCCCGTATCCCTGCTCACGCATCTCACAGGTCTTACATCAGGGGAGAGCAACAGCCAGGGTAAGCGTAGATGCACCCTTAAAGCCCCTCCCGAACTATCACAGCTTGTTACACATAGCTTCCAGCGCACGCCGATAAAACATTGCGTGTCCTAGCATCGAGCAATTAATTTTCTAGAATAAACAAGATATGAGAGTAGAAGGACCAAGCATTCAATTGTTTACTGCATCTGACTTCGACCTAACTAATGAAGCACAAAGTATTTAATTGCAGCCTGGTCGTTGCAACTGGCGTAGTCGTTGCGCGGCCGTAGTATGTCAGATCCGCATCACCAGCTCCTCACTGGCATCACTCAGTAAGGTGGTGCATACGTATTCTCCTAGGCAAAACTCATTTTGAAACGTCATGACCGTGGTGTCGCTATTCATCATCTTTAAGAGTGTCACGGCTAGAATGGAGGCAGCGGGAAGGGAGTCGAGACATCGGGAGAGCACAAGAAACACCTCGCTTCCGACGAAGGGGTGCCCTGACTGTGAGTAGACATAGCTGGCCGTCTGTATTGGATTCTAGCATGCGAAAAACGGTAAAAATTCCACAGAGATACAAGACACTAAAAGGAAGGAGCCACATGACATGAATGTGCTAGCTCCGGTATCCCCTCTGGATTCAATTCACGAGGGAAAACTGCAATGTATTTATCCTTTACATGCTTCAACACGCAGGCATACGCTGGAAAAATATATTTATGACTGATACTTCGGTAAATATGGAGGGTTGCCGAGACGAGACACCACCAATGAAGCAATTGTCTTTCCACGTGCACGCCAAACAGAGGCAAGTATTATGTGCATTCCGGGCCTAAAATTTGCCAGTTTTATGGAATTGTTTGCATTGCTACTGATCCCACAGCTTTGAATTTGAGATTGACGAGGAAGAACCAAGTCAACACAATGCAGCTGCAATAGGGCCGCCAGCTGAACACAGCCACTGTTGCCAACAGTAACGGCAATCGTAGGTTCTCTCGGAGCCGGGCCTAGTGCTGTCTGGTAGTTGAGGCGTGCGCATTATATTCGTATCTTGCACACTCAGCTCAAAGCAAAATAAAATTGGGTGCATATTGGCTTTTGTTAATAAAGCCATCGAATTATTCGTCGCGAATCTTTGAACTTCTGTTCAGCGGTTAAGGGAAAGGCCTGTACCAATTCCCCCACGTGGCCCCCTGATTACTTTCATCCGTAAAAGGCCAATATGGAGCCGCCTTCTTCCTTTGAGGATCCTGGGACGCTATATGCGCATTCAGGGGTGGACCCCGATCCTGTGACAGGCGCAATCGCCGTTCCGATATACCAGTCCACCACGTATGTGCAAGAGAGCGTTCAAAAGTACCTGAACAAGGGATACTCCTACTCGAGATCGGGGAATCCAACAGTTCGTGCTCTGGAAAAGAGGCTATGCGCTGTCGAAGGTGGAGCTGACGCATCCTGTTTCAGCACGGGAATGGCGGCATCCCTTGCGGTATGCGTTGTGGCCACTACTGTGATCCTTTGCTCTCATAGATGTCTCAGTGGTATGCCACAGTAATCCTTGTAGAGACAGCCAGCTGACGGCTGCCAGCTGCCTGGCGCGGGAAGCAGGTACATGCGGTTTGGGCGCTCATCTTAAAGCGTAGGTTTATTTGTCTTACTTGTGTTACTGTTTTAGGTACTCACAACATTTCTCAGTGCAGGAGACCATTGCGTTATGCCAATTTGTCTATATGGCGGCACTTATCGCGCTGCAAACGAGTACCTGCGCCGATTTGGAGTGGTTTTCGATTTCGTCGATTTCAGGGACCCCAACAAGGTAGCGAAGGCACTTAAAAAGAATACAAAAGTGGTATTCTGCGAAACTCCGGCAAATCCGACCCTTCATTTAACAGATTTGGAAGCTATTGACACCATCATTGCCAAAGCAGAGGTTGAGAGGCTTTTTTCAGGCAAAATGGAATCAAGGGAAGCAGGATCAGCAGAAGAACTGCTTAGGTCCCTTGTTGGTGGGAAGAGGGAGAGCCAGCGCTCCATCCTATTCGTCGTCGATTCAACCTTCGCAACGCCCATAATGTTGCGCCCATTCGAGTATGGTGCAGACATTGTGGTGCATTCCGCCACCAAATACTTTGATGGTCATAACATCACCACAGGGGGCTGTGCTATCAGCCGGTTTGCTGATCACAACACCAGAATAGCCTATACGAGAAATATATGTGGGAGCATTATGGATCCACAAACTGCATTTTACACTCTGAATTCAAGCATGACTCTGCCCCTGCGCTTCAAGCGTCAAAGCGAAACAGCGAAAGCCGTTGCAGAATTTCTCCAGCAGCACCCGAAGGTAGAGCGCGTCTTGTACCCCGGGCTCGACAGCCACCCACAGCGGAGTCTGGCCATCAAATATCACCGTGAAGACAATAATGGTGGCGTCCTTGGTTTTGACGTAAAGGGTGGAATTGAAAATGGTAAATTAGCTGTCCCCTTGTGATTCTCACTTCGCTATTAATTATATAACTATCCTGCCTTCTCAATTCTTGGAGGCTGCCTCGAACATTTGCGATAAAAATTCGAGTCAGATTCCTGTCGCGCAGTGCGCCTGGGAGGTTAATATTGTGGTCTGTATCACAGGAATGAGAAACGTATTTCTTGGGGGCATCGTTGTGTGCGCTTGCTCATGAATGCTCGTGCTCTGTGCAGGTATAAAGTTGATGAATTCAATCGGCTTTCCTTTTTCCCTATGTGAAAACCTCGGCTCTGCTCAGTCGCTTATTACTTGCCCCGCAGTTTTCACGCATGCCCAGCTGACAAAGGAGCAGCGGCTGGCCATTGGAGTCACGGATGGCTACATCCGTCTTTCTATTGGGTTTGAGAGCGCAAAAGACCTTATTGCAGCTCTCGAAAAGGCTCTAAATGAGCTCGAGTAGATTTTTGGTAATAGCGCCGGAACGGCTCTTAGAGATCACCTCCGCATCACATGGGCTTTCAGCACACTCGTTCCTACGCAGCAATACTTCATGAGTTGTTTCAACTAATGTAGGCGCTTGACCCATCTTGGCAGGGATGTTAACCAAATGTACGCCCTGTATCCCTCTGAGAAAATGTTATTTTGTGCTTTGACTGTGGGCGAGAGTCAAGATGCGAGGCAACGAGTAGCCTTGATGCAAGCTGAGGTCGCATGGGAAGTTCACCTGCTGATCACGCATGGTATGATTCACAGCCTGCTTCCAACAATCTATCATCCCTCCTTGGCGGTGTAAGACCGTTCGTAGTTGTGCTGCTCACAGGCGTAAACCACCTGTAGATTGAAACTCTTGCTACACGGAACAGCGGAGTCATGCCTTCATCAGTCGTACATCACTGTACATTACGTTTGCAGGGATGTGTGCCGTAAATTTTCTCGCTCCGTGTGGCTCCAAACCTTATAATTCAGCTATGCAGCACCTTAATTGACGGAGTTCCGAATTTTAGTCAGATGCAAATGTTTTTGCGACTTCAATTTGCGCTTTGAAAGCGCTAATGTGCAGCCTTACGTCTTTGATTCATTGGCCGAGGTATGAAGGGGTAAGGAACTTAGCCTGCTGCCGTCGATTCTGTTGGTGGAGACTGTAATGTCCCATGTAGGTCCGCCGCAGGGAGACACTTGTGACATCCAAACCACTAGAAGACTTTTGAGTTGTTAGATCATTGAACACCCGCTCAGAAGCTCCTTCTACCTACCCTTACTCTCCAGGGTTCCGGTATGAGGAGATAGAGTGAAATATTGTACGGTGATGTGCCATCCTTCAGTCACTCCAAGCATACCTTCGCGCATAGCCGCACATAACCTGTAGCACACAGGAGCGCGACGTTCGACCTACTATGTAGTATAGCGTCAGCTGCATTCTGGAACAAACGATATATCCGAGAAGCAAACCCAAAGATTTAATTCTGTGGCTTAGTAGAACGCGCCCAGGTGTATTATAGCGCTACAATGGTTCTGGGGCACTTCACCGCCAGAGCTATCTTCGGTGATAGTCAGGTCAAAAGACCGTTTACCGTGCCATGGAAATCAGCATATTTCAGCACGTTCCAGGCTGCCTCTGCTATTCATCAACATACTAGTAACCTTGGTACATCTCGCCTAGTTGAAAAACTGCACAAAGAGCGCTGCCTTTTCAATTGGGGAAATCAAATGGGGAAGGCCATCAACTTGAAGTGCACAATGGGTGAATTTGACGGCGTCCTTTTTATGGGGTCTAATTTAAAGTGTTATGTAGGAGAATGAGGTAAGGCTTCTTGTGTTCTGGGAACTCACCTTGTCCCCTCTTTGAGTAACCGGGGCCGCACTGTCGGCAGCAGTTCTTAGTGCGCTGCTCTCGAAACCTATAGCCTCACTTATACTCCTATAATATGAAGCTACGGAACAGAATTGGGGCAGGCTCTTTTTGTATGGGGAACAATTGCCCTCTTCCAGGGCGAAGCGGGGGGTCACTTGTGGGGCATCGAGGAAGTGCCCAGTGCATCGGGTTACATTACGACCTAAGAGCTATTTCAGTCGCTTGCTCGTGTTTTAGTGGTAGAATCCTGAAGGCTTGTCTTTTGAATTAACTGTACATTAAAGTGAGCTGTGGGATTGTATGTATCCGTGCGAGCCCCATAAGTGGAAGTAGTCGGCGTGCGTGATTGAACTGCACCCACAAAAAATTGGGGCTGTTTGTTGTATTTTGCTGCAACGCTAGCTTTCAGCCAATTATAGGTGCGTAGGCATGCAATAGTAGCCCTTAGTTCTAGAGGGCTTTGTGTTCCACAGGGCAGGTTGCCTGCCCACCTTCGAGCTGAGGTGTGGACGGAGGAGATCTGGGCTCACAGAGCGTTCCCGGAAAACCGATGGATTTTCCATTGACTCGATAGGGCTGCACGCATCTATGTCTTAAGTTACTCTCCTTCTGACGGTTTTGGTCACTGGGAGGGGTCTTTGCCAACTCAGTAGAGTTGCTTCGCTGACCTATCGCACTTCGTGGGAAAAGCTGTGTGGCTACTTCTTGAGCCCGTTCTTCAGTAGCAGAGCGGCTGACGCCTGCCATCTTTCTTCTGATAAGCACAGGTCTTTTTATAGCTCCTTTTTTTGTGGGTGTCGACCCAATCCACTCTAAAAATACTACTTCAACGTGGCTGCCAATAGCGCATCTGCACAGGTGGGACATAAACTGTCATGTATGTCAATGCTGACATGTTCCTTCTACTCCAGACAACGGGGAAATCGATTTCACGTTCCAAACCTAGTTTGATAGAACCGGTTCAACGGCGCTGACCCGTGGGTAAAGGAAAACATATATTTAAAATCCCATAGAAAACCCGAGTCGTGGTACACGTGACCTCAAGTTTAAAAGCCCTAAAGGGGTACTCTAAAGGCTTTGCTGGCTAAATCAGTGTTATGTGACTACGCAAGATAACATATGCTTCCTCAATAACAAAATAATTGCTTCGTCACACCAGCTTTCCTTCATAAGTTTCAGTCACATATGGGGCAATCTCGTCATTGGACGCAAACAAAGGATCATTTCCTTTGGTGAAGAGTCGGAACTGTACCAATCAGAACATGGCGGTCGTAGCGCGAACCGCAAAAATGTCTTTAGCGGAGGCAAAGGATCAGCGCAAACAGGCTGAACTTGACGTACAACTCTTAGCCAACCGCATAGCCCTCCTTCGGGTACACCTATGAGAAAGTTTACACTCTTTTACCCACAGGACAGTATCCTAGGCACTGGAACAGCGCACTTTACACTGCCCAAAAATGCGGGACGCCAACTAATCATAAACTGCCGTTTTCCTATGTCATGTTGCTCTAGTATCGTAGCAGCGCATTACGTTCAAGCTCGTAGCGATTTGCATTTCCACCACTGGCTTCTCGTCATGCAGCTAGAAGATGCGAAGGCCAAGAAAAAGGTTGAGCAGCTAATCAGAAAAACTCACGCACTGGACGAAATCCGCCAGCGAGAGAAGAAACGCCACGAAATGCGCCAGAAAGTAAGCATTGATGCACCTTTTAATATGTATGGGAGGCTGTATGACCAACATAGAACATGCATCGGCTCATCAGTAAACCAATGCCGCTTGTGGTGGTTTGTTACGCTCTGCCGCCCTGCAAACTTTTGTAGCAACAAGCGGAGAGAGCACAGCAGGTCTTGGAAGTGCAACAGGCGTATGCAGCCCAACGTGAGCGTGACAAGAAGGCCAGAGACGAGGCCAGAAAACGGCAGGAAGAAGCCAAAAGGTGCGCACAAACACATATGCTCTGACTGCACACCTTCAAGTCAACGGGGCTTAAAGTTCTCGTGTTTTATCGTGTGCAAACAACTGCATAGCGTAGTTAGGAGGATTAAGAACAACGCAAGCTGCTGAGTTCAAGCACCAGGCCAGTCTTCCCCCTGCTCTCAGCGAATAGCTTGCTAAAGATTGCATGCAACACAGCCAATACCTACTGGCTACTCCCATAATGTGTTTTTTCATCTTTGAAACAAACGATAGCTAGCAACTATGCTTCTTGATGCTTCGGGTAGACAAGACGTGCTGCGAGTGAAGCGCGAGCATGCACTAGCAGCCGAACAGAGACGTCACTACGATGAGGAGCAGCACGAATACAACATTCAGCGGTCCCAACAAGTCCGTAGAGAGCAAAAGAAGTTCCGCGAGAGGCGCCAGCTTGAACAGGTGCACTCCAATGAAGACATAAATTCGTTCCAGCGTCTGCCGCAACACGCGTTTGGATACATGCAACTCTACCAGAAAGGCGTCCAAAAATCATATACACCATTGAGTGACACATCCTTGATTCCATAGGTGCAGGCATTAGCGATTAATAGGTAAAGGTATGGCTATGTGCAAAAAGGTGGCGTCGACACTTGTGCTTGATGGCATACCGTCTAGTAGCTCGCTTGCTGATGCACTGTACTTCAGCAAAGACGTATCGAGGAGACTCACTCTAACTACGACGCCAGAGTAGCCGAAGAAGAAAGAAAGGTAGCTAAAATTCCAGATTTCCACTGTTTGAATGTCCAGCTCAAGTGTTCGGAGAGCTGCAAGGAATACCTAATAACAAAACTACTTTCTTCTTTTTGTACTGGTAGGCACTGTGTGCTGCACGGTTCCTAGGTGACAGCGCTTGGGTATTTAAGCCTTTGAGATATTCTGTGGTTCTAAACAACTTCTCACCCAGCATCCAGATGGCTCTAGTTCATATCATCTGATGGTCGCTTGGCGTTATGCAGATGCAGGAATTTACCGCACAGGTCGCCAAACTGGAACGTGAAGAGATGGAATTGATTGCTAGGCTCCAGAAGACCCATGTAACATATAAGGCAGCCGTAGTATATATGAACCTAACAAGTTTGATAGCAATTCCCAATTTTAGCCGATCGCCATATGGGTTCACTGCATCCGCCTCACAGCTGCATAGCGATACCTGAGATATCGTCATACTTCATTAAGAGGAACACTGAATTTTTCGGGTTTTGGGGAGTGCCTGACGGACGCAAAGGCGTCCCTCTGGGGAGATGCGGCAATTGCCTGCTCCATGTTGTAGCGAGGAGTGCGTGATGCCGCGTTTACAGGCGCAACAGCGTACTGTGTGTCAAGAACTCGATGCTGCTTTAAATGCGAGCCCGCGCCCATGTGCCAGCCACGACAGAGTCAGCTTGTCATGCAGCAACAACCCATGAGCCCTTGAACCCTTGCAGCTGAACATGAAATAGCAAAATGCACTGGGGCACAGGTGGACAGGGTGGCACATAGGATAGGCTGACAGCAACATCATGCTGCCCCCAGGAATGAACAGCGCCCAAAAATTGTGTCAAGGCACACACAGAAAGGACAAGTGAGCCATTTCCTTTGTCATGGCACCGTAGCGGCAATGCAAGCAACCGTCCAGTGCTGCGGTGCGTTTTCCGCGCAGACTAACAGTGGCAGCGGTTCAAACTATAATAAGGGACAAACATCCCCGTCGGCCTCGAAGATGGCCCATGCAAGATTCATGAGGGAAATGGAAGGCTCACGAAGCCCACTAGCAAATGGCGAAGTGACGGAAGCACGGAGCCAACGGTCTGACTGAGGCGCTCTCCCTGGACTAGCCCTTTAACGCCTCCAGACTGAGTTATATGGGCTCGTAATCTATGGACCAGACTTTCATGACCCATGCATTCTTAGTCTACTCGTCAGCATTTCAATTGGGAGTTGCGCATATGCGCTGTTCCCTGCTGCAGCACCATAAGCATTGGGACTTCACGTTGGTGCTCCAGCCGTGCTACAGGTCGTGCACAGTAAAGACCTACCTGTCCATATGCGTCCCTACTATAATCGTCTTTCTTAATTTCCCTATTGATATGTGCCCTCTGTTCTTATGCTTTTTGGTGTTCTCGACAGTGGCCATAATTCCTGGTCTTGAGCGTGGCAATGCGTACACTGCAGTCACTAATATAGAGTGCAAAACTGGCTTGCAGTGCCAGCTACTGCGACCGCTATATCTCTGTTCAGAACTAATAATAGAGCTTGCTGTAGCTCTGAAACGGTATGCAATGCAGAAAACGACCCAACACAACTTGATAGTGTTACAGCGGATATACTTACCCGAAGAAACGAATGTACAGCTAGACAACAAGTATTCCAACAGCTCCACTAAACAAGTAAAAGAGCGACGCTGGGACCTGCAGTAGCTCCAGATGAACCGCTCTTTTGTAGAAGCTGTCTAGGGAAAACCACTGTGGACCGCCTTGGGTGAAAACTGCATAAGTAGGGCAATTAGGACTCCGCAGGGGCCAGCCTGGACCTCTCCTCGATAAACTCTGCAAGACTTAGACACCTAACCTGCTGAGCTTCGAGGTATTGCAGTGAATCATGTTGTTTGGCCTCGTTTATTGCCACAGTTAGGTCGGTTAGGACGACAACATTGGGAAATCCGGCAGCCCGCAACGCAATCGCACTTTCAGCAACACAAAAGTCCAAGCAAAATCCACAAACCGCCACTGTGCTTACACCCCGTGATCTTAGTACTTGAACCAGCCCAGTAGGATCGTCTTCATTACCGCAAGCAGAGAAGCACTCCGCCTGTTGCAAACACAAACCACACGCAACCTTGCACCCTACGCACTACGCATCGAGAGTACCCTTTGTGTCATCACCGTACTGCTAGCAAGCAAGACCATTGCAAAACTGATGACTGCCGTAATGTCTAGGTCTTACAGAAGAGAGGGAACCCTTGAAAACGACGAGATCCCCGACTTGGGGCTGGACCGCTCGGTGCAACTTGGCCCCAGGTGTGCCTTGCACGCAGTGTGCAGGCCACAATCGAACAGTGGCAGCGTCAGCATTCCCCGCACCTGGGGAGCTACGCACAACAGTCCACGCCTTGTCTAGTCCAAGAGACCTGTTGGCTTCTTTCAGAGCTGCATTGGCTGCAGGCCGGGCAGAAGAATTGATGCCGGTGCTGGCACACGTGCAGATCGAGTGCATGCAATCCGCCGAGTGTGAACTCAGAAAGGACACGTGATCCGGAGGGTGCCAGTCCAGAGAAAATACAACAAGATCACACCAACTGTACGTAGAATCTCTCTGGTCGTGTCCACCTGAACCTTCCGACATAAGCGAGATCGTTCCAAAATCCGAAGAAAGCGTGAGCTCTTCACAGTTTCTGATCTTGGTCGTTTGGCTTTTCAAAAGCCCTGACTTTGCATGACCCAAATTGTTTGCGCCGCTCCGCCGCAGTTGGCGCAACATTTCGCCTAACCGCTTGGCTGTTTGCAAGCCGCGCGGAGCGGCAAGCGTGCCTTCGCAGAAGTCATGTTGTGCATCCGTTACAAGCAAGCAACAAACATCTTTACAGCTAAGGTCATCCAGGATGTCGTCCATTATACTGTTGCATGCGCTTGTCGTCACCAGAGGCCCTATGAGTTCACGCCCCGCTAAGAGACCTTCACTGGGCTTGGGTGGTAAGGTAACAGTTGGTAATTTATGGAAGCATACCGATTCTGTTTTTAGAAGATACACACGACTCAGAAAGATTGGAACCTCGAGGCAAAATGGATTGGCAGCGGTATTCAAGTTGAACAGGAGCTATAGGGCACCCCGGGGACTATCCGTGCATGCGCCAGATGCCGTTAATTGACTTCCGCCTGGCTTGCAACGGAAGAAACCTGTGGAGATTCCTCCGCGAGTTCGATCCAGGCAGTTACATAACCATCAAAAGGTTCCATTTAAGGCTTTAATGAGAATTTACGGACATTGGCTGCGTCTCTATTTCCCCTTGCAGCACGCAGGCAACCCTTTTCCATTATGGGAGGCTGCTTCCTAGATTCTAGCTCCGTGTCATTTTACTTTTTGCTACTTGCAGCCGAATGAGGAGTGACGACATGCTTACACGAGTCTGTGCTACCTGTACCCCGTTGTAGCGTATTTGGATGCTGCATGTCTCTCATGTTCCGCGCCAAAAGACACGCTTCGGCGTGGCGTGCAAAACTAAGTAAATTCAAAAGGGAATTAAAAAAGAATTGACTATTGGGCTCGGCTGCTTGTGTTATGAGTTAGTGGTATGCGGAGTCCGGTGTCCAAGTACTATAAAAGTAAACGCAGGGTATTTTTGCATCTGTTGTATCGTTTAGCATGCTAAGCCATAATTGAACGCATTCTACAAAGGTAACCACATTTATATGACACTTGGCTGATAGTTTTTCTGGTTTATCTCTTCGTATGCCTTGTTTGTCGTAGAGTGCTGCTGGCTCGACAGGAGAAGTTGCAGTGCAGCGTGCATGGGCACTAGGCATCATGTAAAACAAGCTGTGCATGCTCGAAATGCATGAAGGGTGCAGCTACGCGTACCATAGGTGTCTTTCCCTTCTCGTGAGGAACTGTGGGGGACGCGGGCAGGCTTAGGAGGGAGTTTCTTGAAAAATCGCAAAAACTTCCTACTTGGTGACATTGTGGAGAGTCTGGAGTCGAGCGTCTCCCTGCGAAGGCCTTAGATGGAGCGTTGTATGCTGCACATAACATGCCGTAGCTTCTAAATCTGCACCCTCTAGTGATCAGCCAATATACATCAATGGTCTATGTGATCTGCGTACAACAGCAAGGGGAAAAATTCGCCCTTGACACTCTTCTCTTGCTGCCATGGCCCCCAGTATGAGACAGTGGTTTTGATCTACAGTCGCAAAGTTCAAACAAGTCATTTGTGACAAGAGTTTCCTTTGGAATTCTCGCTGACGAGCTGCTGCTTCCCTGACGAATGGCACAGGATGGATCGTCAAACTTTGTGAAGACGTGGACCAAGTCGCCTGTAATGACCATAGTATAGTTCTGCAAACTGTCTTTATGAGGAGTCGGCTAGGGTGGATTGTGCTTAACTAATAGCGAAAAACTGGAGCTGCAGGAGTCTTTTGTGCTGCATCTCATGCCTTATGGTTGTTGCACATTTCAACGCGTTTCTCCTGGTTGTCCAGGCATTTAGCGGGGCCTTTAATGGCTGCACCCTCTCACTCCTACCACATTCTTCGTTATTTAAAATATGGTAGCGCTTCTTGAAAACAAGGTAGACACTTGGTGAAAAGGAACTGTTGCTTGCTTTGACGTGGGTATATCCTGGGAATGTGGCAAAGGCTCCTTTTGTTCCTCACGAAAGAACGATATAGGAAGCTGTGAAGCCCCTGCACAGAGAATTTACATGCAACAAAGATATCTCCAAAGCATTGTGTCTCATCTTTGTCTCTGGCTGACGCCTGAATCTCCTCTAACCCCATGGCTACTCCCAAGCGTGCGTGGTCTTACGGGTAGTCTTTAATTGCTTCGATGTTGTTGATCATCTATGCGAGTCGAATATGTTGGAGCTACTGAAAACGCTTAGCTTCGTCTGGCAGCATCTTTAGGCCGCTCAGCGTGCTTATCGGGTTGATATGTAGTGAGCTTCAGCGTTTTCCTGAGGCTGAGACTGCCTGTGCATTATCTTCTGCTGAGTACGAAGTATTGCTGCACAGCGTAAAATGGGGGCCGAAGCCCCGTGATTTTAAGACTCACTTGTGCTTTATGTCTAAGAAGCACGGTTTGTCGACGCTATATTGATAAACCAACAAGAATATTGTTCATTTCAGCATGCTCTGCTGTAACAAGTTGTGCACGCACACGAAAGCTCTACGATTACCACTGCTATGGTGATCGCTAAATCAGTGCAGGTGCTCTTTGCCTTTGGCGCTTTACAGAAGGCTTAAAATTCTACACAGCGGTGTATTATAGTCAAATAAACCCTCTGATACCACCTCCGATAGTGCTACTATCCAGCCCTACGAGCAGGCGCCTGTTGTAGCTCACTCTTGGCAGCAAATAGAGAGGTATCGCTTTGCACAAACTAATACGCTGAGCAGCGTGCAAACGTAACAAGCATTATTGTGCGAGCTACGTATTACACGCCGCCTGTTTGCTTTAGTGGATGCCTTGAATTGGCCTTTCGCGATAATGCCTTGCTCTGGCCTAACTCATACAGGGCACACCTGACTCCAAAGGTGCAAAAGCTCTGGTATCGGGGGAGGTGAATAGCCTGAAATAATGGACATTACAGCGAGCCACTCAACAGCTTAAGCTTACGTCCCTGTACTCAATACCTGTTATGAGTCCGCTAAGAAGGCGGCTATTCTTTCACCGTACCCTGCTCGCTTCATCTACCTATTGCAAGCTCACGATACGCATCGTACCGATGTACTTACCAAGGGCAACCGTACTTCGGAGTGTTACCGCCGTGTAGCCACGTATACTTCCGGATATTCCACATAAGCAAGCACAACTGTAATTAATATTTGATGGCCATTTGTATGTGGTGTCAGGCACAGTAAATCCTACGCTGACCTCAACGACTGTCGCTGTCTGGATGGAAGAGCGAAATGCCACGACAAGTGCTTGTGCGTTTCTGGGCAAGGCGGTCTAAAATGTGCACTGTGTACCACTGGGGGCGAAACTGACTGGTGAGTATGCATGCGTATTGGTGTATGGCTGTGATGGGTCCAGCACATTACCTACAGATGTCCATTCTCAGTGAAGCCTTCCTAGCCGTGTCCTGTGCTGCCTGGGTAAGTGTTGTACCACGCGATTAGACTGCTACGGCGCGACTCAATTACTGTATTACACGTCGGCGCAGTCTGCTAATGCGTCAGCTCAAGCCATCAATGAGCTGCCTCAAAAGTAAGACTAGAAGCATCCAGTGTGCCATGCGATAATTGACATGGGATACGCTGTTCTCCATCTTACTAAATTGCCTTCAGGTGCGACAAGAAACCATGTATGAGCAGCTGGATTTAGTGACTGGATTGGTTGTGTAAGGAAGATGGCGACGGGAATTGTTCCCTCCAAGTTTGCCAAGCTCTTGCTGCTTTTATTCTAGAAGAATTGTTGAAGTTGCAAGCTACTGAATCTGATGCAATATACAGGAGGCCTATGTAGACGGCGGTAGAGCTTTTGGCAATTCGCCAAAGAAGCACTAATGAAAGTCCACCTATTGTACTACTATGGCTCTGTACAGTTCCCACTTTAATTGGACTACACATAATTCACAAAAAACAAACTTGCTTGCCAGGCAATCCAAGACACAGATCGTCTCATACTTTCCTCTTTCGTTCGGCTTGAGCCAACAGTTTGTTGGAGTTGCTTACGAAGTGCCAGCCTTCGCTAAGCCATTTCGCCCTACCCACGCATAAGACTTTTAAAGCTTGCGTGAACCTAGCCGTTTCATTGACAGATGGCTTTGGTTTCTAATGGGCCACACCTAGTTGGCAAATCTTGAAGTAGGGGCGCCTCAAAATACCTTTCGCGGAGTGCTGGGTGCGTAGACACCATGACTATACAGAAAACTTGAACGGGATGCAAGAATCTCCACTGTGCTCTGGTTGTGCCTAGCTATACAGCCTACCATGGCCAACTAGGGGTGAAGGTAGTGATTGTAGCGGGCTAAGAGACATTTAGATGCCTTCTAGTAGTCTAGTTTTATTCAGTTCAGATGTAAAAATACAGAATCGACTAACCGGTTTCGTTTGCTTGTATATCTATTTCATTTGCAAAGTACTGTTACCTCGATACCTACAATTGAAAGCAGCGTTGTGCGCGTTTGCTAAAGGTACTCCAGGCAACTAGCCATGAAAACTCGATATAATTAAGGGCTCCGCAACGTCCATCCTAGGTAAGTTGTTCGCTTCGTTGGAGCTCTGAGGAGAGGCGGCAGACAAACAGCTAACTTTTTCAAAGGCTTTGGCCGGCTTGCTGTGTGTTGCGACTAGAGTTATGCACCTCCTGTGGAGGCTTTGGATGCAGCGTTACAATGATCGTGCCACAACGCATGGCTATCCGCCTTTGTGCTGTGGAAACACCACGCGACCAAACGTCTCAGAGGACAGTAAGGGAAGGCATCCAGTACAAACGACAAAAATATGGAGGAAACAGAAGCGATGAGTTTCGCACACTACAGCTCCAGCTCTTGTTAAAACGGTAGATGCACCTCTGCTACCTTTGTTGAAGCAGTTGCTCCATTCTTTCCCTGATTACTAAAATTTTTCTGGCGCTGCAATACTACATGACGATGCTGCTTGCATAACAGAGGTCGCTCATTGCTGACCGGAGTTTTCTCGCCCTAAAACCAGATCGTACTAACTTTGGTGAACAGGTTAAATCAGTGATATCTGCTGAAAACAAGGATTACTCTACCTTCCGAGCTACTGTTGAGTGCAACAGAAAAATGCTTGATGGCAACTGCTGAGTTGATAGTGCCCGTGACTGCGTGTAGTAGTAGCCCTGGCTCAAGTTTTTGCTGAAATCTACAGACTTAAAAGTGTCGAGCAGTCTTGGTGGAAGAGAACTTCCACTATTTGTGAAAAATGCCAAGC